GTAGTGGTTTAAGCGGTTGCCACGCCGCTTTCTACTACGCTGAGTGTTGTGGGTCCGGTCCCCACATGAGACGACACTTTGTGTGATCCACAAATTGTTGTTCTGAGTCTGGGTGTTCTTTTTGTCCGTTTCATGTATGTTTGTAAAGTCCCCCGCGACACAGGAATATATTCCCAACGCAGGAATCTTTAAAAAAAAATGCAAGTTAGAAAAACTAATTCTGCTAAGGACAAATTTTATGCTTATCTAGGGGTTGATATGCTTCATTTTTAGTATTAAACCTTTTCATTGTAACAAGAACTTTACACATTGTATGAACAGCAGTAAATTTATTCAAAGCGCGCGTACATGACCTTAAAATAGAAATACATATTATGTATGTATTTCAATGAAAGTACGACAGAATTTTTATGTAGTTATTCGGTCGCTCACAAAACCAATTCAAATCCATTCACAGATAGAAATATTCGTTCATCACATTGAATGTTGAATATATATCGATTATTAGCGTCAAATGAACTCTAGAACAGTTATTAACAGAGGTTATGAGCCAACTCTCCAAGTCACTCCTCCATATTGAACGTTCACAAGATATAAAAGAGCCGTGGAGATGAACGATGAATAAGAATTCCACGATCAATGCAAACTTATTATACTGCTCTTATTGACTTGCTAAGGAATTTTTCTCTTGTAATTTTTCTCTTTGGCAATCACATCAGTTTTAATGCTTTAATATACAGGTTTGTACGTAAGAATTTGTGCAGTTTTCAAAGATGCATCAGTATATTTGTAGATGACTCCATGACTGATATCCTTAATGAATCCAAATGTGAAAATGCTAGTTTTATGTACAAAGAATAAGGCGAGAGGGCTTTTAACTGCATTTTAATCTCTTATGCTGTAGTGTATTGTATCCCTCTGTGTTGCTGGCCTCTGTATTTTCTTTAAATAGACTATACTTTATCAAGTTTATTTAGTTATAGAGAAAATGAAAAAAATGAAATCTTAATTTAAAATAGCTAACATGCTACAGTCACTAAAAGATTAAACATTGTATGTGTTTGCAAGAAGTTATAACACGTATTACTGCTTCAGATAACTTTCAAGAGCATTACAATTTATAATAACAGCAATTTAGATACGAGGACAAACAGATCCTCACAAATACTTAATCCCAACAGGTCTTCTCCACTCTCCATACTTCTTCGACAGAAAATATTAAATCACTTGAATTTTATTACAAATTTCGTTTATATCTGCTTCCTCGTTCTTTTTACACGCTTTATATTAGCTTCACTTGTATGTTTGTATATTTGTTTGTAACCGACTCCTTTGGGCGTGATTTTGACTGACTTTAAACGGTCAGAATTTGTTCAAACTTTGTAGATATATCGAGGACCGATGACAATACACTATTTTAAAAAAAGTTTAAAAAAAACACTTTAAAAAAGCGTGGGGTGCTTTTTACTATTGACAACAGGCACCCAACGCTTTTTTTCAAATTTATTAAAATTTATTTTCTATTTTTTAGTTTGGTTTTCTATAAAAAGCGTGTTTTTTAGTTTTTTAAAACTATTTTTTTTCCTTTTTACTTCCATGTCTTTGTTAGTAACGTAAATGTATGTACAAACAAAGACATAAAGACAACACGCATGTAATAAATAGATTTAATTAAATCAATCTAAGTAGTCACATTAGACTAACTTGAGTGGGTGTGTTTGTATGTTAGTTATTCTTCCTCCTCAAACGACTGGATCAATTTTGATAAATTTGGCATAGGGGTAGCTAACACCCTGGATTGCACACACATGGGCTATGCCGAAAAATGTGTCTCGTGCTGGGTTTAAATAATGTAATACTTTTATGTCAATTACAAAGAACGAATCTGCTGGAGAACACAGACGCTGAATAATTAAGTATTAAAGAGAACGAATATTAAGCCAGCCAAACATTGTTACGAAATAATAATAACATAATCTGTGGAAACACACAATGTTATTCACATTATATTCTTCTTGAAGTTACAAGATGTTGTTGTAGTTTTACATAGTTTTATGAGACCTCAGCCAAATGTACTTAACTAAATATAAAACTGCGACTTTATGGTGTCTATCAAGTAAATATATTGGCGCTGGTAAACGTTTATGTTTAAACACAAAAGGGTTACACGGATCCGATATAAAAGCAGAACGGCTCTAATAACTCGGGAACGTAAAATATAAACGAAATCTTTTCATTTTTATGTTTCCTTTATGACTGGTCCAACTTTTATAGGAAACCACAAAATTCGAAAGCCAAATAGAAGATAAAATTATTCATGGACAAATATTGGGAGAATTTTATCGTTCAAAGCGGTTTACAAGCAGTATTTATATTAAGTGTGCTAAGCCAATATGTTTAATCTTTAAAACACATGACTGATTAAATAATGTTATTTATTTATTCTCTGTCTGTAGACTTGGTGTATGTCACTGCATCTCGACTCTCTATGGGCATGTAAATTGGACTCGAGCAGTAATGGATCACATTTTCTAAACCTATCAGAAAAATAAACTATAAGTAATGCGCAATATGAGCGGTCTAGAGAGTGCTACAGTAGTGCCTACTTTTAAAACTAAAATCCCTATCCCCACTCTTTCCTGTCTTAACTCTATCTTATTCTTTTCATCTGTAGAACTCTTGCAAGAGCTTACAATTGCGCTGCGACGTTGCAGCGAATGCCATGCCATCAAACTATTCCTGTTCCAACCTTATTCGTTTATTTTTATTTTTATCCTGTATTGCCCCACTGCAGGGCCTCATTCTCTCCCTTCCACATCTCTCTGTCGCATGCTAGTTCGGACCAGTCTTTTCGGAAGCCGTCGAGATCGTCCCGCCATCGTCGCCTGGGCCTTAGACGTTGTCGTTTAGCGCCTTGTGGGACCCAAGTGGTGCTAATTTCTGCCCATAGATCCGTCGTGAGATGAGTGACATCTGCGATTTGTGTTTTAGTATGCAAATCTTAATCAATATTTACAAACTATTTAAATTTAATAAACAGAATATGAATCATTTAAGTATTTCAAATCATAAAAATAGCAATTATCAAATAAAATATATCAAAATTACTGTCACAATAGAATGATTTTACCAAGGAATTAATTAATTTAAATAGTATTGAGTTTCAAACACCACTTATTTGAAACGATAATACTCTGAAGCCCACTGTATAAGATATAGTAATAACCGCTCATAATGGACATTTAGTAGGCAATAACATTCAATTGTGACTTCCGAAACTTTCATTGAAATGAATCAAACAGAGGGTTATCAGAGATTCAATATTCTCTTTTGTTATTTTTCTTTCTTTCTTCTTTTGCTATCCACTATGAATTAGGATCATAAGGAACTCACAAAGAGAAGAAAAGCAATTTATCGAAAAGGAACCATAGAAAGGCAAGAATATACAGAAGGTAGTAGAAGTTTTGTAGATAAAAGAGCTTGTGTTATTTCTATAGCAAGGAGGGAAATGCCACATGAAATAAAATCTATATTTTCTATGAGTTCCAAGATCAAAGCGAAGGTATTCAGGCTTTGCTGCAGTTTGACAAGCTTATTTTGAACAATCAATGAAAACAATGTGGGTGTGGAATGTAGTGTCGTAGCCTTTTTGACACACAAAGAACACAGGACAAAGAAAAATAGCTTGGTCGACAAAAAAATCATAATTACTGGTACAGGGGGGAGGGGGGGCAAGCGAGCAGACGTCTCACCTGATGGTAAGTGATTATGGACATCTGCAACTCAGTCACAATTGCGTTGTCACCCTATTTGGGTCCCCTTGAGTGATTATTATTGTATTAAAATCTATATTTTGTCAGATTTAATGTATCATTTCACATCAATAACCTTTAATAGTCCACTGCTGGACAGAGGCCTATTCTTAAAAAGGAGGTTTTGGCCTACTATACCACGCTGGCCAGACGGGTTGGTATAGGGTTTGTGTCAAGTTTTCCTTCTCTCTGCAGTGCTGTTGTTCTGCGTAGTTTTCTCCCTTAGTCGGATCTTACGACACCCAGGGATGGTGACACTGTGTATTCTTTATCCGTCACCACACGGACCCGGATGACGGATGATGGATGACGAATGTTTCATTTAATAATACTTATAACTATCATAAATAATAATAGCATTATACAGGCAGATAAAATAGGTAAGTATCTTCACTGTTCTGAAAAAGGTTATTAATTGCATTAAAGATTATAGTTTCTTTTAGTTTTTAAATCCCTAAACAGCTATTTTCATGTTGAGCAAAATAAAACAGTTTAAGTGAGTAAGCTCAAATAAAAAAGCTCGTTCCAAGGAAACCTTCCTTGGACCTTAAGACCTTTCGTGGAGAAGGAAAACAATAGAAATGTGGAGAAAGAATTTGAGAATAACTTGATACACTTATCGGTTTCGGGATAGATTTCATTTTTTTTTTTATTTTGATACGGAAAATACAATCTATCTCATGCAATATAATTATATCAAACATACAAGTTCATAGTTAGTAAACCTAGACTGTGATCAAAATAAAAACGTGTAATCACTTCGCCAATAACCTGAGCCTTAAACTCTTAAAATGTCCTGAAGAAACTTCACAACATGCAAATCATAAGGACTTGCTTTAACTTTACAATTAGTTAGGGGAGAGTAACCAATATTGAACCGGCACTTAAATTGAACTACTTCTGTATTTCTACCAAAATGGCACTATTTGGTGTATATTGGCACAAACCTCCTTTCTAAGGAGAGGCTTATGTCCAACAGTGGACTGTTAAAGGCTGTTGATATGATGATGTGATTGGCACAAAGAGAAGCGCTACAAAATCGCGGAGTATTAGTGATGCTGCTAGTGTAAAAAAAATAGTGCCATTTTAATAGAAATACAGAAGTGGTCCAACTTAAGCGCCGGTTCAATATTGGTTACTCTCCCCTATACCCTTCTCGACATTCACCGATTTAAGCTTCTTTAAATATTACAACCGATGTCTCTTCATGGTGTCCTCCACCACTATAACCGCTGATGAGTAATTAATTTGTGGCAAAATCACAAATTTCGGCGTTGTAGTCGTATCGTCGGCGGTAGCATCGGTCGTCTGGTCCGCAGTTGACAGAGGGTCCAAACACAGAAGGTGATCTCGCAAGTCGCTCCACCCACCTGTTCCTTTAGATGGCAGGTTGACTCCCGAGTCCACCCTTCCAGTGCTGCTGTACACTAAAGCTGCCTTCACAGTTAGGGGAAAATAGGGAGCTCCTTTGAGTTGCATGTGAATCTTCTCAGCAGCCTCATGTCCCGTAGAATATAAACTAGTTGAATCATTTAAGTATTTCAAATCATAAAAATAGCAATTATCAAATAAAATATATCAAAATTACTGTCACAATAGAATGATTTTACCAAGGAATTAATTAATTTAAATAGTTTTGAGTTTCAAACAACACTTATTTGAAGCGATAATACTCTGAAACCCACTGTATAAGATATAGTAATAACCGCTCATAATGGACATTTAGTAGGCAATAACATTCAGAGTAGTCAATTATGACTTCCGAAACTTTCATTGAAATGAATCAAACAGAGGGTTATCAGAGATTCAATATTCTCTTTTGTTATTTTTCTTTCTTTCTTCTTTTTCTATCCACTATGAATTAGGATCATAAGGAACTCACAAAGAGAAGAAAAGCAATTATCGAAAAGGAACCATAGAAAGGCGAGAATATACAGAAGGTAGTAGAAGTTTTCTAGATAAAAGAGCTTGTGTTATTCTATAGCAAGAGGGGCAATGCCACGATTGACATGAAATATAATCTATATTTTCTGTGAGTTCCAAGATCAAAGCGTAGGTATTGAGGCTTTGCTGCAGTTTGACAAGCTTATTTTGAACAATCGGCCGAACACTATGGGTGTGGGATGTAGTGTTGTAGCCGTAGAAACACAAAGAACACAGAACAAAGAAATATAGCTTGGTCGACAAAAATCATAATTACTGGTACAGGGGGGAGGGGGGGCAAGCGAGCAGACGGCTCCCCTGATGGTAAGTGATTATGGACATCTGCAACTCAGTCACAATTGCGTTGTCACCCTATTTGGGTCCCCTTGAGTGATTATTATTGTATTAAAATCTATACTTTGTCAGATTTAATGTATCACTTCACATCAATAACCTTTAATAGTCCACTGCTGGACATAAGCCTCTCCTTAGGAAGGAGGTTTTGGCCTACTATACCACGCTGGCCAGACGGGTTGGTATAGGGTTTGTGTCAAGTTTTCCTTCTCTCTGCAGTGCTGTTGTTCTGCGTAGTTTTCTCCCTTAGTCGGATCTTACGACACTCAGGGGTGGTGACACCCTGTATTCTTAATCCGTCACCACACGGACCCGGATGACGGATGACGGCTGGCGGACGGATGACGGGTGATGGATGACGAATGTTTCATTTAATAATACTTATAACTACCATAAATAATAATAGCATTATACAGGCAGATAAAATAGGTAAGTATCTTCACTGTTCTGAAAAAGGTTATTAATTGCATTAAAGATTATAGTTTCTTTTAGTTTTTAAATCCCTAAACAGCTATTTTCATGTTGAGCAAAATAAAACAGTTTAAGTGAGTAAGCTCAAATAAAAAAGCTCGTTCCAAGGAAACCTTCCTTGGACCTTAAGACCTTTCGTGGAGAAGGAAAACAATAGAAATGTGGAGAAAGAATTTGAGAATAACTTGATACACTTATCGGTTTCGGGATAGATTTCATTTTTTTTTTTATTTTGATACGGAAAATACAATCTATCTCATGCAATATAATTATATCAAACATACAAGTTCATAGTTAGTAAACCTAGACTGTGATCAAAATAAAAACGTGTAATCACTTCGCCAATAACCTGAGCCTTAAACTCTTAAAATGTCCTGAAGAAACTTCACTACATGCAAATCAACAATGTTTCAAGTTCATAAGGAGTTGCTTTAACTTTACAATTAGGTAGGGGAGAGAAACCAATATTGAACCGGCACTTAATTGAACTTATTCTGTATTTCTACCAATATTTGGTGTATATTGGCACAAACCTCTTTTCTAAGGAGAGGCTTATATCCAACAGTGGACTGCTAAAGGCTGTTGATGTGATGATGTGATTGGCACAAAGAGAAGCGCTACAAAATGGCGGAGTGTTAGTGATGCTGCCAGCGTTCCTTTTTCTGTTGCTACTGTAAAAAATAGTGCCATTTTGATAGAAATACAGAAGTGGTCCAACTTACCCATCCCGTCATTCACTGATTTAAGCTTCTTTAAATATTACAACCGATGTCTCTTCATGGTGTCCTCCACCACTATAACCGCTGATGAGTAATTAATTTGTGGCAAAATCACAAATTTCGGCGTTGTAGTCGTATCGTCGGCGGTAGCATCGGTCGTCTGGTCCGCAGTTGACAGAGGGTCCAAACACAGAAGGTGATCTCGCAAGTCGCTCCACCCACCTGTTCCTTTAGATGGCAGGTTGACTCCCGAGTCCACCCTCCCAGTGCTGCTGTACACTAAAGCTGCCTTCACAGTTAGGGGAAAATAGGGAGCTCCTTTGAGTTGCATGTGAATCTTCTCAGCAGCCTCATGTCCCGTAGAATATAAACTAGTTGTTAACACACGTGGCGCCATTGTCGATACCATGTCAACATGGCCTCCTCGGAACCGTGAAAATAAGTTCAGAAGAGAGTAACTCCAGCTGAGGTCATCATACGTGCAAAAATAAGAGGAAAGCGCAGCTATTTCTTTCCATACAGTTTTGTTGAACGCCAATCCGTTGTCGTAAGGCGGTCGCCAGGTGTCTATTATCAGGAGATCGTAATCCAAATCCTTGAAATATGGTCTTCCGAAAACCATGACACTGATCCCCGTGACAACGGAGAGAGATCGTTTAGAGTATCGGAGCATATATAATAGATCTGGTAAAACGTAGTTGCTCTCATCCAGGAATATAACAACACCACGATATTTGTCAGACCAGTCTAACTTATTAAAAACGAAATAAGCTTTCCACCACCAATGATGTTTGTACTCCGTGCGGCGAGCGTCTCGATTGCTACAAAATTGTTTTGATGTCTGTGAGCTCAAGCAGTCCTCAGGATCAATTCCCGGGAACTTGTTTGGATTCAGCTGGACAGAAAAGGGGTAAAATATCTGCATGAACCTGCAGAATGTTATTTTCTTGATCATCTTATTAATTGCCTCGTCAAAGTAGCTATGGGAAAAGATGAGTAAGGTAGTTTCTATGTAGTGGACCTGAGCTAGGGAGACGATGAGGTACTGAAGTCGTTCGATATCGCGATGTACCTGGACTACAATTATCGTGGTCTCTGCGCCCACATTACCGAATCGTTTCTCATTGAACACTTCGCGTTCAAAGTTCACCAGCTCCACCGACGTAGCCGCTATGTTTAGGTCACGCGGCGATAGCTGCACAGAAGACACCTTGAAACTCTCGCTGAAGTTCAAATATTTGTGCAAATGAAGAGGTATATAGCTCCCCTTAAATGTGGAACTGTAATATTTTACTACCAAGTATGTGACTACTAACACAATACAATAAATCGGAATACCGTTTAGTCTCGCTCTATTTATAATCACTTTCAGATACATTTTGTTATTTTAAGTTATATAATATCTCTTAATCTGTGATTAAAATGACAATAATCTTCTTTCGGTCTTTCGTTGATTTTGAGACGTGACTCAAAAGTTCAAAACCATAAACACTTGTAACCACAGAAAAAAGTAAAGAGTATACATACACCGTGTACAAGAAGAGCCTCGGGTACTTATTTTATCTATTAACGCAACGATTAAAACTTTGTTGTTTAAAAAAAATAGTGAAAATATCAAACACCAAAGTACCTACTATTAATAGACTACGCTGTTTCTTTCTCATGTATAAAATAATAAGTTCTTGTTATGTGTGTACAGTACATATAACAAGCATCAGAGACAGTAATTTTCATGAACACGTATTAAGAAAAGCGGCCAAGTGCGAGTCGGACTAGCCCATGAAGGGTTCCGTAGCAGCAAACAACATAATATAAAAGTTCTTGAACCTGACCCTCGCGCGCTCCGCACCCGCTACCGATCAAGCCGTCTCGGGTACCAGTGGCCGGGGAACCAGGTGTACTGGGAAGGAAATCAATGGTACCCCGACAGACCTCGGGCCATCCACGGCTTGTAGATAACCCCCTTGTGTCTGGGAACTCACAATATTGCCTTATAACCAGTTTAACAAGACTTACTTAACCAGTTTAACTGGCTGGGAGCTAGTTGCGATTGGTAAAGATTTCAGTGCGATCGACCTGACGTGAAATAAACTTAAACTAGGTTGTCCTTTGACAATTTAGCATCGAGTAACTGATCTAATGATGGAATCAGGCGGAAGATAGTTTAGTTGTTTAGTTTTTACTAGGAAATATCTCGAGTTTAACCTCATATAATTCAGTGCGACGAGGCCATATATTGGGCGTGATAACGTTGGTTTCATGAGGGTAGCCAGAAGACGATAATGAAACTCTTATTGTCATTTAATTTCAGTTTTGTTGTAAGATTTTTTGAGAAAGAGATCCTACGAGCAGCCTCAATTCGAGGTGATATCTTCCGTTCTTTGTCTACTTTAATACATCAGCTTACATAATATTCGGCAAATTTAAAACACGCAGCTAATGGAAAACCAACACGGCGATTTTACGTATGTAATACAAAGCACACTGCCAGTTTAACCAGGTGACGCGTTCCCACCGCGGCCACACAAACCCACTTTTTTGTACAGGAGAAAACTCAATTTAAAGTGCCTACATCACTTAAGTACTCATCCATTACAAACTTAAAAGCGTATCTTAATTTTCATCTCAAACAAGTTTGACAAAGAAAATCAATTCGTTATTAATGGACAAATAAAGTTCCATTATGATAATCACCTCAGCGATATCTGTACACCCGTAAATTACAAAAATATAATAAAAACGTCCGCCATTATCCAAGCGGACAACAAACTTGCGGCTAATGATGGCTCTGAACAAACTTTGGTAATAAAATTCAAATTTGTTGAATCATAATATTTAAGGATTCAATTGAGAACGTCTGAATTATTACAAAATCAGCTTTTGTGCGTGAGTTCGGCTGCATTTATATATATTTTGTTAATCAATTCAGGTATTTCTGACAGTTCTTACTTTTATATGAATGAAGGTAGAGTATTAAAATAATATTGAGCGGTTGGACAGGTACGGCGTGAGTTTAATAAAAAACTTTATTTTATAAAAAGACAACTCCCACACTAGGAAAATATACAGCGTCCCGGGGAACTTTACAAACATACATGAAACGCACAAAAAGAACACCCAGACTCATAACAACAATTTGTTCATCACACAAAGTATTGTCCCATGTGGGAATCGGACCCAAACCACTACGCCATTCGTGTAGTCGCCACTAAGCAGTCAAAAGCTGTGGAAAAACTTATTACGTATGAATTAATTTTAAAGCATGTATTTCTTCGTCGTCTACCCTCGTCAAAAGTAGATAGATGAAACCTCAAAAGTACCTGTTCGGGATAATAGAAACGTTTCGTTACGTACATTCTTTATTAGATACCTACTTACTAATTTAATTGGTCAACTCCTTGGGATGACAACACATCCCTGTCGTCCCTCCATTTAACGTAATTAATTTAGTTGAGTTTCAATGTTTTACCAAAACGTTTTAAATCTTTTTACTACTGTATACAATTATTATAAGCTTCTCTGCTTTTTTTGTTGCACATCACATCATCACATCAACAGCCTTAAGTTCTCTGCTGGACATAGGCCTCTCCTTAGATAAAAGGTTTTGGTATAGGTATAGGCTTAGATTATTAATTAATAATCTAAGGGTTATTTAAAAGGCTTTTGTTAGGAAGTCCTTCTCCTCATCATAAAATAACTGTATTTTCTTTTTTTTTCATTATGATAAGACTTCAATATCTTTCTACGCATAACTCTGTGGCCTGTAGCTACTCCTAAACAGTAGACATAGTAATTTTTCAAACCCCTACTACCCTATAGTATTGCATACCCCATAAAAGTAACGCACAATTATTATTTTTTGAGTTAGTTAGTTATTAGTTGACTCGTTAGGTTTTCTTTTAATGGAAAACATAGAAGACTTAAATATTAATTTGTTTAATATGAATTGACATGATCACTCAACCGGTCACAATAGAATATTGCATATATACACATAGCGTACGGTACATTTATTACTGAAAACAGTTTTATTCCCACTGGTAGCATTGATTGACAATACATACCTAATAGCATAATTAGCCCGTTAAGGCTTTTCTATTGCCTAGGTCAGTTTTAGTCTAATAACAATATTAAAACAAATAAAAGTATAATTACGAGTGCGTAGTGCAAGAATTCATGTATTACATCACTACATACGTAGCCGTAAACAAAGAAGTGTCAACAAGTGCAGTGATGTTTTTTTTACCTAAGTGTTTCCAATGAAGTTTTTTTTGTAAATTGAATTACCCTCAATATATAATAAAATAATAAATTTAAAGGTTTTATACCAGGAGGGATAACAAATCTAACACACTTCCAACTTTTGTTCTTCAAAATTATGGAATATTTTAACTGAATAATGTTTGTTTTTTTCTGGATGTTTCTCTTTGTTTGGTACCTATCGACATAGCGTCATAACAAAACAACAACGTGGTGACTAGTGTTAACGTCAATATATGTGCGAAAATTCTAAACTTAGAAGTACGTAAACTTCTTAAATTTATATTTATTTGTACCCTATTATGTTTTTGTGAAAAATTTGATTTCTTTCCTTCCCGTGAATGCATTGTGTAATGTGTAAGTGAAGGCTGGTAGCGCCATCTAACGGAAACTACTAAACTAGATCAAATCAATTCGTATCCAAACCGCTACTGATGTGCTTTTGAATCAAGTTTACATTAGATAGTTTTCGATTTAAAAAAAAACCTGTAAGTAAACTAAACTTTTTTTTTAAATTAAATTTTTTTATTTTGAAAATATTTTAATTTAAGAAAAACGGAGATTTTATAACAGAGCAAAGCCCATTCAATGAAGGAAAGGCTTGTACCCAAATACGATAGCAACTTTTTTTTTAATTCGTGCTGAAAGTGTAATAAACAACGCTTCGAATAATTACAAACCATGTTAAAATTTAATATACCTTAGGAATGAAATTTTCGTTAACCGTACACGTAGTAAATTTTATAAATTAAATATAAAGAACATTTAAAATCCAAAGTATTCTACTCAATATTTTCTATTAGTTTGAAGATTCGTTTAGAAGCGTTGTATTGAATGGCCGCCTGTCAGCTGTACAAGTAGGTACTTTGGTTGGGAAAAGCTGTCAAATGGTGAATAGCAAAGCAGGAGCGGTAGTAAGAATAATTTGTAATAAATATGTCTTTTTATTCGCAATATCAAAGTAATAGGTAATCGCCGCGCCTAGCCGTAAGCTTTAGCGTATATAGAAACTTATTGTAATACCGGCATCATTGTAAAATGAGTTCGAGAGATAGAGACACAAAGTCGCTCCAGGACAAGTTGAAAGTATTTTTCAAGAAAGGTGCATCAGGTGAGTATCGCAGGCGGTTATGTGTGCTAGAAATGCATGCCTCGGTGGAGGCAGGCGACAAGTAGTGACTCGTATTGCATACACAGCGCCGCTGCCGCCGCGCAACGAGCTGGTGGTGACAACGGAGCTCCAGCGCGAGCTGAGCGCTGAGACGCCGCTGAACCGGCGGTTGCGGGCCATCAAGGACGTCGGCGAAAAAGCCGTACACGCACGCGTGCATGAGGTGAGTGCACACCCAACACAATAATGTAGTAGTACCCTCATTATTTGCATTCTGATGCAACACCACTTTGGATACCTTTGTGTAATGTTTGTTGGTGTTCAAAGACCAACATTTACAAACAATATTGCTTTTTTAAATATAATATGTCACTTTGTTATCAGATTGTACATATCTTGTATTTTTATGTCATTTATTTACATCTTTCTTGTTCCTTTGTTTGTGGAACGACTGGTACTTGCCATTGTTGCTGCCTACACAACATTTTAAGATTTCTTTTTTTAATTGGAAACCAGTTGCTATGCAGATTTAGTACACTTATAAGAACTTACCGATGTTTGTCTAACATTAATTATTATGCACTCTGTATAATCACTCAATCGATCAATCAACAGCCTATAATAATCCACTGTTAGACATAAGGCTGTCCTTAGAAAGGAGGTATTGGCCTACTATACCACGCTGGCTAGATGGGTTGAGGGTTTGTTTCAAGTTTTCCTTCTCTTTGCAGTGCTGTTGTCTTGTAGTTTAGTCCCTTAGTCGGCTCTTACAACACTCACGGTATGATGACATTCCGTATTCTTAATCCGTTACCACACTGATCTCTGTATAATGTATATCACTAAATTAAGTCATTTGTTTGTTATTACCTTATCATTAAACATTTTGCAGTCAAAACCAATTTTTATTTTATTAACACAGAACAATGACATCACTACTGATTGTTTAATTTTATAATTAAAATTTATTAGTTTCTTATTAGGCATCTCTAGTTATCGTTTTTATCTTAATCACTTGTAGATTCACTCATTTTAAATATATTTAAAACATTTGGTTTAGTTACACCATTTATAACTCAAGAACATCTGGACTGTTTTTTGTGATTTTGATTCTTTGGATTTGTCTCCGACTCGAATAAATGAATAACTATTAAAAAAAAAAAGAGATTAATTAACAGACCATGTGAAGAGTGAAGTTAGCCATTAAATGCAGATGAAACTGCAGAGAACTACTACTATTTACAGCTAAAGTTGCAAACAAGTAACATATCCCATCAGTTGCTATGCAGCCACTGATGCCTTTTAGAATATTTTATTCAATAGATTTCATATGAGTCTTAATACTAAATAACATTTCCCCATTAAAAAATTCAACGTGTGTTCCTTTATATTCAGGGAGGAGTGGAAAGACTATGGTCGTGTACCAGAGATCTCTTAGAAGATAGCAATGTGGAGGCCAGACATGCAGTTCTCTGGTTCTTGCAGAAGATAGCTGAAGGGCAAGCAGACTACCTGCAGATTATGCGCACCATCTTTTTCCGTTATTTAAGAAATACACATGCCTCACACTCCCCTGATGACACACAACTACGATTCAAGCTACTTCACAGTCTCACAAACTCGGGCAAGAATATTGACTGTTTTGAGGAAGAGGTGAGAGAAAATGAAAGACATTATAAAAAAATATTTTTGAATTTTTTTGAGAAAAATAAATCTTTTTATAATTTTTTGAATTCTTTGAGTATCTTGTTATATGTACTTGTGAAGTATTGAAAATAATAATGCCACACTTGCAGAGATTCTTCGGAAAGTGCAGGTTTAAGCAGGAAGCATATTTTTTATATAAATATAAAATACATAAAAAAACTTAAGTCATCATCATGAACAGCCTTTACTAGTCTTTTTTCAAGTTTTCATTCTCTTTACAGTGCTGTTGTCCTGTGTAGTTAATTCACTTAGTCGGCTCTTACGACACCCACGGGATGAATAGAAGTGGATACACTCTGTAAAAATATGCTATTAAGTAGTGTAGTTACACCACAACCTATGGAATAAGTATTAAAATAATTATTATTCCTTTTTTGTGTCTGTTCACCACTTAATAATAAGTTGTTTGAAAATATGTACCAAGTGTGGTTATAGAACTAGAGTTAACGATCCAATTTCAATTTAAACAATAATTCATTATATCTGTCATTACAGATTGGTCCATTTATACTGGAATGGCTGCCCACAATACAGTCACCCACACAACTGGTGGAGTTCCTTCAACTCATCATCAACGTGGTGAAGTACAATGCAACTTATTTGGATGAACATATTGTACATGGAATCGTTCAGTAAGTATGGTACTCAGTTACTAAACCATCGCCGCTGGAAATTGTTGTATTGTTTTTATAATATTATAGATCGGTTGGATGTACAAAGTTGGTTTATCCATTTATTAGTGTCATAAAAAAGAACTCGGTAGTGGTCAAATTTAGACCGTTTAAAATTTTCCTGTTTTATTTGTTGACCAAAATAACTTGGAATGTAAATAAATATACTTTTATACCATGACAGCTTTATGTTGCTGTTTTCATATAATTTTTATAACAACCAAAAAAAAAGTGTTTCAATAGAACTAAGAGAAAGAATAAAAAAATGCCCGGATCTCCACTTTCTGGGCTTGGAACCATTGTTGCTAAACTTAATCTGTTGGACTCGCCTTAATGTGATCCATTAAGGCGAGTTGAGCACAGTTTCTATGGCTCTACTAGAAGCTACCAATGAGTCCTCCAACTCCTAACTCCATCACAAAATCAGCTCCAAGATACCAGATTATCATCCAAACTACAAATATATGTAATAACATTTCAAAAGGAAAATCAAAAGTATGTTCAAATTTGCTTCTGAGATTTGGTTACATAGTTAATTTATGAATGTGTTAAAAATAAAATGAATGGAGTAATAATTGAAAAATTTGATATAACAGAATCTCAATTATACTATGATATAATGCATCATGTAGTAATTAATACAGTGGGGTATCAAACCTTTTTTTATTTGATTGTCTGACAACAAATAATGTACGTATACCTTGTGTTCATTCAATTACAGGCAACAACTCTGTCATAGTGTGTAGCAGTGACACTAATAATAAAAAAAATAAATAGACATGACATTAATAGTCACAATTCTTCTATTCTCTTTATCTTGTAAATAAACATCAAAGTAATGACAATACTGACATGACGTCACAGCTTAGTATTTTCCAGTAATTTACTTTCAATGTTGATTTGTTAGTTATAAAGCAGAAATGAGAGCACTATTTCAGAATTTTGTATTGAGCGAGTTACAAGTTTGATTTGTTTATGTGCTAATCATAATCATCATGTGGCACCAGAGCAATGCACCATCCTCAATCTTCAGTCTATACCACACATGTGTGCAAACCGCAATTATTACATTTAGCAAATCATCGCTTTGTTTATAATATCCAATAAAACTGTAAATTTTGTATTTGATTAACGGTATGCATTGAGTGCATCTACAAAAAGATGCAACGTTCATAATTAATAAGTATCTACAATATACGAAAAAAAACAATTATGGTCCAGAAACAAAAACCTCATAAATTAAAATCGGGGTAATTGGAGGGTAGTCTACAAAAATGCCCAAGTATAGTGGCTACATTAACTGTGTGTAGTTTTTTAATAAAAAATGTAATAAATTACAAATTCGTGAATGTTTGTTACATTGTATATAATCATTTGTTGAACTTATATAAATAAATAATCCAACATGCAGCCCGTTAATTGCTATTATAGTAATCATGTTGCCAACTAATTACAATAGAGTTGCAGCAGTGCATGCACAATTTGTTACCTTGACATTTAGAGTGCATGTCAAGAATCCATTTCTGTCAAAGTCAGGCAAAGTTTATTGCTTAGGAACTACCATTTGTTTTATAAGGAGCAAACAAGCATATGGGTCACCGGAAAAGTAATTTAATAAATAGTGCTATATTTAAATATTAAAATTTACAACGGAAGTAAAATATTTTAGTATAGCGTAGTAGATGACTGTGAAGTCAAATCAGTATTTTTTTAGTAAATGCCGCCAAAACGATAGACGCCGTACATTTTTGTATGAAATACTAAGGCGTGACGTCATATCTAGCTATTGTCAAATTTATAGTTAATTTTAAATGACAATAGAGGACAATTCAGGCTCTACTTCAAGATATTACATTTAATGATTCAGATGTAACAATTTATTTTAAACCTAGAATTATACAACAGTAGATAATGTGGTCACTTTATCATTTTTTAAGTTCATTCTCTATAAGTACACATTATAGAATGACAACATTAAGTACTAGCGATCCGCCCCGGCTTCGCACGGGTGCAATGTAGATACTACTAATGTGGTGTCAGTGTGGAGTAATTAATTATACTAGTCTTGTGATAGGACTATGCTGCAGGACATCTTTAAATACAATAAAACAAACAAAAGAATGTATTTTTGAGATGGAAAAAACCCATTAAACTCGCTAAACTGTTACCGTTACCGACACCTCTGTATATAAGTATCTACATATATTGTAGCTGTCTGGTAGCGCTCGTTTGACTTTCCTGTATCTTGTTTGTCTGTAGCGACGCGTGCCAGTTGTGCGAGTGTAGCGGGGAGACAAATGTGGTGCAGAGCGCGCTGTCGCTGCTGGAGGCGGTGGTTTCGTACTCTATGCTGCCGCGCGGCGCGCTCCGCACCTTCGTTGAAGCACTCTGCCGCACCGTCAATGTCGAGCATTACTGTCAGCACAGCTGGAAGGTGAGTACCGTGCAAGCGAAGAATTAATTATAAAATGTAGTATTATCCATGAAATATTCACACTCACACAATAAACATAAAAAATATCTATTTTCATACATATGATCGGACGTTTTCAGTTGATGCGCAACGTAGTAGGAGCAGACGTGGGCCACGCGGCCTTGCATGAGATGGTGGATATTTTACGCCGGTCCGGGTCGACCGGAGCCAGCGGCAAGACAGCGGCTATCAGAATGACCGCGGCCAGCGGGACTAGTGGGTCCAGCGGGACGAGTGGAGCCAGCGGGACAAGCGTGCCCAGCGGGACAAGCGCGCCCAGCGGGACAATTGTGCCCAGCGGGACAGTCGTGCCAAGCGGGACAGTCGTGCCCAGCGGGACAAGTGTGCCCAGTGGGACTAGCGTACCCAGCGGGTCGAGCGTGCCCAGCGGAATGAGCGTGCCCAGTGGGGCGAGCGTGCCCAGCGGAACGAGCGTGCCCAGTGGGGCGAGCGTGCCCAGCGGAACGAGCGTACCCAGCGGGACGAGCGTGCCTACCGGTACCAGCGTGCCCAGCGGGACGAGCGTGGCCAGCGTAACGAGCGTGGCCAGCGGGACTAGCGGAGCCAGCGCTATTGAGGAGAGCGACGCGGGGCTGGTGAGGGGTGCCGTCTTCTACATCAACATGGCGCTGTGGGGCCCGAGGAGGGTGCCCACTTTGAAAGTATCGTTTTTAGCGGTACTACCTGCGTTCCTTAAGGTATGTAGCGGTTATTTAGTAAATAATATATTTGAGGCATCATAAGCGAAACATGCTGCATATATATGTATATATCTATATATATATATATAAATGAAGAAACTGCGAGACTGATCCACTGACTGATCGATCGACGCGCAGCTGAAACTGAGTATAGAAGCATGAAATTTTGCACAAATGTTCCTTAGGTGACGTAGGATTTTTAAAAATGCAACCCCTAAGGGTGTCAAATAGGGTTTGAAAATTCATTTGAAACTTCGTCATTTTTGATAGTTGCATTTTCAAACTTACAGTAAATACTCTTTATTAAAACGAATAAAAAACGTTGCTACTAATTTTTCAAAATGACGAAGTCGTTTACAATAGCTCTAGTACATATATGTATATATATATAGTCGATATATATATATATATATACGCCATCCGTATATATATATATATATATATCGACTGCACGAATGGCGTAGTGGTTTAAGCGGTCGCTACGCCGCTTACTACTACGCTGAGTGTTGTGGGTCAAATACAAATTCAAAAATCTTATTTTATTAAAAAAAACAAATTGTTTGCAATCGCAAGGGGTTGAGCCTTATAAGAAGAAAGGGCAAAAAAAACTCATGGCTACAAAATCTACGATCCCCATATGAGACGATGCTTTGTGTGATCCACAAATTGTTGTTCTGAGTCTGGGTGTTCTTTGTGTCCGTTTCATGTATGTTTGTAAAGTCCCCCGCGACACAGGATATAATCTTAATGTGGAAGTTGTCTTAAAAAAAATACATTTTGATTTAGGCCTTGGAACGTAATCAGCCCGTAGTAACATACGAGGTGGTGGTGAGCGTTCAGAGCGTGGTGTCCAGGGTACCGATGGAGCTCACTCTACCCGCTTGGGACATTCTGCTGCCCATCATCGCTACTATAGTGTACCAGGACAGTAAGTCAAATATCATTTTGTGTCCCATCGAAAAAGTTCAATATTTTATCGGCTACAATACCCCGATTGTAGCAAATTTCTATTCTCATTATAACCAAATGGCTGATCTCCTTGGATTTTGGCATCATATTGTAAAACTAGTTATTACCGATATACAAAATTTTAAGATTCCATACGCTACAGAAAATTACGATCCGCCGAACGAGTTGATCCACACGCGGGTGCACGCGGTGATCACCAACATCGAGCAGCTGCACGACGCGGGCCACTATTACGGCGACGTCAACAAGCTCCTGGACCTCATCGACTACTGCGGACACGACCGACCCGTAAGTACTTCTCACACAACTGCTGACGACTATGCACAAAAATGGGTTGTTTTTCATTTCATCGTTCAAATAATCATCATCATCATCATCAGCCTATCGCAGTCCACTGCTGGACATAGGCCTCTCCCATTGCACGCCACTTTGATCGATTTTGGGCTTCTCGCATCCAGCTCCTGTCAGCCATCTTGCGCAAATCGTTACTCCACCTGGCCTGTGGGCGTCCTACACTACGTTTGCCGAGACGCGGTCTCCATTCAAGAACTTGTTTCCCCAACGGTTATCGGTTCTGCGGCTAATATGGCCAGCTCACTGCCACTTCAGCTTGCTGATCCGGTAGGCTATGTCGGGGACCTAGGTTCTCTGCCGGATCACCTCATTCCTGATGCGATCCCTTAGAGAAACTCCGAGCATAGCCCTTTCCATAGCACGTTCAAATAATCATCAATCGTATTGGAAGCTTTTTTATAATGACAACGCGTAACAGACAAAATCGGCCATCGAATAAACTCGTTTTATGTGGACATGATCGATTTACTGAAGAATATTACAGTTATGTCAGACGATGAGTGCAGAAACTAGGTCTACGACTCGATAATTGTTATAAATTTATTATACCTGAAGACGACCCACGATCGAGTATCGACACTCTCGATATTTCGATGTCAGACGATGAGCGTAGAAAACTAGGTCTCCGACTCAATAATTGTTATAGTTAAACCGCCGTAAGCCGCCGCCGCCCTCCTGATGGTTTGCGGGACGCGGGGCGGGTGATGCGCTCGGCTATACATGACACGATGTACTAACTCGATATCTTCAGATTTATTTGTTTGAGATTTAATCTACACACGATGTAATAAAAATCGAATTTATTTCCATGTATTATAATGTCAGTGTATTGTAAGTTTTTATGATTAATTGTAAAATTTAATACTGTAAAATAATTTTAATAGAATCACCTTATCTTCATCATGTAAACTATATTCAGATAAAATTTAAAAATTAAGTAAAATAATAAATATTTTTTATTAGAATTTTAACAGTAGAACCTCTGTAAGCCGAACTTCAAGTTTTTAAATCTTTTTGTGACGCAGAGTCGGCAGATTATCCATGTTGCAAAATAATACCGTGTGTAGCAGTCTTAAGAAAAATAACACGTACAGCCATGCTTTCACGTCAGTCACTGCCGGCGGACAGCGACGCACTAGCTAATCGGTCGAATGCACCCCCGCCCCGCGTCCCGCAAACCATCAGGAGGGCCAAGCTTACGGCGGTTTAACTATACCTTATCATATCTGCGGATGACCGATCGAGTAAGTTTTAACGTGCACGTGTCGCGCAGGAGTCGTCCAGCACGCGGCTGGTGTCGTGGCGCGGCGCGGCGCTGGTGCCGGGCGGCGCGGAGTGGCCCGGCGCCGCGCTGGCGCTGGCCGAGCGCTACCTGCGCCACGAGCCGCGCCGCACCGTGCGACTGCACACCCTGCACGAGATACTCGCCTTCATCAAGCGACACAGGTCAGTCCCTGTTCAACTCTACCTTCGTTTATCGCCACTTTCTCACTCGACTCGATTACGATGTTCTCGATTGTCCATATTTAAGTCAGAAATACGACCGTAAAAATCGAATTCCGCTCAGGTTTACCTGACACTTATTTAACATATTGAAAGCCTGTACGATGTCAAAGGTTATTTTAAGAATTATATTCTTCGGTGCGACACCTTTCTCTTGTATTAATTTTCATAAGATTATGTGTTTAGACGTGAAATAAACGCTTACGGCTTTAAATATAATCTAACTGACCGCTCCCGACGTGTCTATTATTTCTAAATAACAAAATATTTATGTGACACTGATAATGCAACGATCGATGATACGCGCAGGTACGTGTACGGCGAGGAGCTGATCGAGCTGGTGGGGGTGCCGGTGCTGAACACGTGCGCGACGGACGCCGACTGTGCCCTGCGCGGGGCTGCCGCGCGCGCGATCACCGACCTGGCCAAGGGCACCATCACCGACGTCTGCACAGACCTCATCGACCTACTTGAAAAAGTACGCGTCCCACCTCCATCACACTCCCCTACGTTCGAAACGAGTAACTATACGACAAATTTGTGTAGGATGCTACTAAATAATACGCTATATAATTTGTTTTTGCAGATTTTAAACCGTCCGTTCGAGATGTACGTGACTGACGTACCGATCCCGGCGGACGCGGACGTGAGCGATCTGCACCTGGCCGCAGCGGGACTGCTGGAGCTGCTGCACGATAAGTTCCTGGCGCAACCTGCCAGCCATGCCGCGCGATGCTTCCTCGTACTGCTCGACCATGTCGACAACCACTACAAGAGACATACGCTTTTTCAATATCACCCTGACATACGGATGAAGGTACTGACTGTTAGGGCGGTGTTATGGCCGCGGCTGTGGAACATTGGCTGTGACCAACATACGAAGTACAACATAAATAATAGGAAAACTAAAGCATCTAACCGTAGCAGAATGGTTTATTAAAAGATTAATACAATATGATAAAAGTTGTTAGTGAAATCGTCCATAATTCTAATAGTTCCACGACCACCAGACCGGCCTGGTATTACACACTCACGGTAAGAAGTCGCCGGAGGCTTGCTTTGTCAAGTTAAATTCAGTGGGATGTTGCACGTCGGCCGATTCGTCCATTACTAGACAATAGGGAATATACATGTATTTTTTTTATTTTTTTAAACGATTCTACTAGTTATTACATTACCAAAAATAAATATAACACATCCGAAATATTAACCGTTAAATTTATTAAAATCACTATCATTTTGGAGCAATTTGAACACGTCCATTTTGGCGCGCTTTTTTATGACGTCAGATTACACTTTCAGACGAATTCGATGTCAACAACGGAGTGAAGTTCACAAAGTTTGTGAAAGTTAAAAAAACGAGTGATAAAAATTAACTTATTATCATGGAAAAGCCAATAAAAACTTATTATAAATATTGTGCCGTTCCTTTGTGCCAAAATAATATCAAAACTGCACCTGACAAAGTATATTCAGTCATTGTCTTGAGTCTTTCTACACGGGAATTTAATAATTTAAGACTGAAAACGTATTAGTTATTAAGTTTAAAATGAAACAAATAATTCACCAGAAACCAAATATTACAAATACACACAACTTGTTGACACTCTTGACAGTGTAGGTTGACGTCACGTTTTATTCAACCAATAGCGTTGCGTTTTAGGAATTTGCTAGGGAATCTTAAAAAAGCCAATTTTGGATGATTAAATTTCACTAATAAATTATAATAAAATTCAAAAATAATTGTATGGGTATCTTTTTTTAGCAATAAAAATTACAAATAAAAATATTTTGTCCATTTTGGTGTCACGTGCATATTCCCTATTGAATTAATTCTTTAAAAAAGACAACCCTAAATTTGACAGAACAGATGAGTTACCTAATAGAAAAAGCAAACCTCTGGGTGAATTTAACAGGTAAAATAGTTAGGACTGGGTGACCGTAGCACTACAAGTCGAGTGTTTAATAACGCGTCGTACGTTCGGCAGATATTCGAGATGCTGTTCGGTCTCCGAGCTAACCAGTTCAACAGCGTGGGCTTCTGCTACGACAGCGCGGGCGCGGCGGTGTACGGCGCGAGCTCGCTGCGCCTGCGGCCGCTGTGCTCGCCCTACCTGCTGGCCGAGCCGCCCGCCCAGCGCGCGCACCAGCCGCCCCCCGCACCCAAGGACCCTCCTCCCGTCAGTTACTTACTTTCACCTAGATAATCCACTCGTTTTTAACGATCCAATATTTTTTCTTAATTTGGCATGTTAGTCCTCGATGTTGACGCCTTGACACGTTCAGCGAAAACTTAAGCCTCGTTATACAAACGATTTAGGTAATCGCTCGAATCATGATATATTTTATAACCACAGACATCGTCACGTGTTGTTTGGATATGTCCAGGGTGCCTGTCTATTGCCAGTCGGGCGGGCGGTTCGTGCGATCACGACGGCTTTGGCCCGGGAGAAGGATTGGACGGTGCTAGTGAAGTTGCTACGTGCCCTGCCCTTGTTATTACAAGCGAGAGCGTTAGTCATCGGAAGACGTGCCCAAGATCTAGATATGCTATCCTCTACTTTGTGTTCCATGGTAAGACTTCTGCCAGCCTTATTTAAACGTTCATTGGCACACGATATGTCTGTCACAATTGACTAACCTCATGCAGTGAATATATATCATTTCATACAAATTATAAATAACTCTATGTAAAAAAAAAACAAGAAAAAGGTGTCGTTTTACCAAAAATAAATTAGAAAAAGATTTGTTTTAGTTACCTTAAAAAATGATACTACAAAACCAAGAAAAAAACGAACTGTATCTATTTTTGTTCTAACTAAAGCTTTAGATTGATTTGTTCACAACTGACTGAATGTACATTTTAAAACCTAAAACCCAGTTTCCTCGCCTAAACTAACCAAGGAGATCCACAGAATTGAGAAATAATCAATTCTGTGGATAAGGAAAAAAAACACAAATATTTAAAGATATAAATCTGATAAATAAACAGAGAGTGCTACAAGGTAGTATACTGAGCCCTTTATCATAATTCATCATGGAAATAAAAAATGTTATTGTACTAGCGATAAGTTAATATGAGCCAATTGAGACGTCGGTATGTATTATTTAGCCGTTGATGTGTTGACACTGTCCCGGGGTCAGATATCAGACAGAAGCTTGAATTTCCCGGAGTGTCTGCGAGGAGGCGGGACCGGAGGCCAGAAACCGTCGATGTCGGAGTTTCACAGTACGGTGCTCCCGGGCCTGGCGGCCTTGGCGCCCTACCACGCGTTCCTCGAGCCGCAGACCCAGCAGCGCATCGTGCGCTGTCTACTCAAGTACGGGATGGGTGAGTGCCTGCTCCACACCTACGTATTCTTACAACTCTATCTTCCGATTGGCTAACAAAAGCCTGTTAAACACCCACGTTTTGCCAAACACATTTGCACAGACTTAGTCGAAATGGACAACGATTGACGTCAACCAGGAAATTTTTAATTGAAGAAAGAAAAATTGGTAGTACATATACTACGAATTTTTCTTTCTTCTTTCTTTTCTTAAAAGGGGTAAGAAGCTGAAGAAACATACAAAGGATTGGGCAATGCAAGTCCAATCAGGATGGGGTTGCGTAACTGTTACTCAAACCCCCTTTTTTCTATAAAATAGGCTGCAAACAAGCAGACCTGATGGAAAGTGACCACCCCCTACTATACCCCCTACTTCTTTTTTAAATTATGATGTTGACAGTGAATAATATATTTGTGTCGCAGTCCTCCGCACGCCGCAGCCCTATATCAACGCACTCACGATCTTCACGCTAGAGACTCGCGAGACTATGGTCAAGATGTTACCAGAGGTCCTACTAGATCTATCGAAGATATCGGACACCAAAGCTATTGCTAGTCCCATGCTCGAATTTTTATCCAGTAAGTCTATTTACAACAATAATAATATAATAATAGGTCTTTACCTATGAAATTTCCGTTTTGTATGCAATAAGTGAAAGTACTTATTTTTTCAAACCTTTTTATTTCTGTGGTGGTCACAACTGCAACCAGCTTTGGTCAATCGGTCGTCCCCACTGCTCCTTCACGACAACGCGCGACCCCATACTGCGCAACAGACAGCCTCCAAGCTGCAAGAGCTGAGGTTGGAAGCTCTCCCTCGTCCGCCATACTCACCAGACCTTGCACCTACCGACTATTACTTTTTCCAAAATTTAGACAACTTTTTAGTGGGTAAAAAATTCAATTCCCGAGAGGCAGTACAAAATGCCTCTGAAGAGTTTGTTGCCTCCCGTCCAGCTGATTTTTACAAGAAGAGCATCAATAAACTGCCAATGCGTTGGCAAAGATGCGTCGATTGCATGGGTGATTACTTCGAATAACAGAAATAAAAAAGTTTGAAAAAATAAGTACTTTCACTTATTGCATACAAAACGGCAATTTCATAGGTAAAGACCTAATAATAATATTCCACCACATTCACACAACGCCATCTAGTCCCAAACTAAGCAGAGCTTGTACTATGGACACTAGACAACTGATATAAATACATATATACTTTTTTTTTTGTAAATACATACCTATTATACATAGAAACACCCAGACCAAACCAAACATTAATGTTCATGCACACAAATGTTTGACTACAGCGGGAATCGAACCCGCGAACTTTGAATAGCAGTTACACAAACCACTACGCCGTCCGGTCGTCAACTAATATTACCAACTAATTTACTGTTCTGATATAATAATATGAACCTTACGACAAAAACACTTTTTCTTTTAAGTAGAACTACAGCCTAATTTATTTATTCGCTTGGTCCTTCGAGCCAATTAGAAATAGTCTTAATTTTGTCTTCTTATTCCCACAGCTCTGACGCGATTACCGAAGGTATTTGCGTCTTTCGTAGAAGACCAATATATGTCAGTGTTCGCCATCCTGCTCCCGTACACCAACCCCTCGAGGTACAACCATTACGTTGTCTCCCTCGCACACCACGTCATCGCGGCGTGGTTCCTCAAGTGTAGAATGTCGTATAGAAGAAATTTCGTCAGGTTCATTATACACGTTAGTATATTTAATTTAACCTTTGATATCTATACTAATATTATAAAGCTGAAGAGTTTGTTTGTTTGTTTGAACGCGCTAATCTCAGGAACTACTGGTCCGATTTGAAAAATTCTTTCAGTGTTAGATAGCCCATTTATCGAGGAAGGCTATAGGCTATATATCATCACGCTAAGACCAATAGGAGCGGAGCAGCAATAAATAATGTTTCAAAAACTGAGAAAATTTATTACTATTGAGTAGTGATGTGCCGGATCGTTAACAAAGTATATCCGCGGATACGGATCCGAATACGGATATTTGGTGTCAAGATCCGCGGATACGGATCCTCAGTTTTTTACTCAATGACCCGTGACCTTGATAGTTGTCGCCACTTGACGCTTTGCCGTTGATATTAAAATATTTCATTATTTTAATAAGCTAATACAAAAATGTTTGATGGATCTCATTATAAAGATAGCTCTCTCAGTACCTACGACCTGCCTAGTTGATTTAGTATAGTACGATAAATGATTGCAATACAAAGATGCCAAATATTTGTTTTAAGAAATAAAAAGTAATCTGAACAGAATTCAATAGTTTTTCATAGCTACCTAATAATCATTATTCAGGGTTATTTTAAATTTACTGAAAACCTCTGAAGTGCATATTAGTAACATTATAAACAACAACTTTTCTTCTGGACTAACACCGAAAACGAAAGAAAAAAAATTGTTTCTCCATACAAACTAACAACATTTGATTGGTCATTTGAATGGAGGACCATCTTTTTTCATTTTGACGTTGGCCAGAAAAAAAGTTGCTGTTTATAGTGTTACAAACACATACCTAAGAGTTTTACAGTGAATACAAAATCACCTATATAGAATTTCATCTATGTAATATGTATTGAAAGATCCGCCAAAAAAGTCACGGATACGGATACGGTTACGGATCTCTCTTCTCCCTTGGATATCCGCGGATACGGATACGGATATCCGGCACATCACTACTATTGAGAGACGCAGACGAAGTTGCGCGGGTCAGCTAGTTAAGAATATTTGATATCATGTGCTTTATCCCCAGGGTCTACACAATTACATTATAATGCCTTTCGAGGAGCAGCTACAGTTCAGGAATAATTTCCAAAACTCAAATGAAGACTCATCGAACAGACAGCGCTCGTCCAGCTTGGTACGTGTTTCATTCATTGCTGTATTCACCATTTGTTTTATTTTGCAATTCTTTCGTTATTCACAGAGTGAGTAAGGTTATCAAAAGATTATTTTAGGAGGGTTCAGCCCCCCCCCCCCTCCCCCTCTCAATAATTCCTATCCTCATCTGTAACATAAAAAATTAACTCAAGTAAAAGAGTTATGAAAGTGTGTAGAGAGCTGAAGAATAATATTAATAATGCGTGAATCATGTTTAATATCCATATTAAAATCTCAGACACGACATGGCAGTCTGATCCCAAACTAGGTAGAGCCTGTACTATGGTAACCAGACAGTTGTATCTCTATCTGGTAGTAGTTTATTTTAAATAAGTAACACTGTAAAAAATTTGACCACCGAGGACAGTTAAGCAAGTGGAACAGCAGTAAGTTCACGCAATCAGAATATATAACGATGTTTTTACCTCCCCAGGGTTCTAGGGCGGTTTCGCGCGCGCCCCTGGGAGGCCGCGGAGGGGGCGCGTCGGCCTCGTCCTCAGCCTCCGCCACCTTCCACGTGGAGCTCACGGAGACCTGCCTCGACCTGCTGGCGCGCTACACCTCCACGGTCTGCAGCGTCAAGCCACAGAGGTAAATGCCCTTACATTATATCCAATGCTTATTAAAGACCAACGGTTTTCCTCACGTTGCTATGCGTTTAGTTCCTGGCCGGATGGAGACCCTTTTGTACCTGTAAAACCCCCCTCTGGCCGTCACCCCGCAAGGATCTCGTGCTCAACCCTCGGGAAAATCGTCCAAGCACTCTCTAACATTACCCCCTCGCGAGCCCTCACTATGGCAGTTGGTGTGGATACCCTTCCTGAACCACTGCTGGGCCACTCTTACGGCGGCACGGCACGCTTTAAGGCGTGGCTGCGCTGCTCACGGAGGTGGCCGCGAATTGGATCCGAATCCGGAGGGCCCAGGAGGAAGATCTCCCGTCGGAAATGGAGATCTTCCTCCCGGGCCCTAACGTCCTCACACAAGGCTGCGACCACAGTAAAACATCTATCGCTACCGGCCATGGTTGTGATAGTGTTGCATTGTTGCCACAGATTCTGAAGTCACAACGGTACTAAAACCGAGGGTCTTTCGTACAATGCGAATTGCTTACGAATAATTACAATGTTTTTTTTTCTAAAATGTAATGTTTATACTATCTCTACAGAAGCGACACGGCAGAATTTTTATTCAATGGTGGTCAATCGATGACGTGGTTAGTGGGCCATAAACTGGTCACCATAACGACATCAGGATGTCTACAGAACTCCATCAAACAGGGACTGTGTGAGAGGTTGGTCTTATTAACTATTAAAGTTAAAATTTCTAGATACCAGAATTCCATTAAATGTACAGTCAGCAGCAAAGATAGTCAAAAACTAAATGTCAAAACTACTGAACGATATTTGGCGCAAATCTAGCCAGCGGTGGAATGTTCCAAAACTGAGTAATTAGTAGATAATGTTACTAGCGGGGTATACAATAAATAAAAGTTGTCGGTTAATTACTTTTATTGCACTGTATTTACTAACACTCACTATAACAAACAAGAAATCACTATATAACTCGTTAGTCGCACTAGAAATTAAGTTTGATGTTAATTCGCTTTACTGGAATGATCCCTAGTATTCGATAGTCCGTTCCAGACACACATGAATATTCCAGCATCAGTCATGCGTTAATTGCAGCGCCATCTAGCGCTGTAAGGTCAGAATTATTAATTACAATCTCGATAGTTGTACTTAACTCGATACTAGATGGCGCTGTCCTCCACATTCCATACAATTCTGGAACAATCGAACCATTTAATCCCATGGCTCAACAATACCTATAAATGAACTGATTGAGTAGTCACCAAAAGTTAGAGATCAAAGACATCAAAATTAACTTAATATAAATTTTATTCTTAGCATTTTTTTTAGGAACTAAAACTATGTTCCAAAACAAAATGATACATTATCTACACGTCTTCCCCGGCATTGCACACATTCGACATTCGCGACCATACTTTGGCGAATTGTAAAACCAAACTAACACATGTTTGTGACTCCTGTACAGATGCGCGGCGCTATGTAAGCAGCACGCAGAGAATGTGGCCAGCCCTCTGCCGCCCCTCACTCCGCCTATACCATATCAAAACTCGAACTCCAACGGAGACAGTGATGCCACTCCGGCACCGCAAACGCCCCAGGTACTTCACGATATATGAGATATATGACATATATGACAAATTTGTATTAAAGTCTAAAATTGGGAACAAGGAAAATCGAACGAAAAATTATCTGCATCTTAAGTTAACCAGAAGTATTACCACAAACCACTATACTTCTAAAATCTAAATGGCGTGCAATGGGAGAGGCCTATGTCCAGCAGTGGACTGCGATAGGCTGATGATGATGACTATACTTACTTCGAGTTCGGTAAATTACGTATCATTTAAATTAATATAAGCTAAATCCCTCTATAACCTGCTTAAAGACCTTGGATTTCCAAGAGCTTCAGTGAGCTCATGATTCATCATCATCATAAGAAAAGATTCTTGAACGAATATCCAAAGCGGCATTGCTAGGCTCGTATTAAATATGACTAGGTATAGGGGGTAACACCGCAGACAGAGGAGATGAGCGCTGACGCGTCGCAAGGAGTACTCCCTAAACCTATCCCTGGGTCGCAAGGCCCAGGCGCTGTCAAAGTCGCATGTGTTTCCCCCATTTATAACGCGATGGAAATTGGTCTTAAATATATGTTTATATTGGTCCTTCGAGCCGGATACATACTTATAAAAAAAAAGTCCACTATATTTACAACGAAATATATAGAAACAAACATATCGATAACGTAGAGTATTTTTTTGATTTAATTAGGTCCAAGTGAATGACGAACCAAACGACGCCCAAATGAACTCAACCAACAACCAATCAAATCTACAACCGTCGCAAGCGCAGACCAACCCGCCAGAAGTGAAACGGTCAGTCACACTAACTAACTTGACTAAATTTCAATTACATACCATAGAGTTTGTAGAGAGAAGTATTGGTAATGTTTGATTGCACTATTGACGTTTACCGGATTTTTATTGTACCCTGTACCTATCATTGAAATCTTTTACCGAATACCATGATTTCGGTACGTCAATAGTACAATAAAAGTGAAGGAACTGTGTGATGTGGGCACGCTTAACTGACTGCTGTCCCACGTGGGCTTGTGTTATCTAAATTGTCTTTTACCTGAATTGGCTTTACTTTATATACAAACATCCCACATGTACTGTTACTAACGCTTCGCTCTTGTTACTTCGCGCCGGGTACTCGAATGATATGGTGAAAATCGGTATTCCAAACACGTATTGTTGTTTTATGGCATTTGGCAAACGTCCTGGACCTCAATTCTGCTATTGTCAAACGAGTGTCGATGGAATGTCGTCGTAATAGTTTCGCATTTTTCGTATTCTACTAACTATGTAAGACTAATGGCCTGCCACTGATACAAATGTCGTCGATGTCTTTGTAATAGTTTGGTAAACGGTAATAATAATAATATTGTATTTAAAAAAGGAAAATTTAACTTTTCAGATATGGCGATGTTGTTAATACCACTATTGATGTATATTAGTAGAATACTGATATTTTGACCGATAACAGTGTCATCTCAATAGCTTGTCAATGGAATGACAGTGTCTTGCTTGTACGTTAACATAATATAGCATAATTAAGGCACTGACGGGTCACCTTAATACTACTGCCGCCCGTGGTCACCTACAGTCACAAGTATCTGACTGACGTTTGTGTCCTCCCCAGAAATAGGGTAAGGGGGTTTTGGGCTGCGGTAACCTCACTCTCTCTTTGAAAAGCAAGGAAAGAACCTTTTATTAGTGGTTTTCTGTGAGGCCGTGGCATCACTCTGGTCAGGCTACACCCATTTGTGTCGATGCGTGACTCTCCCACTTGAAACTTAATAATTTAACCTAGATTGACTGCACGGATGGCGTAGTGGTTTAATCAGTCACCTTTCCGCTTCCTACTGCGCTGAGTGTTGTGAGTTGGATCCCCACAAGGGACAACATTTTATGTGATCCACAAATTGTAATCTATATTGTATTGTGTTGTAATCTGTATCCGTTTTATGTATGTTTGTAAAGTCCCTCGCGACAGGATATATTCCTAGTGCGTGAGTTGTCTTTAAAAAAAAAATACGACACCAAATCAAATAGCGATAGTTAAAATATCAAAACTTTTCGTTATGTGTACCAGCGGTATAGGTCCCATTACTCATATTAGTCCTAACATTACAGACCATAAACAACAAATATCGATCATGGCGAGTAGTTTGATTAAGAGACGTGTTATTGTTAAAACTTTTATGTAAATTAGAGCTAGTCAAAGATCATCTATTATTCATGAGTCTTGCATGACAGTTTCAATTGTAGCACAACGGTAGAACGGCTTCAAATCATTAGATTAAAACGAGAAACTATTTGAAAGTTTATCCGAGGCACGTTAAACTCTTACTGAACACGATACATAGACATCATTCGAGTATCCATATATCGGTTATATAGATATATAGCAAGCGAGTGTGATGTGTTGTGTGCATGTGTACTGGTGTGTGACCTGACGCCGCATACGCAGGTACAGCAAGTACTCGCTGCAGCACAGCCGCAGTACGGAGACGTCGTCGTGCTCCTCTCTGTCCGTGTCCGACACCACGGCGTCCATGCTGCCGTCCTCCGGCCACACCACCAGGTGTGGCCTCGTCTCTGACGCGTCCTTAGACCCTTAGCATTGCACGCTTGCACGTACACGTCTACGTGCATAGCTACGCATGCACGCATAATAACAGTGCACGTCATCATGCTTACGTTTCGTTGCATCACGGCTTTATATTTTTCTTTATCCAATTTTCGTTCTGAATGAAGTTTTTTGTTATTATTTTTACACAGTATATTATATTCGCTAAGCTGTTGTCTTCGGCAGTATATACGCTTTTGATTTGATTAAGCCGTGTGATTATAGAATCAATAAAAATACTGTTTTTAGAATAATCACACCTGTTTATTTTATTCATGCTAATGTACTATATTATGTGTCGTGTTTTAGACAAAATTCGTCGGAGAATAACAAGACAAACGACCCGCTGGGGTCAGTGTTCAACAAGTATGCAGAGTACTTGGAAAGGGTATCCAAGGAAGTGGTAAGAAATGTCGTATTTGTTTCATTTGCTTTTTAAAGATAACCAAAGGCCAATTCTCGTATTTTAAAACATCAGAGATCGAAATCTGATTGTATCGAGACTGAATTATGAATTGAATATAAATAGGTATTCTGCTAACAAAAAATATAATAGGAAAAGCAGTACAACAAATATAAAATGGTTTATAGGACTTCCTTTCCTAAGGTAGGCAGAAAATCTATCTGTATCTGAGGAAATAGTAGAACACACTTTACATAAAGCTAAGTATTGTCAGTAGTTTTCTTGTCTTGCGAAGGTATTTTGTTTGTTGTTTATTTACTTAAACTTTTAGTAAGTACAAAGTTTCTAATAAACTCTGTCAATAGTACAACTTAACTGCGTATTGAGCACTCCACAAATACAATCAACGTTTATGTCCACTCATAATGAAGGAATTAAACTCCCAAACACTTAACCTCCGACGCGTCGCCGTCACAACAGTTGTGACACCAATTTTTTACGCGGTAGCGTCTCTGTCACAACATTTAGAAGAATATATATCAGGGATTCCAAATATGTTTATTTCATTGATGGATTATAATTATAAAATAACGTAGATATTGAGGTAATAATGACTTCGCTCAGCTGTGACTGGGTCATTAGTTCAAGGGCGCGACAGTAACGGGTCATAGGTCATCCGCGCGCCGCGACGTTCTAAGAGTTAAGACGGCAAATGTACACAAAATCATTTTCGAGGAAACTGCTTTCTTACAGGCTACTGTTCTTCTTCTTCTTCTTCTTCATAAATGGCAAACTGTGCCGATGTCGACAATTCTGCCAGTGTCAAGTGCGATGGAAATACGTGGGTTTAATTACACAAAAAATTGAATTGATGATATTAATTGTAGACTGAATGTGGGGCTTTTTGTTGTGGTTAGTATTTACACTGAAACAAGCAGACAAGTACAAATAGATAAGATATGTATTAAATAAATAAATAGGTAACTAATAAGCAAACAATCACAAAAAAAAAATAAAATTCAAAATTCATAGAAATGAAGGTCAAAGTCTGATGTCATTGGATCGGATGAACAACATCAAGACCTGGAGAAGGCGGGGGGATGAAAATGTTAGGAGAGATGAGAAGTTAATAGGGATGGGGATTTTTAGTTCGGTAAGGTGAGAATAGAGATCTAGGGATGGGATATTTTTAGGACAACTGAAGAATATGTGATCTAGATTGCCTTCATCTAAGCCACATTCACATAAGGACGAATCCCGTACCCGAATCTTGTTCAGGAACACAGGTGAGCTGCAGTGACCTATGCGGAGCCTACATATGGTGGAGATGACACGTTTACATACCTTCTTAAATTTATAGAACCAGGGTTTTGGGGTAATGCTTGGTTGGATTGCGTAGTAGTGACGCCCTTTATGCTTTGAGGAATTATTCCACTCTTCCTGCCAGGATGTTAACAATTCTCTCTGAGGCAGTCTTAAGAGATCGTAATGCTGGTGTGTAAGATGTTTCTGGTCCGACATTGCAGAAGTAGCAGCACTTTTGGCCAGTGAGTCTGCACACTCATTGCCCACAATGCCACTATGGCTGGGAACCCACACCAGTTGAACTATTTTTGAGTTGGTGGAACAATTCAAAAGGGTTTTTTTTATTTCAAGGATCAGCGGACTGTGAAGTTTACTACGAAAGGGATTTTGTAGCAGGGCTTTAAGGCAACTTAGAGAGTCAGTGAATATGACTGCCTTGTGGATGTTGTGCGAGTCAATGTACAAGCATGCCTCTAAGATAGCAACACACTCGCCTGTAAAAACTGAAGCCTCTTTTGGACACTTATATTGTAAGAGAATTCTGGAGTTTTGGAAGTACACAGCGGCTCCAGTGTAGCTATCATTATTAAGTTTGGATGCATCAGTAAAGAACCTCTCAAACCCATCCCAGTGTTCAGCTAAGTGTGTATTAAAGGTGGAAACAGAAGAGGCAGATTTTTTAGGGATTCCAACATCCAGAAGAACATTCGGCTTAAAACAAAGGACGCTATAATTAAAGGAAAACAGAGGGAGTTTGTCAAATGACACAGCAGAGTTAAAAAAAGTAGAGTAGGAGCGAAAGGATTGTAGAATCAATGGAATTCCCTTATGAGTCCAGTAATTTGAGGTAGTACAAATGGAGTCTAATTCTAAGATTTTTGGAAGAAGAGGATGGGAAGATTTACAAACAGATTTTATTATAAAACGTGAAGCGAGAAATTGTCTTCTTATTGATAAAGGTGGATCTGAACATTCCACTTGTAAGGCATTTATAGGGGAGGACTTCATGCAACCAGTAACAATGCGAAGGCACCTAGATTGGACTCTGTCCAGCTTTGCCAAAGCGCTTTTATTGCATGGAATCAGTAAAAATAGCCCATAGTCCAATATACTGCGTACTAAGGCATTATATACCAGTTTCATGGTGTATGGGTGTGCTCCCCACCAGACCCCAGCTAGGGCCTTTAAAATTGGGATTACACGTTCACATTTTGCGGTTAAATGGTTCATGTGGTGAACGCCAGTCAATTTAGAGTCAAGATATACCCTAGGAACTTAAATTTGTTTAATAAAGGAATTTCCTGCAGCTGTACTTGGACATCAATCTGTGGCAGAGTCTTCTTTCTTGTAAAAATAACAACCGCACTTTTCTGAGCAGAAAGACTAAGGCCATGATCTGATAGCCACTGCCACAGAGAATTAAGGGAAATAGTGAGTGATGTGGCTGCCTCTTGGATGGAATGGTTCGAAACATATAATGCCAGATCGTCGGCATATTGAAGGATGCTACAATCATTGTTTAGGCATGAACCCATGTCGGCAGTGTATAGATTGTACAACAACGGACTCAGTACAGAGCCCTGTGGTAAGCCCCTCCAGGTCTTTCTTTGGCCAAACTCTTCACCTAAGGTCCTTAGGACTAGAGTTCTGGACACAAGCATTGCGCATATGCAGTGGATCATCTTAACCGGAATTCTCAGCTGATGCAGTTTCTGCCTGAGAATGGGTATTAAGACATTGTCATATGCAGCAGATATGTCGAGAAAAGATGTTAGAACAGATGCATTTTGTGACAAAGAAAGACGGATATCAGTTATTAAAACTGCAACACTGTCCATTGTACTGAGCCCTTTGCGAAAGCCGAACTGATAGTTTGGCAGTAGATTCCTTGACTCTACAATCCATTCGAGACGGTTTTTGATGAGATGTTCTAATAATTTAATAAGGACTGATGAGAGGGCGATTGGTCTAAAGCTGTTTGGATCACCAGCATGTTTTCCTGGTTTTAGAATGGGGATAATAATTTGAACTTTCCATGTATCTGGGATCCAACCGTTAGAATAACAGAAATTCAAAATGTTTAAAAAATAAGTTTTTGTACTAGGCTTGGCCTGAACTATGAAAGAATATGGAATGCCGTCTATGCCAGGAGCCGAGTCTCGCACACTGTTGAGGACCATGTTCAGTTCTTCCAGAGAGAATGGGTCGTCATGGGTATCCACTGACTGAAACGGTAAGTCTGGTAAGGTCGCTTCATCGAGTTGTGGGACATACGGGGGGGCAATTCTGTCCAGGAAAAGCTCAGCTGTATTGGGGGAGATAGAGGAAGAGACAGAGGGCGAACAACCAGATCGGAACCGATTTATGTTCTTCCACACCATTGAGGATGGGGTGGATGGGGACAAGGAGGAACAAAATTTAACCCAACCGGCGCGCTTCTTGCGTCGAAGGAGTCTTTTGGTAGAGGCGAAAACGTTTTGGTAGGTGAGTAGATTATGGGTGGTCATATCGGCATTGTATCTCCTTTCGGACTCCTTCCTATACTTGACTGCCCTAGTACATTCACTGTCCCACCAAGGAGGTGACGGAATTTTGCCTTTGCTCGAGTTTTTAATTTTGAAGGAACTGTCTGCACTTGATCTGATTGCCTCTACGAACGCGTCACAACAGTCCATCACCAGGTAACGATCATCCTGGGTTAAGGGTCTAAGGTCTAGTCTGGGGAGAGCATTCACAGAGTTTTCGAGGGTTTGGGAGAAATTTTGCCAGTTAGCTTCTGAAAGGATATATTTTAAAAGGGGGGGGGGAGATTTTACCAAGTGGGTTGAAGTTGGGAGGGTTACTAAAATTGGATAATGATCGCTACCATGGGACAGATCGGTGCACTGCCAGCTAGCAGCTGCGGCGATGTCGAGTGAGCAAATAGTCAAATCCACACAGCTACTATTTTGACCAGGAAGAACTCTACGAGTGGAGCAGCCACTGTTAAGTACGCAGAGGCTCAGATCATCGAGGATCTCCACTAAACCTGAACCGAAAGAGTCGCAGTGTTCAGATCCCCATCTATAGTGATGGCAGTTAAAGTCTCCCATAACCAATATTGGGCCCTGTAGATCCTGTAAAATCATTCTCAATGTAGGCAGGAAACTTTGATGGGGGTGGGCTATATAAATAGAGAGCACAGATATGTTACAGATCTTAGCTGCAACCATGCTGATATCCTCAAGGAATGGGGGCAAGGATAGGGGGACTAAGGGGATTTTATTATTAATAAGGAGGGCAGCACCTCCATAGCCATCAGGCCTATCACATCTAAGAATATTGAAATGGGGGACATGGAAGTTGAGACTTGGTAAAAGCCAGGTCTCAGCGAGAGAAATAGCCAGAGGCTTGAATTTGTTCAACAGGAATATGAGGTCGTGTTTTTTATGGAATACACTCCTCACATTCCATTGTAGGAATACTTTGTGGGACGCCATTTTTGAAATTTGTTAAAATATTGATAAGTGAGACAGCAACGTTGGACGGTATAATAGACTGGGATAGAGATGAATTGGGGGATAGTAGGGAGGTTAAGAGTTGTAACAGAAGATCAATAGTTGAGGATTCAAGGGATGAGTTATTCATAGCACAACCATTAGGTTGTGAAGGTTGGGGAGGTTGAGTAATGGCTTGGTGTGCGACTTTATCGTAGGAGTGTGAGAGTGGGGATCGAGGTTTAGGTTGGCGAACCACAGTTTTTTTGTAGGACTGTGTGTGCTGGAGGGATTGGGTAGGCTGAGTGGATTGAGAAGGTTGAGGGAGTTGGTTGAGTTGTGGAGCTTTTAGGATGTCAGCGTATCGGCGTGTTGGAGAGGGAACAACCTTGCTTGCTTCCATGTAGGATATGTTCCTTTCCGCCATCATGGTCTTAATAGCTCTCTGTCTACCATACTCCGGGCAAGCCTTGCTATAAGCAAAGTGGTCACCGGAGCACAGCACACAAAAGGCCTCTCTTTCTGATACCTCACAACCATTACCAGGATGTTCGTGGCCACACTTGCTGCATCTTGGTTTGGACCTGCAGATGGACTCCACATGGCCAAACCTGCAGCATTTCCTACACTGTACGGTTGGGTAAATATATTGTTGAACAGGAAGCGAGTTGTAACAACAGTATACTCTTTTAGGCAGAACCTGGCCATCAAAAGTGAGGACACAGGTTTCCGTAGGTTTCCACTCCAATAGACCTTCAGTAAAACATTTCCTATTAAGGCGCCTGACTTTAATTATTGGGCCACAACCCTGCGGCACTGTAACAAATTTAATGACATCCTCATCATCCATGTCGGTGGGGATGCCTGATACTACACCCATTCTAGTGATGTTAAAGGTGGGGATAATGGCAGTGTATTTATGTGAATTTAGTAAGGGGTTTATTAAGAATGAGTTGGCATCCTGAGGGGATGCAAACTGTACTGACACCCTATTACGGCCTACTTTTTTGACTCCATCTCTGACCACATTGTTAATTTTATTTTTAAAAAGGAAAACACCAAAAGAGACAGGGTGGAGGGTTGTGCCAGAACCCAATTGGGTCTCCATGCGGGAAACATGCACAATGTAGGGACCAGTATCATTTGTCGTGTACTTGTCACGACCTAGCGGGCTTCTTACTTGATTAGGGCTACGTTTAATAGGGGGGGTACTTACCTCATCGTTCACATGTCGTTTACGTGAGTTTGTAGCGAAAGGGCAATTATCTTGGACCGCTGCATTGCAGATCACATTGGCAAACTGTTCTAAGGGGTTGGAAGGGGTTGAGGGTTGATCGGGTAGGGAAGGAGTAGGGGTGAAAGGAGGGGTTACTGGATATGGAATATCGGGAGGGTCGGGCGGTTTATTTCCGTTCATGTTCACTTACCGGTAATGTTTAGTTGCAAACAACACACCGTAACCAATAGGACAGCACAAAATAACAAAAAAAAAAGACCCAATAGTCACAAAATCACACAAGAATTCTAGACGCACGTGCTAACCAAACGGACGACGACAGAATCCCCAAAATTATTTTGATCCAGGCTACTGTTGATCAACATTCAATCTCTTAAAAATGTCAAACTTGACGTTTGCATAACTATCACTAAGAATACGAGAATACGGATTTTACCGTTTTCAACTTTCGATGACAACTCTATATCATTACATTACAGTCAACTTTGGATGTCTAAAATTTGACTACGAGAATACCATTTTTGACATTGATGGTATCGAGAGTAGATCGGAACCGAATTGAGACCTAACTTTTGTTACAAGAATTGGCCTTCTGGTATCAAAGTCATCGCAGAAGTCCTCCGCTACTTCCTTTAAGCAGTATCGATAACATTAGTTTATCGTTACTGTCGACCTATGGCTATACAAGCAGCGGAGTACAGAGGCGGGCGCGTGTTGCAGGACACGGACGACGGGTCGTGGTCGCGCGTGGGGTCGCTGGCGGCGGCGGGCGCGCTCACGTGCTTCGGCGCGCACTGGGCCGAGGTGCACGTGCGCGCGCCCACCGGCGACGTGTGCTGGGTCATGCGCATGCAGAACCAGGTACCGCTTTGTTTTATACTTTTAGTTATCCTCCACTGTCTATGGTTCTTCAAATGTACAGTGGGTTTGCAATTCTAAACGTGATTGTACATACACATTGAAATCCGAACCTATATATTCTCTCTATATAATCCCTAATACGACATTTTTTTTATAAAAAGACAACTCCCGCATTAGGAATATATCCCGTGTCGCGGGGGACTTTACAAACATACATGGAATGGACACAAAGAACACCCAGACTCAGAACAACAATTTGTGGATCGCACAAAGTGTCGTCGCATGTGGGGTTTGAACCCTCAACACTCGGCTTGGCGACCACTTAAACCACTACGCCATCCGTGCAGTCAATGTTTAATTAAATCAAATCTATCTTACGCAATGTGACTGCAGGGATTGGAAATAAATAAAATAATGTATACGACAAAAAAAGAAATAATAATAATAATAAAACTAATAACACATCATTCCCAGCCTTATTTTAATGTACCATACCGACACAACTGCCCCCCACTGTGCAGATGAACTGGGACTACCTGCTGGAGTCGCCCATGCAGGACGTGGCATCCCTACTGTCAGCCGGCATTATAGGCGGAGGAGTTCAACCCCCCTCCGCGCCGCCTTCCTCTGCCTCCAGCGGCATCGGAGACTCGCGACACGACGTGGTATGGATACTGTTTTATCTATTCTTACAGCTGTCTTCTTTATCTTATTCTCCTTCTTAATAGTTAATCTTGTTGAATTAATGGATAATAAAAAAGGAGGTTCTTAATTTTTATACGTTTGCTGCTTCAGAACACATTTGTTTATGAATGAATTTGAAAACTTTTTTATTTGATATACTTGAAAAAAAACCACTCCTAAGGGTGAAAGTTAAGAAAATTTCATTCGCCGTTGGGTCTTTGTTGAGAACAGTGGTCTTACGAAATAAATTCTTAGATTTTTATTCCAGTGTTAAGAATTATCGCATTAGTTGCAACGCCTATTAGTGCTGAATTGGTTTGCATTATTCCAAGTGAGTGGTTACTGTGTGACAAGAAGAACAATAACACGCAAGTACTGTCATCTCGGTCTGGCATAACACATCGAGGAGATAGCCGCGGGGGATATTGTACCTCACCTCCGCTTGACAAAGCAATACCATAGTTTTCGTCTCGTTCACGCACGTTTGTGCTGCATCATAGTAAAAATGTCGACGCAAAGGACACCGCCAAACAAATTCTCTTCAGACACTGACATACCACTCTCAGTTGATAGGGACTCCTATGTGGGTACTCGCAAAAGGAAACAACCCGATCAGGATGATACATTACTCATGGTAAGACTTGAAGAAAAATTTAACTCGCAGCTGTCAGTGTGGGATAAGAAAATCACCGATTGTATTACAAACTGCGTTGCATCTGCTGTTAGTGTAGCCATCTCAAACGAGTTAACTAAAATCTCAGATGTGTTGTCAGAGATAAACTTAAATGTTACGAAACTTAACTCTGATTACATATCTCTTAATACATCCCCAGAAAAAACCAACAACCGTCTTACTGATATTGAAAAATCATTAGCTTACGCTTCAGAGAGGCAAGACTGCGTTGACACGAGCCTTAAAACTCTAGAAAGCATTGCGGAGACGCACACTAATGACTCAAATAAAATAAGTTTACTCGAAAACAAGATTATGTCAATGGAGCAACAGGCACGCCAGTGCAATTTAGAAATATGTAACGTACCGGAACGTCGTGGTGAAAACCTTATTACTATTATGGAATGCCTAGGCAGTGCTTTGAAACAACAAATACGAACGACCGATATCGTGTCTGTTCACCGTGTACCCCATGCCGATCAAAATAATCCGCGCCCAAGGAACGTAATATTGAAAGTGTCGACGAGAGTATTACGTGATAACATCATCGCGGCATACCGTGCCACAAAAAGTCTTGACAGCACGAAGTTAGGCGTCAGCGGGTCTCAAAGCACTACCATATACGTCAACGAGCATTTAACACTCAATAATAAGATATTGTTTCGCCAATGTCGTGAGTCTGCTAAAAAATATGACTATAAATACGTGTGGGTCAAACACGGGATCATATTGGCAAGGAAACATGATGCGTCTCCTGTCATCGCTATTCGATCTCAGCAGGACATTCCAAAAATTAAGTGATGCAATATACGAGTACAATCTGTCATATACTTATAATAGTTGCAACATAATTGTTTTGTTTCAAATGCTATATTATTTTTCAATAACTGTCACTGGAGGGTATTTTCACGCACTTTATGTTGTGTACTTTGTGGTAAAGAGTCTAGCTGTACTTATCATTATAATACGTTATCTTTTTGCGAAATATTACAAAAAACTGTTGAATTGTATTTATGTATTGTATGAGTGTCTGTATGTATGCAGTGCGCAAATTGTTAATAGCTGTGGACGGTGTGTTATCGTGATATTGTTGATTTCTGGATGGGCACAAGCATTAAAGCAATACGTATTTATTATAGTGTACAGTAATAATGGATAGTCTGTCTATATATTATCAAAATTGTCGAGGTTTACGTACAAAACTGCATGTATTATTTATGAATATTTTGTCACATAATTATAGTATAATCGTGTTGACTGAAACGTGGCTACATAGGGATATATGCGACAATGAATTCATAGATCCTCGTTATCGAGTGTTCCGATGCGACAGGGACCGCACGAGCAGCGGTCGGAACGATGGCGGTGGCGTCTTGGTGGCGGTGCGCACCGAGCTGAACGCGACGTGGGTTGCAGTGCCGCCCGGGGCGCCCTGCCCCATGTCGCCACTCATTGACCATGTCCTTATTGAGTTGCGTTCCCGTAGATACTGTTGTATTATTAGTGCGGTTTATATACCACCTGCTACGCATTCGGACGCATATACGACACATTTAGATTACTTAATGTTCATATTGCATTTCACTAATATAACAAATTATGTTCTGATAGGGGATTACAATTTACCTGAAATATTATGGGAGGACTGCAATGCACATACCGTACCCCGTCTTGTAAGCAATTGCACTGCATCTTCTAAGGTCTTTATTAATTTCATGCTTATATTAAATTGTTTTCAGTATAATACATTTAGAAATATAAATGGACGACTTTTAGATTTATGTCTAACTGACATCGCCGATTGTAGATTAATACAACCGACGGTATCTCTCGTTCCCCTAGACTCTAATCATCCACCTTTTTACATGATCTTTCCAATAAGTAGTAACTCCTTAAATTTAATAAATCGCCCCAAAACGCAATTACAATTTAATAAAGCCGATTACACACTAATAAATCAAGACATTGCCAACATTTCCTGGAGTGAACTATTGGTAAATAGAGATGCGGAGTCAATGGTGACTATTTTTTACGAACATATCTACGAAATTATCAAACGATATGTACCCAAGAGAGTAATTAAATCGTCTCAATTTCCAGTCTGGTTTTCACCCGCTCTTATCCATATTTACAAAAATAAAAATAATTACTGGATTAAATGGAAAAAATATGGAAATAAATCGGACTATGAAATTTTTTCTTTATTAAGGAAAAGATTTAAACGTGTATCGCATGAGTGTTACAGAGGGTATATAGCAACGGTAGAAAATAGTATACAGAAGAATATAAGATGTTTTTGGTCCTTCGTCAAAAATAGGAGAAATAAAATGGATATGCCTTGTAAAATGACGTATAAAAATGTCACAGTTTATAACCCAGACGAGGCGTGTTCTCTGTTCTCGTCATTATTCGAATCAGTTTTTGAACCCTCATGTGTTACCGACAATCTTGATGTTGACGATATGCCAAGTTGTAACCCTGCATCCGATATCTTCTTTAATGATATCCAGCTGTCTAGTGATGCAGTACTCCGGGAGTTAAAAAATTTAGACATTACAAAGGGGCCCGGAGTGGATAACATACCACCAATTTTTTGGAAAGCTACTGCTCAAACTATTCATGTGCCCGTATGTTTTATATTTAATTCGTGTTTCAATGAGGGTGTTTTTCCGTCTATATTCAAAGCAGCCCGTATTGTACCAGTTTTCAAAGGTGGAGATAAGTCCAACATAGAGGACTATCGGCCCATATCTATCTTGACCACACTGTCGAAGTCTTTTGAAAGGCTAGTGTATAATAACGTTTATCCATCTATCCATAATATAATTATTGAGGAACAACACGGTTTTGTAAAAAGACGCACCTGTAATACAAATTTAATAATTTATACATCATATTTATTTGAAAGTATGGATGAAAATAAACAGACAGACAGCATTTACACTGATTTTCGAAAGGCATTTGACAGGGTGGATCATAAATTACTATTAGAGAAGCTGGCCTTTAATGGTATACGCGGCAACTTGTGGCGTTGGTTCAAATCTTACATCACCAATCGCACACAAAAAGTAGTCTTAAAAGGTCATGAATCTGATTATACTGCTGTTAGCTCTGGCGTTCCTCAAGGCTCAATTTTGGGTCCGCTTCTGTTTATTCTTTTTATAAATGACGTCACATCCTCATTTAAATTTGCCAATATTTTACTTTACGCTGATGACTTAAAGGTTTATCACAAAATTGAACAGCAGGATGATCATTATAAAATTCAGCAAGATCTTGACCGTTTTACAGCATACTGTATTAAGAATAAACTTGCATTGAGTGTCAATAAATGTAAATCTATCACTTTCACTAAAAAGAAAAATGTCAGTAAATTCAATTACACTTTAAATGGTATACAAATTGAAGAAGTGGAAGTAATACGAGACCTGGGAGTCCTCTTAGACAGTAAGCTACAACTTGATAACCATGTCGACACTATAGTTAGCAACGCTTTTAAAATGTATGGTTTCATTGTTCGCTCCAGTACATGTTTTACTCAGCCCTCGACTTATCTTTATTTATATAAATCTCTAGTTCGCTCACAACTTGAATATGCTGTGCCAGTCTGGAATCCATTTTATGAAAAGTATATAACTGCCATAGAATTAGTCCAAAAGAAATTTTTGCGCTGTATGCATTACGGGTGCTATCGCAAATCGTCTTCATATAAAGATCTACAAATAAAATATAACTGTATAACATTAGAACATAGACGCTTATATTTACAAGCAATATTACTGTATGATCTATGCCACAACAATTATGATTGCGTTGCACTTACGAGCAAGCTTTGTTATGTCGTACCCGCAAGGACTCATTGTCGTAACATCTGTAAAATGTTTGCAACTTCTCGATGTCGAACTAATGCAGGCAAGAGATCACCGATGCACAGGTTAGTTGATAGTTATAACAAGCATTTTCTTACTATTGATCTTATGGCAACGCGTCCTAGTACTTTTAAAAAACTCTTGCTGGAAAGTCTGAATTTTAATTAATTTAAAACATTAAGCTACTATAAATATCCATAATGTTACTTTGTAACTATCAACTCTCAATGTTCTCAAACCCTATAAATATTACTTCATTACTTTGTGGTAAATGTCGCTGATGACACCGTTGCACATACTTAATAAGTAATGTTATTCAAAACTTTGTATTGTGTCGTTGTTTATTTACCTAAATAAATGGAAAAAAAAAAAAAAAAAATTGAAGAATTAACAATTCATCACGATGTAATCGCATTGACGTTTGTTGGTACTTTTTAAACAAAAAAAAAGTAAATTACCACCAATTATGGTCCACGATCGGTGATACACATACAGCTACACCATAATAGATAAGATTGATTTTTCCACATCGACTTGCTCTATTGAAATGTTTTCAAATAGTAAATAGATGCGAATACTAGCTAGCTACTGTTCTGACCTTGTAAATGACGCACTCTAACAGAATACTCACACAGCAACCCATATTCACACACACTTATACACACCCTCATACATACACCCACACATCCAGGAACACACACACATACACACATCGCTCTGATATTCTTACAATCCATGCTCCTATATCTAAGCCATAATCATGTTATTACTAAAAACTGTAACAGTAAAGTAGTCAAACAAGTCTAAGATTGACAATATTGTCAATAGTGGGTCTAGCAGAAAACTGATGTCCAAAACACAGGTCTGTACCTAGTTTGGATGTCAGGGTTCAAAACTTATGTACCCACAAGAAAATTGTAACTTTAATGATAATGTACTTTTGCAATTCTTTTTGCGAAATAAATGATTATTATTATTATTATTACTTCCATGCAACCGATCATATTATTATTATTTTACCCCAATAGGGGTGAAATTTTCAAACATCTTATCTTAGTGGGTGCTCACAACAGTAAAAGAATCAGCTACTAAATTTTTTTGTTTATAGCCTTAGCGGTTTAGGGTCTACGTTGATGAATCATCAAACATCGCAACAATAATCTAGTATAATAATAATTAAGCCAAAAGACAATAAAGACATTTTTAACACATGAGTATACATACACATCTTGCATGCCTGCGTATGTATACTCATGTTTTAACAAATAAAAATGTCTTTGTCTTTAAGCCTTTTTATTTCCTTATATATTAAGAAATTTACAAAAATATTCTGATTATAGATAAATAACAAAAATAAAGATAAATTACAACTATTTTCAATAAAGATTCTCACATAAAATTCTTGTCTAATTCATTTATATCTATTTCATTTATTAAGGACCTCTCTATAGAGTGAAGGCCTCCTCTAATTATTATTTTTTAAATCTAGTATAATGCAATCTTACATATAAAATTCTCGTGTCATAATGTTCGTTCCCGTACTCCTCCGAAACGGCTTCACCGATTCTCATGAAATTTTGTGTGCACATCGAGTAGAGAGTCTGAGTCTGAAAAACGGCCAACATCTATTTTTCATACCCCTAAATGGTAAGGGTGACCCATCCCTAAAGTTTTTTTTTAGGCAAAGCAACGTTTGCCGGGTCAGCTAGTAATTTAATATAAATTTAGATACAGTTAGCTCTTAGTGACAATGTATTATGCGGTGTCCTCAGGGCTCAGACAGCGACCCTCGGTCTCGCAGCGGGTCTTCATCGTCACAAAGTCGTCCACAACCACCTCAACAAGATCTACACAAGTCTAGGTAATTAATTACCGATTTCTAAATATTTTTCATTTGTATGTTTGTTACACGATAATTCGCTATTAGTGATCCGATTTCCATAACACTTTTTTTAGTTGATTATTGTAATTCAAATTTTCTGTAATTTCTAAATTGATTTTGTAGGGTTGCTAGTGTAGAAATTTGCTTTTATTGTTCTTATAATCATTAATGTGTTTCAAATATTATAACTAGATACATATATTTACGTTTCATTACTTATATTGTTTGGTCAAAATTTAACGTGAACTAAACGTGGGATTTATAATTGGCTTATTGGCGCAGTCTTCCATGTTAAACAAATTTGTCAAAGCTGTCGGTCCTTTAAGTTATAAATAAATACTGGAAACATTAAAATGTGATTTTTTCTTGCAGTTCCGATTCAATCGTAGGCACCGAGAGGAAAACCCAACACGCAGCTACGCACTGCATAGTCCAACCGCAAAGGTATCAACACAACAATCTATACGAGCAATATTATGCTTAAATTGGTGTGGTAGTCTAGTCCACTGCCACGTCGGAGGCGGCGGGTTCGATTCCTGCTCAGTGCTAATGTTAGTTTAGGTCGGTGTGTCTGTTTCAATGTATATTGTCCTACAGTGTGTGATTGTGTGTCTGGAAGCAGGGTCAGCACACAGCCCATCAACATCCCCAGCTCCCCGCAACGTCAGAGCTCGACCAGCACCAACGACGACGACGACATGCTGCTTATTGTACCTGAGGTAAGCAGACCTTTCACCTATAGATAATAATATTGTATGATGCAACCCCATTACCAAATTCTTGTACAGTTTGTGATCTAACCGCATTCGATAGGCAACAAATGTTCCCCGGCCATTGCGTGTGTGTACTTAGAAATGTGTGTAATTAAAAATTGGTCCTTCGATCCGAACTTCATCTGAAGATCTATTGAGTTACGAACACTTGTTCAAGTAATCATGGTCAAAATCTTCATAAAGCTAGATAATTATTTGAATTACTAACAATAAAAATATACAATAAATATATTTCATACGTGTTTGTCAATTTAAAGTAAATGTAATGTATGTAAATATTTCAATGACTCCTTTAAGATGCAGACACACTTGAAAATATATTTCCCAAAATACTGTTGCCCTAGCCGCTCAACAGTTTTAATCTCAACAACTTGCACTGTTAAATACTTTCATGTAAACTTTTAAATTAAACTAATTAGAAATACATAGTACAAAAAACAGCACTGCAGAGAGAAGGAAAACTTGACACAAACCCTATACCAACCCGTCTGGCCAGCGTGGTAAGTAGGCCAAAACCTCCTTTCTAAGGAGAGGCCTATGTCCAGCAGTGGACTATCAAAGTCTAAGGATGTGATGTGTGTGTTTTGTAACAAACCAATTTTGAGCAAAAATATAAAATCATGAATAAAAAAATGAATAATTCGCTGTTAACTTCACACCGGTCATGTTGAACTTCGCTGATATGTGTATGTTATATGAGGCGTCGTTTGCAAGTTGCAGGGCAAGTCCCGTCACCCGGTGCGTCGCTCGAACTCGTCCCCGGAGATGTCGTCGTCGTGGAAGGCCGCCGTGGCCGCGCGGGAGCTGCCGCGTGCCGCGACCTCGCACGACCCCGACCCCGAGCCCAGGGACGACCTCAGCCTCGACCCGGACGACATGATCTTGCTGCCGAGCTGCGAACCGATGTCAGTACCCTTACTTTTTCCAACTCTCTTCTCGGTCAAGTGAAAACTATTGCTCAGCTTACCTGTTTCTGAGGATCAGCGTAAATCGAGAGAAATATTCCTCGCGAGGTTTCGGGCATTTTTTTGAAGGCACAACCCCACAATCATTTTTGTCATTTTCAAACATATATGCACTTTATAAAAATAGTTTCAAAGTTTATTTTCGAATGTCTTAAAAAATCGTCTCCTTGCGTCTAAACATATATGTTTATTTTTAGTGCATAAATCTGTCTGTGTGATGAAATATATCTTAAAAACATTACAACACTGCCACATTGACAGCAGAACATTCTGCATGGTGTAACAATAGGCTAGTTGACTCAATTTGAAAACTTGGTTAATTATACACTTTAATATCTATTTTATCCCAAAAAAAACAATATTTTAAAGAAAAAATAATATTTACATTACGTATTGTGTATTATAAAAAAAACCCTTGAAAACGTGTCATGGCGTCTTGAATGACGTCACAGTCTGCGAAACAAAACTGTTTAAATATGCTAAACACGAAAAACAATAACGAGTAACCTGCTCTGTTGCATGAAAACGTCAACAACAACAATGATGTTTTGCGTGGCGTGACGTAACACTTTCTGATTGGTGTTCGCTGTCACGTGACTTGATGCCTATTTAGTACCTTTTTTTTTTAATATTAATAATCTATTAATAATATTATTAATAATAACTTTTATGAGAAATATAGTGTTTTTTTCTTATCTATGTCTCTTCATTTATAATTTGAAACTATAAACCAAGCAATTTGTTATTAGCGGACACAAGCCTATTAGTCGCATTGTATTTAAACTCACTTGACGTATCGTTACACTAAGATCTTTCACAATCGTACAGGAGCTGTGCCAGCAGTACGTCCCTGACGATGCACGCCAACAAGAAGGCGTCGAAGAAGTCTGACATGCGCGTGTCGTGCGAGGCCATCCCCGAGGAGATGTCGGGCACCTCGCCGCACGCCAACCACCCACACCTCATGACCTACAACTCCGATCCAGGTCAGTTACAGCAAGTTTTGTCACTCTCCCCTCCACGAAGCTTTATGTTATATCTTTTAACTCCCCTTCACCTATTTTATAGAGATGTGCCGACCATGACTTTGACCAACTAGACGGCTGCAAAAAGACCGACTAGTCGAACAATGCTATTGCCAAGGAGGGAAGTGGATTTACTGTATTTCCAACTCCTCCAATTTTCTTCTGATTAATTTCGTTGCGGGTTCCAAGACAGTTTAATTTCTTCCTGGGACTTCCCTAGTGTCATAACTCGGTGTGTTCGTGGGTCACTGCTGTGGATCCTGGTGTACAGGAGTTACAGTGGTGGGCGTGTGGGTGGGATTAGTCCCAATAGTCGATGAAACCGATTTCCGTTTACAATTAATTTGTGCGCAAATTGCAATCGCTGCCTGCGAGCGTGTCGGAAAAAATTTACTTTGCATTGTATCTTCATTTTATTTTTACACTAATCCAGTTAAAATAAAAACTTATCGTTCAATAAAGTAGAAGAGCTCAAGTTTAGAGTACAGATTTTTTTACCATTTGAGAAATACACACACTAGAAGTTGGATAGTTAGGTCTCTTTGCCGAGTAACCGCCGATCAGTTCCCAACTACAAAATTGGTCGAATAGTCGACTTTACCGACTAGTCGGTACATATCTACTATTTTATGAATGCTTTCTTAAGGGTCTCAGTAAAGAGTTATGTTTTCTTTAAAGTTATTAATTCTCCAAATCCAAGTGTACATTAACCAAAATAATTGTTAGTTGTCACGTGTTCTATGTGAGAGCGAATGATAGGTCGTGTGTTTGTGTGTGTGCCCAGTTCTAAAAGCGCATGCGTGTGCAGGCGCCAGCGCAGAGCAGGCGTCAGGTGCGCCCGCGCAGAACAACCAGCACAACCATCACCACCAGCTGCAAAAGGTATGATATCCTCCCCCTTAATATACATGCCGTATACTCATACAGTTCTGTTCTCTGGTCAGTTAAATGCTCTCAGCTCTCTGTAGGGCTCCCACCTACTAAGGAGGCAGGCTGTACCAGGGTGGCAGGGGTACACACTCAGCATGATTCTGTACTAACAGAATCATGCTGAGTGTGTACCCCTGCCACAGTCACGACACGCAATGCTAATAAAATTATTATATGTACTATAAAATCAAAAGAAAACAACTTGTTCCCATTTAGAACACATGATATGTAATGTATGTTTGTCCGTCAGACGGCTAGCGATGGGACAGTGCCAGAAGGTCGCGCCAGCAAGCCGCCCGCGGCCCCCCGCGCGGCCGCTGCGGCTCCGGGCCGGGACCGGGACGACCTTCCGCCGCTCTCCAGGTCTAAGCGGTCCAACACCATCTCGGTCATGAGCCCTACCCGCCGACATAGGTATGACTACCTACTGTACCGACTGTACACCGCGACCGGTTCGACGTCCCGTCCAATTCTCACACCATATTTGTGAAGTAAATAAATTTATATTCGAATAATAACGTAATGGTCTAACAATTTGACTGGATTTGCTTGGTACGGAGTTGATGTGTAACACCTGGCCTCTCGCTTTCCTTCCCAATACGTTCTAATGATTCCGTTAAAGGGACGGAAGTCTGTAACAGGAAGTCGACTCCCTCTATCGGTCATATTTGATTTGAGCAATAATTGGAGTCAGAGTTGGAGATGGTGGACGAGATGTCAGTTATGGCACACCATGACTTGAAATTTTTATTTATGCATTTAGTAGATGTTTTTTGTTATACCGCATTAATTATCTATATGTAATTAAAACGTCTTTGTAAATGCTCTTATTTTGCCTAGGTTATTGCCAAGTTAATTTGAATCCTTATTTTCCAAATTTCAAACTGTTTATCAAGGGTCATAAAAGCAATCATTTTTACTTCAACATGTGGAATATTAGCCAGAAGTAAAACGGCATGTCTCTTTGTGTGCTGTAAAATGTAATAGCTAGAGTTTATAGAAATGTTGAAATTATTTATACAAATATACGTATATTTATTGTTCTGACCTTCAGAAAAAATATTTCAGATTAAGTTGTAAAAAAATATTTTAGATAAACAATTATCAAATATACACCAGAAAAAATAGAGAAGAAAAGGTGGTCTTGGGATGTGGGTAGACAAAAAAAATATTTAGTGGACACAGCTGAATTTAAATCTTCTGGTACAAGGAAGTAGCAGTCACGCAAACAAACAGGAATGCCGCTTCTGCGTTCTAACACTTTTAAGGCTAACAAATAATGCTGATTACTGTTTAATTTTCAATTTTTCTTGTAGTACCCTTATTCGCATGAATCGTACAACTGTAGATTAACGAGACCTCGTTCTATAATTTTATTAAGTATGTAGTAAGCATGAGTTTTCTTTACATATTAATCACTTTTCTTTTTGTTTCCTGCCTACTGAGCTCGCACGCGCCTGTAGCTTGCTTATTTTCCTGTTCGTTCTGTCTGTTTCGGTGTGCGCGGTGTGTAAGTGCAGTATGTACGCGGGCAGGGCGGGCGCCAGCGTGGCGGCGGCGCTGGGGGCGGGCGGGGCCCCGGGGCCCGGCGCGGGCGGGGCCCCGGGGCCCAGCGCGGGCGGCGGCGGCGTCTCGCCAAGCTTCGTGTTCCTGCAGCTCTACCACAACATGAGCACCTACCCCATCACGCCGCCGGTGCCAGGTACGTGCCCTTGTCACCCTCACCACCTACAGGTATATTTATTATTTTCGCCTTAAATTCGTTTTTTTTTTCTGTGGCGTAACACAAGACCTTAAGTGTGTTTTATCAAATAATAATAATTTATCTGACATTTAGATGACATACCAATTATATTCAATTCCATGTGATTTTACCTTGATTTAAGTTAAGTATGTCCGTGTGGTGACTAATTAAGAATACAGATTGTCACCACCCCTATTCATCCCGTGGGTGTCGTAAGAGGCGACTGCTATACATAGCCCTCTCCTTAAAAAGGAGGTTTTGGCCTACTATAGCACGCTGGCCAGACGGGTTGGTAGAGGGTTTCTTTTAAGTTTTCCTTCTCTTTGCAGTGCTTTTGTCCTGCGTAGTTTGCTCCCTTAGTCGTCTCTTACGACACCCACGGGATGAATAGGGGTGGACACATTCTTAATCCGTCACTACACGGACAGTTTTTTTTATTGCGCACATTTGTTACATTTTTTCGTAAGAATTTTAGTTTTCGCTCCAGAAAAACGGATTTTTTACCATTTTCGACATATTTTTTTTGGCACCTTAAATATTTTGTTATAATTTTAATTGCAATCAATTCTGATATTGAATCATTAATAAAAAGTAATTTCCGCCCAATATGAATTTGCCGGACCAAAAAGCTAATTCTACCTGTCTACTATTGCAAACCTATTTCATCCAGATAATTCGAGAGCAATAGATGGGAAACATCTGAAGTATATAAAAAATGAAATGTATGTAAAATGGAAGGTTTCCTCGAGGAGTGTTAGCTACAGATCGTGGCCGGCTGTAACCAGGAACCGCGAGCCCACTAACATTAGGTTGTGTTACAGGAGAAGCCCCTACAATACTGAACCCCCTAGCAGAGAGGCCCCTGCGGGTGACCGGTGTCCAACACGAACGCACCATCAAGAACCTCGACCTCGTGCCGCCTGTCGAAACATATAAGGTATAATAATACACTTAATAGTATATTCATATAAATCTGTAAATATTCGTTCTTTTTAATTTTTTTAGTTTTCTGCGTCATTCACCTCCTGCTGAAATTATATTCACCATTGATGTCAGACTGTTGTACTTAATGGTTATACGTCTAGAAGAACACTTACAAATGTTCCTTCGGGCGTCCCGCAAGGATCGCTGTTGGGACCTCTGTTATTTAATATATTCATCAACGATATTGATAACTGCTTCCTAACCTCAAAAATTATTCTTTATGCTGATGACTTGAAAGTAATGAAACAGATAAATAGGGTCCAGGACGCCATAGAACTACAGGAAGATCTCAATAGATTTCAGGCGTACTGCAAAACGAATAAACTGGATTTAAATGTCAATAAATGTTACGTGTGCTCCTTTACACGTAAACATAGCCCAATATTTCAGGTTTACAAATTATTAGATACCCCATTGTCTAGAGTCAGTAACATTAAAGACCTTGGTGTTACTTTTGACTCGAAACTACTGTTTGATACACACATTTATAACATTGTTAGCAAAGCCTCCAAAGCATTGGGATTCCTACTCAGAGTTTCAGCAGACTTTAAAAATATTAAAACAATAAAAATACTTTATTGTTCCCTAGTTCGCAGTCACTTAGAATACTGTTCTCAAGTGTGGAATCCAATGTATAACGTCTATATTGATAGAATAGAGCGCATTCAGAGAAGGTTTTTAGGATATATACAGTATCGTTGTAGTTGCTATTTACCTGATTACGTGACCCGGTGTAAAAAATTTCATATTCTTCCACTCATTGAAAGAAGAAAAATAGCGGATCTGTCGTTTCTATTTGGCATCATGAGAGGAGCGGTTGACTCCTCTGAACTTGTGAGCAAAATTGCTTTAAACGTCCCGACAGCGCATCTTCGACGATTTAACTTGTTGCATGTTCCCATTGTAGATTCTAAGTACAGGCAAAACTCATACATGATCAGAGCGAGTCGCATGTATAATGCAGCATGCCGGAGTGTTGATATCGACATTTTTTCTTCTAGTGTCACTAAATTTAAAAAACAACTGGGCAACGTTTTCTTCGACCAAGCATAACAAACAAATCACATTTATAATAATACCTATGTCTACTGTCCTATCATCCTACCATGTTCAGAGTTGTCTTCATTGTTCTAGCAGTGAAAACTTTTAATTGGCCTTCACCTATTAGTCTTATATCAATTGTAATTCTAGCTGTAAGTTTTCCAAAAATATAAAAATAAAAAAATAAAATAAAATTGGTAATTGTTTTAAAAATATTCAATTCGAGTCAAGCACATGACATATTGACAAGAATTTAAATATGCATAGTTTATTTTCAATAATTATAATAATTTTTTATCATAGAAATTATTGTTAAACCGCCGTAAGCTTGACCCTCCTGATGGTTTGCGGGGCGCGGGGCGGGTGATGCGCTCGGCTATACATGACACGATGTACTAACTCGATATCTTCAGATTTATTTGTTTGAAATTTAATCTACACACGATGTAATAAAAATCGAATTTATTTCCATGTATTATAATGTCAGTGTATTTATTGTAAGTTTTTATGATTAATTGTAAAATTTAATACTGTAAAATAATTTTAATAAAATCACCTTATCTTCGTCATGTAAATTATATTCAGATACAATTTAAAAATTAAGTAAAATAATAAATATTCTGTATTAGAACTTTAACAGTAGAACATCTGTAAGCCGAACTTCAAGTTTTTAAATATTTTTGTGACGCAGAGTCGGCAGATTATCAAATGTTGCAAAATAATACCGTGTAAAAACATGGCTGTACGTGTTATTTTTCTTAAGAATGCTACTCTTAAGAAAAATAACACGTACAACCATGCTTTTACGTCAGTCACTGCCGGCGGACAGCGACGCACTAGCTAATTGGTTGAATGCACCCCCGCCCCGCGTCCCCCAAACCATCAGGAGGGCCAAGCTTACGGCGGTTTAACTATAATGACGTATATGTAAAAAGAGCGAAGAAACACCCAAATGCAGTTGAGTTACGTTTGTTTTCTTTTCAAACGATCCAAAAGAATAGAAGAGACTTGATGGGTTTGGAAACAACAGTTCGATTAGGTGTTCCTATAACTTGATGATATGACCAGGAGAACCATGCTTTGGCACAAATGGACAGGCTCGACCGATGCGATGCCAGTGTATTCTGAGCTCAAAATCATTGAAATTTTCTGCCGGCAATTAAACTGTTTATGCAATCAGTTGTCAAAGGTTAAGGTATTGCATAAAAGTAGTAACTACATGTGTATTCCGTGCAAACAGTCTACGCACACTAACACAAAATGGCGGCCGGAGGGGAGGCCCCGCGCGCTCCGGCTGTTTGATTAATTACATTGCAGTTTTTTGGTATTTATTATATTATTTAGGTAAAATATTCTGTAATAATTAATCATCATTTTTAACCAGTTAAATGGAGAAAAAATTATGAATTTTCCGGCTGAAAATTACATTTATGTATTACAGACGTTACAAATATTTTAGTTTTTGTTAAGAAAAAAAATGTCATGTTTGAATAACTGATGATATTGACAATTTGTCGGCAGATCGGCGTGTTATACGTCGGTCCAGGACAACAAGACAACGAAGTTCTAATATTGAAGAACGAATATGGCAGTGTGAGGTGAGTCCTTATAACACGGTCAGCGCCAGTTCCCTAAACTTTGTACTGGATAAGAACAAGGCCTTGGTTTTTTATTGTGTAATGATTTACATCTTATTGGGATTAGATTCTTATATAAAGCTTGTTACTAAAGCCAACATAAAACTGGTGTATTACCATACTAAATTTGTTGTAGATCGGGCACAGGCATGTCATAGATTTTGTATGGGTTTAATTTTTGTTAAATTTATTTGCTTTCTATTTGACAAAACAGAGATTGTTGCTTTTGTGTGTGTTGATCTATGACTTATAAAAGACGATTTCAAACAATTTTGAAAATTTGAGTTTGAGTTAAAATAAGGATGAATGTGGATTTACAATATTTGTTTGACTGGCCTGTTTTTCTAGTGGTTAGAGATCTTGGCTGCTGAGCCAGAGATAGTGGGTTCCATTCCCACTCAGGTCAACTAATTGTGTGACGAGCATGGTCTGGTTCTGAGTCTAAGAGTATTTTTCTAAAATGTGTTGTTGTTGATTACCATAGTACAAGTTCGGCCCGGTTTAGGATAAAACGGCCGTGTGATGTCAATCTATTATTTGTAGGTCTTTTAATATCCTTCAGCTTAAGTTTCTTGTGACTCACGGAATGTCATGCTGTGTTTGTGTGCCACTGTTCACAAGCCTCACCATGAGATACTAATAAATAATCTATGTGTGACAGGTACTCAGAGTTCCTGACGCAGCTAGGCACGCTGGTATCGTTGGTGGGTGGGGAGGATGATGAGCATCCCAATCTGTTCCTTAACCTGGAGAAAGGTGGCAAGGACGGACACTACACTTATGTTTGGAACGATGATATTATGCAGGTACGGCAAGTTGACATGTTGAAACTAGCAGGTGCATTCAGAATTAATGGACACTGGGGCTCTTCCACAAGAGAGCCTTGACTAATATTATATCAACTTGGATTAAAAGACCTTTTCTGAATCACCCGTTGCTACAGTAGAAAATTTGTTGTCCTCAAACCTATACTCAGTTACTTTGTCATTCAATACAATAGAGATGTCTACTAATTTTGTGTTTTATAGCCATACAATTAGGTAAAATATTTGAAACAAAGAAAAAGTACAGCAACTTATAGTTTGTAACTTAAACGCTGATTTGCCAAATGAGTATGATTACGTCATGTGTTCTCCGAAGGTAGTATAAGCGACTGACAGCTGTCCAAGATGACAGCTGTCAGCTGGTTCTTTCATTGGTTCATGACGTAACGGGTACAATTCGAGTTTGGTTTCACGTGATGATAGTTACTGTTACACTTTAACCTATGTGATTACGTTTTATTACGATTATGTAGTATTTACGATATTATATAGATTTTCATTGAAATGATGGTTTTAGGATTTAAACAACACAATTCAAACAAGTCTTTCTAAGGAGAGGCCTATGTCCAGCTGTGGACTATTAAAGGCTGTTGATGTGAATTTTTTTTTTTGTTATGCAGTAGTAATATGAATGTTGCAGGTATTGTTCCACGTGGCCACGGCGATGCCCACGTCGCCGAAGGACCCCACGTGCAACGAGAAGCGCAAGTACATCGGCAACGACTACGTCTCCATCGTCTACAACGACTCTGGCGCCGATTTCAACATACACACCATTAAGGTATGCGACCCTCGTACCCTTCAGAGCGTAGATTTAAAAATGTAACCTTCATAGTGTAGATTCAAAAATGTCTATATGAATAAACCAAACCAATTTTCAATTCTTTTATTGACACAATTTTTAAAATAATTTTAGTAATTTTATTTTTAATTTTTCATATTTAGTATTTTCAGAAATTGTATTTATATCATTGAAATTTTGTATACGATATGTCTATATTCATATCGCAGGGCCAACTGAATTTCTGCATAGTGGTGGTGGAACCGTACGAGTTCGGCATGAACCGCGTGCTGATCAAGACCAAGGACGAGAGGATCCGCACCAAGTTCCTGGCGCACGTCGACACACACTGCGTTTCCGACCACAACGTGGCGCTGCTCGCCAGACAGGTCGCCCTACATTGTACCGTACGTACCTTCTGCTCGCTTACTACGTTAATTTATTTCATTCACCGTTATCCTGGTTTTTGGAACGAAGTGCCTTATCGCGCGTTGTGAAAGGGGGTTAAACGGAAAAAATCTCACGAAAAGTTGTAACGACACTTTTTATGTCAGTCATTCAGCGCCATCTATCGAATAGATAAGAAATCATTTCTCAAGGAGATTTTACCAATGTATAAATTGTTTTAATTAGAAACCAACTGAAAAATATGTAGGTAATAGCCAATTTCATAGATGGCGTTGTAATTAAAATCGTGTCGAATCAGTTTTACTCGATCGTCACAACTTCGTTCCTATCGGGTGTCCCACGACACCACACGGTTTTTTTTTTGTTTAAATTTTGGTCGTTTAAGCCATAGTTATAAAACATCAATTTCGGTCAGTGAGTCTCTAAAATATTGCGAGTGTGTGAGCGGCTACAGTAGAGAACGGTCGTGTTGCAGCTGGCGTCGCACATCTCGCAGTCGTTGAAAATGGGCGGCGCGCCTTACGCGTCCAACTCGCTGGAGCGCCTGCGCCTCATCAAGCGGCTGCGCGTGCGCGTGCAGGCGGAGCGCCTGGCGCTGGCCGCGCGCGCGCCCGAGCCCTACGCGCAGGCGCCCGAGCTCGCGCACCGCGTCGCCATGGACGACTTCAACGACTACACCTAGGCCCGCCCCGCACACCGCACCCCGCCCTCCGTGTCGTGCCGCTTTCCTACTCTCTATGTTCTCCCGTCAGTAGTCGTCGAGGATCACGGGCGCTTCGACTCCGCTCGGCGTTAGTGTCGGTGCTGTAGTGTGGCGAGAGTGACTCCGCACGCTCACACTGTATATACTCGGAGCCCGGGGCGGCAGGGGCCGCGGCCGAGGGGACCCGGCGTCGCGCCGCCCGGTATCGTCCCCGTCACTGCCGACTCTTTCTTACCTGCGGTTTGCACTCTCTACGTCCAAATCGCTTTATGAAACTAAACGTTTTCTTCTCTATTTTCCCTTCTTTGGAAGCGACTTTTGTTCGAAATTAATCCTTCTACCGTTCCAAAAGTGAATCAGTTTCATAATGTCAAAAATGAAAATATATAGTCATATATAGATATATATATATTTCTTATATATATAGTGGGTCTCGGTGGAGGGGCGACGCCGGCCGACACGCCGTAGCGACGGACGCGACGCCGCCGAGACGAGCGATCCTCGAGCGTCCTGTAGTTTTTAATCTCCTTTCATTTTTACAAACATAAAAACAAACCTTCTGTGAGATGTGATAGTAGCGTTACGATCGAATACAAAATAGTAGAACGAGAAATATATTTAAAGCCGGTAGTTTTGTACGAGTGCGCTTCGCTTACGGGATCTCGCGAATTTCTTAGGTATAGGGAACGGTCGGTACGGCCGCCTCCAGCCGCAGCTTCACTCGACCTTAGCGAAGACGCGGCCGGCGCGGGCGCCGCCCGAGCGCGAGCTGTGTCGCTCGCGCGCGCGGCCCGCGTCGGCTCGACGGACCAACGCGCGGCTCGCGCCCGCTCGAAGGACCAACGCGACGGGGCGCCGCTACCGACCACTCGAACACGACCGACGGTGACAGAACGTTCATTGTTTTTTCTATTTATTCGGTACATACTTCTGTCTGAGTTGTCTGTGGCTTGAGTAGTTTAATTTCTTATATAAATTTAGATTTTGAACTGAATAATGTAAAAGTTAATGTTAAGGATTTAGTAAGTACACGTTTTCATTATGAGTTCTCAGTAGTAAACGTGCCGTTGCCCGTGGCACGGTGGCCGCCGTGACGGGGCCGTGACGGGCGCGTGACAGATCCGTGACGGGCGCGTGACGGACGCGTGACGGCGGCGCGGGCGCGACTCGCGCCCTCATAGACAGTGAGTCGTTAACAGTTGAGGCATTTCGTGTTTATATATATTTTATGTAGCGATTTATTTCCTGACAAAAGATTTTGTAATCAAATAAATGATGGCTATTTTTTCCTATGTTTCATTTATCTCCCTTAACTCATACATATTTCTGATAAACACAAAGAAGCGAGAAGCCCAAAATCGATCTCAGTGGCGTGCAATGGGAGAGGCCTATGTCCAGCAGTGGACTGCGATAGGCTGATGATGATGATGACAAAGAAGCGATGCATACATATAATTAGGTTTATACGTAAAAATTCATGATTATCTTGTTTATCATTTCTGTATTACTGCAATTAAATATTTACTTTTTTATTTTTTTTATTCATTTAGACTGAACTCTCACTATTTAGAGATCTATTTTGCGAGTCTTTTTCCAGCAGTTGTTTTCCTTTTTTATATAGATAAATTAATGTTATTCTTAATAAGTTTTATTGCATACACTGATATCTTTCTCCTGCTGTACTAAACTAAACTTCCTCTGAAAAGTGAGTGCCCACAACTTAGCTCGTGTTAGTACTCCTATCCCTCGGAAATATACCTACTTGTTTCTAAATAAAAGGTACCCAAGAGCTCTACTCTATCGCAACATATTCAGTAGTTATTGAACACAATACTATGAAGCTACCAGTACGTTGTGGGGACGATTTATCGTTCAAATTATTCAGTACGCTGCCAGGCGTCAGCCGGATTTATTTGTGGTCGGTTGCTCGCACTTTATGTAGATGCTAATGTATGCCGAGGGTCGTATCTGTTTAGGTTCAAGTTGTGATAAGTGTGATAAAATAGTTCTTTTTAATCCTCAATGTATCTGAGTACCTCTTGTTATTTGTCGCGTTGTTCTTGGCAGAGCGGTCGTGGTTACATTGAGACCTCCACGTCGGTGGTAGAGCCAGACACAGCCCTTGTACGATCTTCCGCCATCTTCCTCCTTTCAGCTCGCGCTCTGTCCAATCTGCGGCGTATAGAAAAATGGGTAATGGTTCACACGAGCCTGATATTGGTGAGGTTGCGATTCCTCCACACTTTCCGTAATTCCATCGTAGTTCTGGTTATGGCCATAACTCGTTTTACTTCTGCCTTCTGATATCTCGCCCGAAGCTGCAGAATTATCATTGTGGCCCATCAACCCAAACGTCAGGTTTAGCGCTCCACTTTGACAAGTATTTCTTGCATTAGGTCAGTATTACTTCCAAACAAGGTGGTGTCATCTGCGTACCGCAAGTGGGTAATCTTTTATCTGCCAATTGTAACACCATCGGTCCAGTCACAAGACAATTCTGTGGACAGATATGCTTTCTACCGCTCATTTATGGTGTGTACTATTATTTTGCTTGCATGTGGTGGAAGACTAATAAGTGTTTTTTTTATTTATTTATTTCCATTAAAAACAACTATCATTACAGGTTTAGCCCAATGCGATAGTGTTGTACCATCTACTTATTTATTATAAGAAATAATTATTAATGCTGTTATTGTGAATCCACTCAGTGAGCAATAGAATAAATGTATCTCACCCGCTATTATATTCAGAGTGCGTAGTGCGCGCGTCAGCGGTGCTTCGCAAGCTGCAATTTACTACACTTCTTTGTGGAACCCTTATTGTGAAGAGGAGTGAATACTCTGTGGGCCCATTCAGAAGGCATTTGACCGTAAAAGAAGTCTTGCGTAGGTTTATTAGCAACGCTATTATCGGGTACATTCTTTCTTTTTTATTCCAATGGAGGATATTCTTTAAATATAACACTTTTTTTAATTTACTAAATACTGGCCACTGCTTTGCACAATAGAAAAAATATTGTTGATGTCAAATTAACCGCAGTCAGATTGAACGCATGTATGATACAAAAATGTGGATGAGAATATTATGTTTGGTACTAATAGTGAGCGTTGTAAGCGGAGGTCAGTTTTTGTCGCACTTGTACGGAAAAAACGGCCACAATTATATGCTGATATGTCTGAAAGCTACGGAGGGCAGGCGTGCGCGCGCTTGCCCTGGCGCTCTCCTCAACTATGACATGGTGGGTGTAAGCGCCGGCTGTCTGCAGCAGCACCCTCAGAAACGCATGGTTGCGCTCCGACCAATCTATGGAGAACGCTGCGAAGATGTGACCAATGGTAAGAAACCTTTTGCAGGACGAGTCTCACTTGTTTAAACTTTTTTAAATAATAACAGCAGTCTAGTATTTTTTTATTTTAATATCTTATAATAAAAATATTGCAACAACTTTTTGTATTGAATAGTTGTGATGAGACCAGATGAGATCGGAACTGAACTGAAACCGAACTTTTATTAAGAGAATTGGCCTCCAGAAGTCCCTTAGAACTAAGCTCTTCAAAGTCCCTTAAAATAAAAAGTCTACGTATTACACACACATTTATCTTATTTATTTAGGAAACAGTAAAGTGCAGACGCGTGATGTCTGGGATCATTTCTACCATCCCTGGATGGACTTTGCGCTGGTGGTGTTGGACCGACCTTACGACAATCTGGACGCTTACCCTAACAACACCGCATGGACCGTCCCACGGGCATTCAGGAAACATGGGTAATATTCATCATAGGATTATGATTCTAATTAGATTTAAACAGACTCAGAAATTACTTGGTCCCATAAATGGTTATGCCTTTAATCATGGACACACTAAAGGGTATGTATAGGGAGTAGTTTTTTTACGTGTAGAATCACCTTCGGCCCGCTGTCACCCCACACCGGGGTACGCAGCGGAGCGGTGTGTCGAAATCGAACCAACTAAAACCTGAAACAGAGGGCCTAGTGTCAGTTTCTTTCACATCAACTCGTTCGTCACGGTGACCGCGTTCGGCGTTGCGATTGGTCCGCTCTAAAATCTTCACCAATCACAACGGCAAACGCGTTCGCTGTCGAGAGCGAGTAGAAGTGAAAGAAACTTACACTAAGCCCTCAGGAGGGATCCGGGAATACCTGTTATTAAAACATCCGGAATATGTATAGGCAATATAAAGCAGTGTAGAGGTTGAGTGACCCTTGTATGTATAACTATTAACACGCTCATATTAGCTTGGTATATGTGTAACGGAATCTTCGAACGTGATTTTGACCCACTTCAAAACGTGGAATTCAACACCCTTATCAAGGACCGTTGACAATGTAATAATTTAAATAATTGATTAAAGGTTTCTTCCATACCTAAAAATACAGTGCTGAAGCATAAACTTGTTACTTTTTTAGTCTTAATAATAACTAAAAATGGAAAAAGAAATTATACTTTAAATAACGTGAGGTGCTTTTCAAGTTATTTTACAATATAATAATGTTACTTTTACCAATATCTGTCAGTAAAATATTTTTACAACAATTGAGATCTCATACACCATGCATTTTTACAATAAATAATTTATCTTTTTGAACTTATAAAAAATTATTTCCTACTTTTTAGTTCAGCTAGCTACAGGTGTGTTTTTTAGTTTTTTTATACTAGTTTATTTTAACAATATACATATGTGTTTAAAACTTATCGTTTTATCCACAAAGTAGCAGTTTTTTACTGTAGTGGCTATGATGAATGAAAAATTCCCCATTATCACCTTTGTAGCCCTGTCCTGTCCATGTGGTGACGGACTATTCACCCGTGGGAGTCGTATGAGCCGACTAAGGGAAAAAACTACGCAGAACAACAGCACTGCAGAGAGAAGGAAAACTTGACACAAACCCTACACCCACCCCTCTGGCAAGTGTGGTATAGTATAGTAGGCCAAAACCTCCTGTCTAAGGAGAGGCTTATGTCCAGCAGTGGACTGTTAAAGGCTGTTGATGATGACCTTTGAAGTTCCATCAGTTGCTAGGTGCTGTTTATCCAGCCCATATATTAGTTCTAAGCTCACATTTCTATCAAGTAGTGTGTTCAGGCTACAGGACAACATAGTTGGTAGACAGACAAAACTATGAACACTCTTCAATTCAATCACCTCGTAAACAAGGGCATTTACTTTGAACCAAGATTAGAATTTCCTAAGGTTTTTATAAAATAGGGAATAATCAAGCAGATGCATTTGCAACTCCAGAGAGAGGAGTACATACCCACTCTTAGAATGGCTCCCAGAAATTCATTGGTATCACCAGAGTTGAGCCATCTCTTATTTTCTGCATCATGGCTCCTCCATTGTACTCCATATATTTATTGAATAGGGGCAAACAGGCAGACGGGTCACCTGATGGAAAGTGACCATCGCCGCCCATGAATGTCTGCAACTCAGGAGTCACAAACGCGTTGCCGGCCTGTTAGGAGGCCTTTTCTGGAAGGTCCTATCAGTCCAGAAATACTGCAGCCGATAACTAATTATAATATAATACTATTCATTATAATATCCTAATTAAGCTGCTAAATTAATAAATATGACTTACACAAGAACATATTATTGACAGGCAATGGAAATGGATGAAGGTGTCCATGAAGATTTCTACATCGGAACGTGCCAGACACCACCATTACATGAAACTGAGGAGAACAATGATATCTATGCGTGCACCATTCTTCATAACTATTGTAGCTATTGTGATTCCAATACTGATATTTGTTTTAGTTTCATTTGTTGTATTTTATGCCACTTCCTCTAAGGCTCCAAGCAAGAGTTTGCAGTATAATAAGGCTAAAGTATAAGTCTAGTATTTAATATATGAATGTTTATTTAAAATTGTTTTATTTACAAAAAATGACACTAATTCTAACCAAAGCTATAAACTATGGAAATAAATATTTTGTATTTGAACTCAGGGATGTATTCTCAATGAACTTCTTTACTTTTCACTTCCCTTGTCGACAGTTCGCCTCCACACTTTAACTTTACCTCTCAGTTCCCTCAACCTTTTCATTTCCTCTTTAAAATCTTGATGTTCATCGCGGAAAAGGCCGTATTCTCGGAGCTTTAACATGAGGGCGTGTGTCTCGACGTGACGAGGATAATAGTGGATTATTTCTTCATTAGAATGCAACGGCCGCTCCGAAAACATTTTCACTACCTTCATAGACTTCGAGTTAGTTGGGATAGCTACCTCGCCAAAAATCCTGTTGGAAAGTCTCTGCATACGCCGCGCATAGTTTGTAGATGCTTTAATAAGTTGTGAATAAGTAGCATACTTAGTAGCCATTGTTTAGTTTATAACTAATTCTTAGCCCCTAATTTAAAGTATTATACGAAAAAATCTTTAAACATTCAAATATACAAACTAACCTTAAAAGCAAAACTAATCAGTCCTGACTTGACAGTTGACATATCCATTGTTGCCAACGGTTTACTCACCTGGTACAACTTCGTCCTGCTATTTTGAGTTTAATGTCCTACAGTTTTATTTTACCATTTAATAATAATATTCTACGATATATTACGCACCGATTCCTAGCCCTTACCTACACAGCTATTTATTAGCAGTAGAGTTGTGTAGCTCCTGAGTGAGTGATATAAAAGATATATATCATTCACGACGATAAAATGTATCACTCACTCACACTAGCTCCGAACATATCAGTAACTCACTACTAGCTCACTAGATCACTAGCTCAACGACGCCGATCTTTGTTTCATGAGCGAGTTAGACTAAAGATAAATGAGTGAGATAGATGATGGTTGAGTTCTCGCAGGTTTCTTTATGCAAAATGTGCATTATTTCTATAGGATCAAAGTTTAATATTACTTAAGCATTAAGCCAACTACAAGGAAAATCAAATTATGTATTATTTCTATTATACAACCTAAAAAAAGTACAAGAAATAATTTCTTATTTTTAATTATTATGTAAAAGGATGTTAATAATTATGTAATCTTATCAAAATGAATAAAATTGTATTTAAAAAAAATTGGTTAAAAATGTAGTTTCAAAAACTGAATTAATTTTATTTAATATGAAAGTTAATATCTATAATTAATTAAAGTTAATAAATAAAAGAAAGAAAATAAGAAAATAAAGAAAGGTTCGTATGGCGAGAGAGGCTTAAAGTGAGTGATATACGAGTATACTGAGCTACACGATCTAGATGAAGAAATGAATTAATAGTGAGACCAATCAATTGAATCGGATCAATGAGCTAGTGAGCTAAACGAGTTAGTGAGCTAAATGAGCTAGTGAGCTAAACGAGTTAGTGAGCTAAATGAGTTAGTGAGCTAAACGAGTTAGTGAGCTAAATGAGCTAGATGAGTGATATATATCTTTTGAGCGAAATGCGCATCATTTTGCGCATCACTAATTAGCAGTCGCATGTGAACTAAACATCTCATATTTCACCTACCGCTTGATTGATAACACTAGTATCGCTCACGTTTTGTTTAAATGAACTGGTGAGCGCTGTCTCATGTTCCTATTATACGCTTTAGTCTCTTTTTACGAAATTACTCCCACGGATTGCAGGGAAATGAAAGGAAACATGGATATTAATAATATTTTGAAGAAAATTAAAACGCCTCGGTCGCCTCCTGGCAATGGCCCAGCTCGAATGAACAGTTCCGAGTAGTCTGTAATTTTGAGCGAGATTTTGATCCAGGTTTGATAGCATGATTTTTGATTGATTTTTTTTTTTGAACAACATTTTAGCGTCATTTCGTCCACAACTTAAGTTTTAAAATCTATTCAAGTTTTACAGATTCAGCTTTACAGAGAGACTAGTACAAGCCTGATCTGCCGGGTATATTCTCATTTAAGTTTAATCAATAGTTTAATATGATGAGCGTTCTAGCAACAACATTATACCTACTTGTTTAATTCAAAATTTTAAAGTTAATAATTGTCTGCAAAATTTTACTTATTAATCACATCAACAGTCTTTAATAGTCCCAGTTGAAAATATTGGGCAGACTAGCGATATAATTCAGGGTACGTCTCATTGTTTAATGATCCGGTTGAGTAGCAGAAAAGAAATGAAGATTGATATCCTTCAAACTAATAAACTCGGTCCGTAATTTTCTACAAATGCCCAACGCGAAGTATTGTTCTTTAAAATTGCCCAAGGTACCAAGGGAAACATGATTGCCGCCATGGTACCGAGCGAGAGTGCGTGGAACTCCGCCGTCTCCTTCTGCGAGCAAGTTATGCTTGCGAAGCAAATGGCGAAGGGGGGCTGGGATAGGTTTAGAACTCTCAAGGCCCGATGGGCCCCGAGAACGGGCCAGGTACTGCAGACGTCTGTGCTCCATAAGCGCAGATGTATGGGTGACAGGTGAGGCCATCTGTCACCCTAGCAGAAGCAAGCCGGGGTGGTGGCGAGACGCGCTGTTTAGGACACCGCAGGACACGCGCTCTTTTGGGAGCACAAAGGGAACATGGGGTTCCTACACAGAAAGGGGTCATCTACACAGCGTAGATGGCGCGAGGAACGCGGGGTATAATGGATTTCCTTTCTGAGTACACCTGGCTCCCCCCCCAAGAAGCCGTGCGGTTTTTGGTCGGTTCGAGTCCAACATGACGACCCCACCGGTGGGTGCTATCCGAGTGGATTGCCGCACAGAAAAAAAATAAAAAAGGCGGCAAATGATTTCGACATTTGAGAAATTAGCAACCTTTGGTATTACTCTTTTAATACTACCTCATTTCAAAGCCGTTGTTGAGTTGAGAGACAGTAGCTATAAACAGAGGAATAAAATAAAGTTTTGAAGTTGGAATAAAATATGAAATTGCAATATACTTTATATATACTTTGTAAAAAAAGCTAGATGTGATGATTAGTATCATATATTATCAATTACTATTCCTATTATTACGTATTAAGTTAATTGTGGTTTACTGTAGTAATTACTAAAAATGTTTAGTGGTAAATTTAGTCTCTGTTAGAAAAGGGTCGTTTTTCGATAGCAGTTTTCTGGACTGGTTTTAGATGTTGAATTTGGTGGAGATTTCATTTAGCTGTTGGCAGCACTGATGGTAGGTAGGGTTAGAGATGTGACAGCCTGGAATATTTACAAACCGAGTTGAATCAGTTTGACAATTCGTGTAAATCGGTTCCAAATCGAACCGTTGAAATTGCAGTAAACCGCGGTTTGAACCTTGTGATGAGTTGACCAGCGATTGTAATATACGAAAGTGGTGTGCAACATGATTCGACGGGATTGATTAAACCATCGTTTAATGATTTGTTAACGGTTGGCAACCAAGTTTACATACAAGCGTTAAACTTGACATTACCTATACTAACCGACTACCGACGTGACGACAGTATGAATTGATTGGTAGTTTGGAGTACAAATTATTCAGTCAAGTAACACGATTACCAAGCCTTCTTTTTTTCTCATTTGATGGATATAAGAAAAATATGTCCGTTAGATCCGAACGGTTAATAAATCGGTTTATGTATTCAATTACCTATTATTAAACTGACGACGCGCACTAACCCTATCCGATTTTGTTGGAACATAATAATATGGTTTGTGCTTGTAGGTAAATTGATAAATATATATTCACTGCCGTGACGCATCGACTCAGTTCAGAATCAGTTGGTAGATAAATCAGTTTTGTTCGATCGATGAAGCAGAAGTGAGCAGAAGCCGCGAGCATGACGGTACGACGCAAAGCGCGGCGCGATCTTTTGATACGGCTGAACCGGTTTAAACCACGGGCTAACCGAGTCAACTCGGTTCATGCTCAAACCGGTTTCGTAGAGTTTCTCTCTTTGTGTTGACCACTGTTGACTGTTGTGATTGATAATAAAGTAGGAGCGGCTCTCGGCGGACATAGCATCCAACACCTGCATCGATCTGCCTATTTGTGATCATTTTTTTGCTTGTAAACCTCGATTAAACTAACAAAAAGGCAGCCGAATGTCTCATTTTATGACAGAATTGCCGTTGGTCGTCGTAAAGCCTGTGAGTTAAAGCACCTGCTGTACTATTTTAAATCGAGTATTTTTGTAAAATATTATTAATATCCATTACACTAATTAGAAGTTATTTCCAATTTCAAATAAGTTGTTTTTTATTACCTGGTTCTAACTATAAATGGAATCTAAAAATGTTACTCTATTTTGGTCATGCTCATTATTTATTAATACCAAAGCCAGACCAATTAAATATTTAAATTTAAAAAGCAGGACACTTTTTGTTATTGCTTTTTTTTTAATGCTTGTCTAAATATAAGAAATGCTTAACAGCTTTAATGTAATGTAAGCCACAACGTTATTATTATTATTTTTTGTTTTATTTCGTATTTTTTATCAAAACAATTTTGAATTTTTTTTTTGTTACTTTTAATAATTTAAATTTTGAACATCGCTTGTAACTTTGTTCACTTGGTTGATGGTATTATTATTTTGTTCACTGTGCTTGCTCCTTGTAAGTGAAGGAGTACACTGACTTTATGCCCATTTTGTCAATTATTGTTTTTTTACTTGTGTATATCTTTCGTAGGAGATACTAATAAATAAATGCTTATAATTTTCAGGGCAAGATGATCACATCAAAATTGAAAGTGGTTGCAATGGTCCTGATGTTACTCCTCTATGTGTATATGGTTCTATTCCTTAAATCGTTTTATTTGAAATCAAAGAGACTCGACCGCATCTGGGAAATGGTAAGCATTCACATCTACTTCTAGGTTTTTTTGACAGGCCTTTTGGTCTAATTGTTAGTGACCCTGACAGGTAAGCCGTAGGTTGTGGGTTCGACTCCCAATTAGGTGACCACTCATGATGAGCTTGATCATTTAATTTTGTTTTGTCTGGGTGTAATTTATCCCACAGGAGGGGAAACATTTACACGCTGTAGATGGCCCGAGGTAGGTTGGGGTATCAAGGATTTCCTTCCTAGGGTACACCTGGTTCCCTGGCAACTGGTACCCGAGACGGCATACAGAGTTTGGTCAGTTCGAGTCCGACATAAATACCGGTGGGTGGTATATGAGGGGATTTCCTCACAGAAAAAGTTTTTCTAATTGAATTGAAAAATGAGTGGAAATCAAACCTCTGGCTTATCCCTCATTGCACTGCCACCACACCGACATTGGCAAATTGCAGCTGTATAGCGTGTGATACCTGTGATGCTAACAGGCCAGTACATATGCTCATCTAAAAATAACTCTGCAACTGTAACCAAACTTATACCTATAAACTTAAGATAATCATTTCTTTCAAGATCTAGAGAAATTAAATTATATAATAATTATATTCATTGTTTCTATCACCCTCAGATATCGGAGACTGAAAAAAAAATTATAGAAGTCCAAAACATGGATCAGAACCTTGCCATGCAAATAGCTGAACTTAACAAGCTATATGAAGACTATTAAACCTATTTTGGATTATTATACTATATCATACAATAACGAGATCAGGGTGCTGATGGGGCTACAGCATTTCTGTACCGCATCAGGGATGTTTGCTGAACATCGTGTAAGTTGCTTTTATGCTACGATGCATATCTCTAGTGCGCAGGGTGCATGGCAGCACCAACAGTATCCTGAACATGATTGCTAGTCAGCTGGACTGTAGTTCCATCAATCGTTGCTGTGCAATTGCGTACAGGATGATACAGCAATGATTGTTGAATGTCTCATATTAAATGTATGTTGTGTGTCTTTTATGTATGTCTATTTTTCTTTGGTTTTTAACAGACTTGAAAAACATAAAATCTATTTGGTTATCAATTTGGCTGTATTTTTTTTTTGGATGTTTGTTACGAAAAAACACAAAATCTGTCCACAATTGACGGAAATATAGCCTCCGTCAATTGTGGACAGATTTTGTGTTTTTTCTATATGTATTGTACTAACACTAGTTTCTAAGAATATTGTTACTAACAAATCGGACACAGTGATCTGGACTAAAGAAGTATAATTATAATTTATACTAGGAATAAACCTGCACAACCGAATATACTGCTAAGTCTATAATTTGTTTTGGATTTTAGATAATTTGTAAATTAATTATTTTATATAATACTAGCTGACCCGCGCAACTTCGTCTGCGTCTCTCAATAGTAATAAATTTTCTCCGTTTTTGAAACATTCTTCATTGGTGCTCCGCTCCTATTGGTCTTAGCGTGATGATATATAGCCTATAGCCTTCCTCGATAAATGGGCTATCCAACACTGAAAGAATTTTTCAAATCGGACCAGTAGTTCCTGAGATTAGCGCGTTCAAACAAACAAACAAACAAACAAACAAACAAACAAACTCTTCAGCTTTATAATATTAGTATAGATTTGTTGATGAGCACACCATACAATGATGGATGAATTTCTATAAATTTGGTTAAAAATTAACCACAGCGCAATTTAGTTTAATGAATTAAGATAATTGTATGAAATGAAAATAATGGAGGAACTGAATGAAAAGACGATGAACTTTAAAAATGATGTTATATTTTTGTGTAATATCAAGAGTTGCATCTTGAGAGACCATTGTTCTCTTAATAAATTCTCTCTTAACAGTAGCGAGAGTAAATTTTAAATATCCAAATTTTACATTTGTAAAAAAAAGTAATATTATGTTTGAGCATATTTTTTAAGCCGTTATTGTTATATTAGATTTAGATTCCATTGCATATCTCACTGTTTTAATTCATTATTCTCAATATTTTCATCAATTCCCAAAGTTTCCGATTCGCGGTAATGGGACTGGCCTGGTTAAAAATGTTTGGTGTATTTTCTTCTGCCTTCCTCTTAAAGGCTATTAAAGCAAATGTATGCATATACTGACAAGGAGTAGCCGCAGAACTTTCTAGAAGTAAGTACGGTTAACTGTAGTAGCAAAACATATTTATCACTGTAGGTATTTGTTGAAAAAACACTAAGAATCTTCAATACTAATCCAAAGTAACTAGCTAGAGCCGCACAGTATTAATATAATTTATTGTAATCTATTTATTAAAAAGTCATCAATTTGTGTCAAATATTTTAAGTTTTTCACGTGTTATTTATCGAAAGATTTTTTTTTTAAACTATAAATTTCGGATTACTTTAAGTGCATTTTATAAATAATTAATTTAAAAAGAAAATATTTTTTGGGTATCTGTCATGGAGCAAGGGCGTATGTTAATTTTATTGTGTGTTATGTTATTTGTTACCTTTATAGTTATTTTAAATGTTTGTATGTTGTTTCTGTCATTGATTTTTATTATTATTGTACCTATATGTGGCACATAAATTAAAGCATTTGAAACTCATGTTGTTTATTACTTATTTTGGTACGAGGGATTTTATCCTGGTACCTCGTCACAGGCCTTTATAGAATTATATTACTATTCTATACTGCACGGATAGCGTAGTGGTTTAAGCGGTCACCTCGCCGCTTCCTACCGCGGAGTGTTGTGAGTTCGATCCCCACATGGGACAACACTAGGTGTTGTTCTGGGTTTGGGTGTTCTTTGTGCTCGTTTCATGTATGTTCATAAAGTCCCCCGCGACATAGAATATATTTCTAGTGCGGCAGTTATATTTTTCTAGAATATTACCTAACCTACATTACAAGGGGTCACAGTGGTTACTTAAAAAATATATTTTTAACAGACTTAAAAATCTATAGTACTTTAGTATTACCATATGATGACAATACCATCTGATGGCCAAGTTTGACGTACCAAATAGGATAGCGCATCATTTTAGTTATCTCTTAGTCTAAGTCGTAATCATGGGCGAGAGGCACTCCAGGGGACGGCAACACGCGTGTGTCTTGTGAGTTGTAGGTGTTCACGGGCTGAAGTAGTCACTTGTCGTCCCTTGACCCGTTTAGTTGTTTGTTCCCTATACCTCGAAAAAACGTTATGTAGTATCACGTATTGCAGGTTCAGTTCCATAATTTTTTTTTTTTCTTTTTTTTTTTTAAAAGACAACTCCCGCATTAGGAATAAATCCTGTGTCGCGGGGGACTTTACAAACATACATGAAACGGACACAAAGAACACCCAGACTCAGAACAACAATTTGTGGATCACACAAAGTGTCGTCCCATGTGGGGTTTGAACCCACAACACTCGGCGTAGTAGGAAGCGGCGTGGCGACCGCTTAAACCACTACGCCATCCGTGCAGTCAATATAAATATTTATATTATAAATAAAAGGTATCACTTTTCACACCGACTTCAATTGTTATTTTTTTTATGTTAGAGGGGGCAGACGAGAAGACGGGTCACCTGATGGAAAGTGATCATATGTTATTGTATGTTATTCTGTTGTTTGCGCTGTAATTTCTTTCTTTTGCCACAGTTTAAAAACATTGGTCTAAATAGAAACACCAAAGTGCCGTAGGTACATTACCTACTTGTTGTCGCAATTATAGGGTATAAACACAGAAATCGTAATAATTACGATTTCAATGGGAATAAAAAATAAATGAGACAAGGTAAACGTATTAACTTATTTTATTCATAGAATTTGTGATGTAAATAATATCTGGCAACTCCAACAGCAAATATATAAAAAACTTTTTACGACTAACATTAATGATAAAAGCTAAATATAGTTTTCAGATCTGTTTTAAAAAATTTTTACAGTAAAGGTTATTGTTATTTATTATTAAGCAAGCCCCCCCCCCCCCCCCCCTCCAAGGGGAGGAAACCAGGGCACCCGCCCCGGGCGGCAGTTTCAGGAGGCGCCAAACTCATAATATAGTATGATTAGAAATAAAAAACTTGCTCCACAAAGCATAGCATTCGGAAGCCTGGTTGACTCACCGTCAACTATAAGAAAAAGGCGCCACACAGGCCCACATAACAAGTGAACTTATATATTTGTGAGTTTTTAAGTTATTTATCTCAAACGCTGGAGAGAGGGGCGGCACTATCAACTTTCTGCCACGGTTCGAAAAAATCGTAGATCCGGGGCTGAATTTAAAATTTATTAAATCCTAAGTAACATTATTTGAAGACAATGAGTATTGAAAAGTTACAAATTTAAACCCATTTATATCTATCTAATTTAATTTAACGATCACATAACCTGAAGTAGGAATGTCACTAACCACTTCTTATTTATTTTTTTGTAAATACATGACAAGATAGTGTAATGCCTAATCTACACGCTTCTCGAGGCTTGACAAACGACCCCAAGCTCCAGAACTTTACAAACGCTTGGATGCCAATTACACGCTTACCGAGGCTTGGTTATGTCCACAAGCTCCAAGCGTTTACAAGCGCTGGACTGCATAACTATTACCATGTTGAACAGTAGGTAACAAGCTCGCGCCAACATGTAAATAGCAATACGTTGCAAGCGCTTCTGACAAGCCTCTTATGATCTGTGTTCCAAAACCGACACTGTCCCTGATCGACAACATGCTCACTTAAGCCAAGCCAAATACCCGGTCTATACGCTTGTGCTAGTGGACACTTGTCGAGACCGGGCACGTCCCAGCCTGTAGATATTAAAATTTCAAAATAAAAAAAATCCTATTTTATAGATCTCAATAATTGAAAATATTCAATAATTAATATTGTAAACAGTAAAAAAACCGTCGTGGCATGTATATTTAAAACTTACTTTTTTAAAACGAAACAGTAATATAATAACTTTTAAAGTCCTTCCGTGCGTGTAGCATCAGCTGATTTCTGTTTGATTCTGTCGCGCATGCGCATAATTGGCTTGGAAATGCCACGACGGTTTTTTACTGTTTACAATATTAATTATTGAATATTTTTAAGAATTAGCACGCGGGCAAATTAAATTAGCGCAAGGGCAATTTTTTTACGCTTGGTAGAGTAAAAAATAATCATTTTTCAAAGAGATATGGCTATTTTAAGTAGAGGAAAATTGAAAATTATATTTCTATTTTTCCTGGGAAAACGAAAAAGGGGCTTATAAATTAATTAACGTAGGTCGAAAGGGCTAATTGAGATCTATAAAATGAGATTTTTTTTATTTTGAAATTTTAATATCTGCAGGCTGGAACGTGCCCGGTCTTGTCGAGACTTGCCAAGCGTTTAAACCATACCAACCATAAGAGTGACATTCGATACCTTAGAGTGACTAACAGGTATTTATGGTAGCGTCACTCACATTGTGGTACTCAAATTAATAATTCGACTTTAATGATGACATTAACATAAGTATAACGTATTTCACATTATACCCAGATACTTAAAAATGTTGTGTAGGGGTAATAATCGTTATAAAAAAGCAAAAAAATGCGTATAACTCATTCCTTTTTTTTTTTGCTTTTCTTAATATTATGTTTATAACCTATTATAACATATTTTACAACCCCAACGGTTAAGTAATCACGGTTCTAAATTCGTAATAAAAAAAAACTTCTAAAGCGTCTTTAACTAAACTTCTGATATTAACTTAATACAATTCGCATATGTAAGCTCTGTGCACACAAATACAATAAATATAACGAAACCGACACCACAATAAAGCGTGATATGTGTAAATTTCTCGATACCTCAGTAGGCACAGGTAAGCTCAACATAAATACTCTTAAAACTATTACTAATTTACTCAGTTTAATAGGTAGGGCACCACCTAAATTAGTTGGTTTAACTGGTATTCACGAGGATACAGAGTTATATAAATTACAATCTTGTTTTGAAAAATTTGTTCGATAAAAGTTATTTTACATAAATTGTACATTCGTCAATTATTTTTATTCAATCTAATACCAAACGTCAAACTTTGCCTAACCTGTAAACATTTACACAATAAACCAACAGACAAAATGTCTCACTATTTTTTTTTCATAAGTCACAGACCTTAGATTATTTTTAAATCATCAATGTACTGATAAGTAGATAATTAGTTAGATAGAAAATCTCGGCGTGTCTCTTTTTTTTTTGTATTTTTATGGCTTGGTAACAAGACCTTTAAGCCAATCGGCGTGTCTCATTGCTAGTTCAGTGTTACCAGTATTATCGCGTGTAGTAATGTAGAAGTCCATTGTCGAGGCTGCGACACACACTGTCCGAGTCAGCCCCATCGTGCTCCAGCACGGCGTCGGGCGAGCACAGCCAGGGGTCCTGGGTGGCCATCTGCCAGTGATGCAGCCGCTCTCGGAGACCTGCTTCTACTTGCTCCAGTGAAGGTTTGCCTAGTACATTAAGCATGTTTTTATATTTACAAGGCGAGTGAATAAAAAAATTACGCGTACGTTGTAACAAGTACAAAATATAATACACCTTTATTTTATAGACAATCATTTTTAAACAATAACTATATTCTGTAAATCGAGCGACTGATTTAAAACTCATTTATTTAGGAACATTTAAATACATTTTAAAGTGACAGCATTTAAAATACTTGCATTCTTTGGTACCCTCGTATCTTAATCATTTATGATTTCAATTTGAGTATTTAGCATACAAGCTACATACATAGACAATAAAAGAAATAAACACTTTCTGCTGGCCTATGGTCCGGTCTAATGCGATCATCGGACAAGTGAAATTCATACATACCATGCAAATTGTTAGTCTCAGCTGGGTCAGCGCGTATATCGTACAGTTCCCACTGCGGCCGGTAGTAATATTGCTTCAAAGTTTTATACCACGGCAGGCTCTGTTTGCTGCGTGTGCGGTTTAGTATGTCCTAAAATATTTGCAGAAATATTAAGAGTTTAACAGGAACATGTAAAATTAGTTGATTAGATGTTGTTTTAAATTTTATCAGGATTTGCCGTAGCCACGCCGGTAGTTCATAATCGACGTTAGGTACACGGTCATGCCAGCGGACTGTCGAAGGGTGGCTCGTATCACATCATACTTAGTTTGAACAATTTACTGAAAAATTTGAGTATTTTTTTACAGTCTGAGAAAACTCTGACTCATTCTTTCCCTTTTAAATTAGTTTCTACACCACTAATGTCTCTCTGATTGATGGGATAAACTTTGATCCTTGGCTGAATATAATTGTTAAGTAGACATTAATAACAGAAACGACAAGAGCTACCTAAGTATTGGATACGAATAAACATCTAGACACAATGTGGTGTGTTTCCTTACTTACCTGGAAGGTGGGCGATACGTAGAGATCTTGATCGATAGGGAAGGGCATGCCGAAGTTGAGGTTGTGTATGAGTTTGTAACGGCGCGTGCGCACGGCCCGCATAGGGTAGTACATCGTGATCTCGTGGTGCGTCTGCGAGAGGAATACCGCTTCGTCCTCGGAGAACGGAGGTTCTATCCAACAAGTAAAATACTTTAACGTAATCAGTTTATTTTCACTTTCTCCTAGTTCTGGTTACATACTTTGTTTACATAATCATCAATTTCTAACATAGGGACAAAAAATATATATTAAACAATCACTATTTGCTTTGAGTTAGGAGCTTTGCAATTAGAGAGCCGTGGGAGAGCCATGCTTCGGCACAAATGGGCCGGCTCAACCTGAGTGATACCACGGCCTCACAGAAAACCGGTGTGAAGCAATTCTTTCGTTGCCTTTCACTGAGTGAGTGAGGTTACCGGAGCCCAAATTCTCTCTCCCGCTGACTCGAGCGGGAGGGACTCCCAAGGGCGGCAACGCTTTTGAGTTGAAACGACTTTTGAGTTGCAGGTGTCCATGGGCGGGGGTAGTTGCTTACCATCAGGTGACCCGTCTGCTCGTTTGCCCTCTTATACCATAAAAAGAAAATAGATATGGTAATCCTGGATAGGAAGTGTTTACGCTCGTTACCGTTTAAAAGGTAATTACTACGTGAAAATAGAATATTTTTATAGATTAAAAGATGTAGAGGAAGTGTTTGAAATGTAAACGGAAAGCATCTTCAAAGTACCTAACGTAAACATGGCATGATTTTAAATTAAATATATCCTTACCTTTCTCCAATATAGGTAGCAAACTCTTGGGTTTGTCGGTCTGAACGACATCATTGGTTTCTTCTTCCCACGGAAGGCCAAACCAGTCCAAAACCGTAGGCATAATGTCCAGCAGACTGACCATGGACCCTGAAGCTTGGTTTCTCCTAGCAGTAGGGTTGGGAGATGAGATGATGAGAGGTTCTCTAACACCAGGATCGTAGAAATTAGTTCGGCCGGACGGGAATGGTATACCATTATCAGACGTGTAGATAATCAACGTGTCATCTCCATGGCCAGCTGATTCTAACTCTTTAAGGACCAATGCAACACCTGTAAAACAATTTTAGTTAAATTACTTTTTCTTTTGTGACAGTGAATATTCTTACTACTTTACTTCGAATGGATTTTTAGGTGTAATTAAAAAAAAGTATTTTTTCACACTAGTTTATCTATGTTTGGTTTAGTTTTTTTTAATATTTATGACATTTTACATGAAAACAGAAATTCGTTTTTTTTTTTTACTACAGACTCAATAGTAACAACAGATTGGTGTGTGTACGAACCTTGGTCGAGTCGTGACATAGTCGTATATTGCGCAGCAATATCTCTTCTAGCTGCCTCTGTGTCCTGGAAATTACATCGATCATTTTAGAAATAGATTCGCATTTTATAGGGGCCGTTTAGATTGGGACCCTCTCATACCGGCTGACGCTGGTGATCACGGGCAAAGGATGCTTCGGGGATCAACTGTGTCTGATCCGCAACTAGGCAACGGTTGAGTGTCACCACTGCGATGGCCGGACCGTGGACACGGCGCTCCACATACTGGCAGAATGCCCGGCGTGGGTTGTGGCGGCCATCGGAGTGGGAATTCTCTCGCTTAGTACCACCATTGCGGCCATGGTACGGAGCAAGAGCGCGTGGAACTCCACCGTCTCCTTCTGCAAGCAAGTTATGCTTGCGAAGGAGAGGGCGGAATGGGACCGGGAGAGATTTAGAATTTTCCCGGTCCGTCAGGCCCGGAAACGGATCCGGTACCGTAGGAGACTCAAGCACCGGAGGTCGCAAAACGACCTTCGTCCTCCATAAGCGCAGGCCTGGGGATGACAGGTGAGGCCATCTGTCACCCTTTTTTTTTTTTTTTTTTTTTTTTTTTTTTCCGTGCGGAAATCCCCTCGGATACCACCTGTCGGTGGCATGTCGGACACGAACCGACTAAAACCGCACGCCTTCGCCGGGTACTAATTGCCGGGGAACCAGGTATACCCTAGAAAGGAAGGCCCTGGTGCCCCGACATACCTCGGGTCATCTACAGACGAGTAGACGACCCCCGCCCCGTGTGGGAACCCCATGTTCCCTGTGCTCCCTGGAAGCGAGCGCGCTTCGCAACGCGCTCGCCGCCACCCCGGCCTGCTTCTGCTAGGGTGACAGATGGCCTCACCTGTCACCCCCAGGCCTGCGCTTATGGAGGACGGAGGTCGTTCTGCGACCTCCGGCGCCTGAGTCGCCTGCGCTGCCTGGCCCGTGCCCGGGCCTGGCGGGCCGGGAGAGTTCTAAACCTCTCCCGGTCCCGCTCCGCCGTCTCCTTCGCGAGCATAACTTGCTCGCAGAAGGAGACGGCAGAGTTCCACGCACTCTCGCTCCGCACGATAGCCGCAATCAGGCTATCGAGCGAGAGAACTCCCACTCCGATTGCCGCCACGAGGTCTCGCCTCTGCTCAACCCACGCCGGGCACTCTGCCAGCGTGTGGAGAGCCGTGTCCACGGTCTGGCCATCGCAGTGGTGGCACTCAGGCGTTGGCTCCTTGCGGATCAGACACAGGTGATCTCCGAAACATCCCTTCCCAGTGATCACCTGCGTCAATCGGTATGAGAGGGTCCCGTGACGCCTCTCGAGCCAATCCTCCATAACGGGTCTTACCGCCGCAATGACGGCGTGCCCAGCGCTCGGTGGCCCGAGTCGTTCCCTCCACTCCCCTATGATGACCTGGCGGAGTTGGGATTTCCGGTCATCGATTTCTCGAATCTCGGGGCATCGACCCAACTCCTGCGCCTCCTTGCGCCACTGATACAGTGCCGCAAGGGCTCTCGCCTCCAGGTCCCACGGTGGAGTTCCGGCCAGGAGACTCGCTGCCTCAAAGGAGATCGTGCGGTACCCCCTTATGATCCTGATGGCCAGCATTCGCTGCGGTCGTCGCAGTATCGCGACGTTGCTGGCCTTCAGGGCCCCGCCCATACCGGGCACCCGTAAAGGGCCATGGACCGCACAACCCCCGAGTAGAGTCTCCTGCAGGGCCATCTGTCACCCTAGCAGAAGCAGGCCGGGTTGGCTCCAAATAGCTAACAAGCTAACCCCATTAGAGTTAAAGGAAGTAAGAAAATTACTATGATGGTGATAATGCACAGTAGGTACAACACTATCACTAAAGTTCATAACCTATTGAAGTAGAATTAGTTGTCGATATTATTATCTATCTTGTGTCAGTAAATATTTTTTAATAATCTTTGGGGTACCTAAGCTTGTTAGTTAACAAGAATTAATCTTAACTTTATTATCCTACGTCACGGCAATTAATACTGAACTACTAATGATAAGTTAACAATAATTAAACCTACTTGCTTTCGAAAGAGTAACTCTTATAAGATAAATATCTCAAAAACGGCGTTATCTGCAGAGTCGATGAATTAATGTAAATGTACCTGCACGAAATATGGGAGCTGCACCTCATCCCACTGGTAATACCACGGCTGCCAGTCGGGTATAGTACCCATACCTTCTTCGCCTGAGCCGAAACGCTCACAAAACGGGCCGTACTGTGGCTCGCTGTGGCCGCATCGATGTGGATCGTGGAAACCAATGTAGAGGAAAAATGGTCTAAAGAAAAAACACGTAGAATTACATTCCTCTACTGTTTGGTATCGTGCTTTATTGAAAAAGTGGCCTAAACTCTTAATATAGGTCGTTAAATTGTCGGCGTCGAACTAACTGCATTTGATTTGACTGCACGGAAGGCGCAGTGGTTTAAGCGGTCGCCACGCCGCTTCCTACTGCGCCGAGTGTTGTGGGTTCAAACCCCACATGGGACGACACTTTGTGTGATCCACAAATTGTTGTTCTGAGTCTGGGTGTTCTTTGTGTCCGTTTCATGTATGTTTGTAAAGTCCCCGCGACACAGGATATATTCCTAAAGCGGTAGTTGTCTTTTTTAAATAAAAAAAATTATATATATAACTATTGATAAAATTATACGAAATTATGTAAGACGATACGATTGCAAGTCCTTTAAACCTTTTCTGAGCGAAGAACATCTATTTATAGAGAGAAGATCTTCTTTTCTTATTTGTCCTTTCATTCAAAAACATCACCACGTGGCTGATGCTATACAAAAGAGAAAATATAAAATCAAACTGCCTCAAAACTTGTTCTACTTACGCTTCTGCTTAAAACTAATTGGCTTAACTTTACGTAAAAAAGAACAGGCATTAAAAACTTTTAAAGGACATCATCATCATTATCAACAGCCTTTAGTAGTCCACTGCTGGACATAGGCCTCTCCTTAGCAAGGAGGTTTTGGCCTACAATGCCACGCTGGCCAGACGGCTTGGTATAGGGTTTGTTTCAAGTTTTCCTTCTATCTGCAGTGCTGTTGTCCTGCGTAGTTTGCTTAATTAGTCGCCTCTTACGACACCCACGGGATGAATAGCGGTGGTGACACTCTGTATTCTTAATCCGTCACCACACCACACCTAAGACAGTCCACTCTCAAATCATCTTCACATTTACAGCCTTTAATAGTCCACTGCTGGACATAGGCCTCTCCTTAGAAAGGAGGTTTTGGCCTACTATACCACGCTGGCCAGATGGGTTGGTCAAATAACAAAGAATAATATTCACACATATCACACACGGCCGTCTGATCCCAAACTAGGCAGAGCCTGTACTATGGTAACCTGACTACTGATAAATATACTTATGTAATTTTAAATATATACAGTTTATAAACAAATTACAACACAGGTGGGAATTGAACCCACCACCTCTGGCTTAGCAGTTAGGGTTACTAACGACTGGACCAACAGGCACGTCATAGAATCTTTAGACTTCTTTATAAATGGCTAGTAGTGGTGGTGACGGATTAAGAATACAGAGTGTCACCACCCCTATTCATCCCGTGGGTGTCGTAAGAGCCGACTAAGGGAGCGAAATACGCAGGACACCAGCACTGCAGACAGAAGGAAAACTTGACACAAACCCTATACCAACCTGTCTGGCCAGCATGGTATAGTAGGCCAAAACCTCCTTTCTAAGGAGAGGCATATGTCCAGCATTGGACTGTTAAAGGCTGTTGATTGATGAGATAGAAATGTATGTATATATTTACTTTTTGTCCTTGTTAGCTTTGGCGAGGAACTCCCTGGTGAGCAGCTTGATGTGTGTGATGTTGCGACCGACCTGGTTGATATGGTTGTTCATCTCGGTCTGCTCGTAGTCGAACTTGTAAACGCTGTCGGGCCCTACGTGTTTCTTACCGATTATACCTACCAACAGTAATAGATACTTTGGTTATACTTAAAATAATAACAGTAATATGGTTTGAGTTTTTTTGGACTAATCCTTCACCTACTACTGTAACTCCTATACACCAGGATAAACAGCATTGAGCCACAAACACACCGAGTATTGACACTCGGAAAGTCTCAGGAAACGTTAAGCTGTCTCTGAACCCACAACGAGTTTATCAGACGTAAACTTGAAAAGTTGGAAATTTAATAAATCCACTTTCCTCTTTTGCAAAGCGGGTGACGAAATAAAGCAAATAGGCATACACCCTATTAAAGAAACAAACAAATTGATTTACATCACCTAAACGAAAAAAGTCGGGATAGTTATATACGAAGACATACAAAACTAATCATACCCGTCATAATTCCATTTTGCCGCAACACGTTCGGCAAACTGGTGATGTTATCGAACGAGTTGAAGTGATGAACGCCCTGGTGCAGTCCGTACATTCCATTCTGATGACTCGGGGTGCCCGTCAATAGGGCCGCACGGCTATATTATAAAACATTAAAGATTTCAAATTGATCTTGCTAAAAATATTTTTAAATTGCTTATAAGGGAACCACCGAGAGGAAACTCTTCCTAAGGAGAGTAAAAAGCTATACAGATAGAAAAAGAACAAAAATATTACTTTCATAGGTGCCAAAATTGTATGAGATTTTAATTAACTTTACAATCATTATAATATTTTTTTCAGCACGACATGGGGAGTCCGTTTCTACATAGTAAGGCAGTGATGGAGTAGAGCTGTGCTAATTCTACTCCACAGTGGTCCTAGTATTCTCTACTTGCTACCTTTAAATAGGGGCGTCGCCGCGCGTATTTATATCAGTAGGTACAGGTGCTTTTCAATCACATTTTATTACCTCGGTGAACAGCTGCTGACCGAAGTGAAAGCATTATTGAAGAGTAAACTGCGCCGGGCAAGGGCATCTATGTTAGGGGTCTGGCATATTTTGTTCAAATACGAGCCCAGCTCGAAACCGCCATCGTCCGCTAGAAAAATAACACAACGTATTCATAAAACTTAGTCAGAAAAACTTAGTAGGTACTTATGTTAAAGCGGCGTGAAATTATGATAATTAAGTTGCTACTTATTATTTTTATTCTCACAATGTATAAATTAACTACAGTAAACTGCTCAGAAAAAAGACGGTTATAAAATTGTAATTAGGTATCCGGAACGACATCATAATAAGTGTTAACAATCATCATCATCACATCAACAGCCTTTAACAGTCCGCTGCTGGACACAGGCCTCTACTTAGAAAGGAGAATTGAGCCTGCTATACCACGCTGGCCAGACGGGTTGGTATAGGGTTTGTGTGGGGTGCTGGCTAGAAAACCTCCCCGTGGTGCACCCTGGAAACGCTGGCGATGGTACTGTTTCCTCCTTGTCCTCTTGGAGGAGAGGATTATCGCCAGCGGCCAATATTCTAGCAGAAGAGGTAGCCGTTCATCGGCTCTCGGGCAAGGCCTGGTCCAGCAGGGTGGGCGTGTCTGCCGGTTGCCCTGCTGGCTCTTCGCTCTTCGGAGCATGGAGGAGGAAACCTCGGTAAAAAACCTGATGGCGGGGCCCTGTAGGGGCCACAGTTTTCTCCGCTGATAGCGGTGGAGAAAGGAGGACGGGCTCGGCGTGTACTCACACTACCACCGAGCAGGCAGGGGGACGTAGTCTCCCTGTCAACCGTCGGCATATCGTAATCCCGAGAAGAGCGCTGTGGTTAAGTCTCGCGGCTCTGATCGGGGACGAGGGTCTTGGCTTAACCGCCCGGACCGCGAGGAAGATAACCTCTCTAAAAAATTCCCCGAATCCCGTGTTCTGGTGCGTGGCCAGGGGATGCATGGCTGATGGGAAGTTCAGTCGCGAGCGCACTCCAAGCCGAGGTACCTGCGGACCCCTCGGTTGGGTTAAAAACTTCCGCTTGCCCGGGTAATGGGGGATCTCTGCCCGGGTGGACCTTTAGTTCTCCCCCACTCGTGGGATTTATTATGGATAATGATAACCAAAATCTAAGAACACCGATCGGAAAACAAAACAAAACAAAAAAGGCAAGTCAAACGGACACGGCAACGAGGAAGGAGAAGAGAACCAGTGGAGCGGATGGGTCGTCCACTGAGGGTGAGATGGTGTCAGGAACGCCTATCCCGATGGGGCTCCCAGAGGTCAGTCTGACGCTGGTCTCTGGGAGCCGAAGAGCATCGGATCGGCTGCGTTCCGGATCCGCCGCTTCATCGGATGGCGCGGAGGCCATGGAAGCGGAGCGGAGCGACAGCCGGAAACGCGGACGCTCAGGGGACGTGGAAACCGAAACGCGACACGAAATGATGCCACCAAAGGTGGCAAGCAGCCGCCGAGGGAGGGCGCGCAAACCGGCCTCGGTCGCGATCCCGTCAGGCTCCGCGTTCTCCAACGCGGAGTCGTACAGGAACGTACGGGTGGACGGCGAGGCCGTAGCGGAGGAGGAGATCGCGGATCTCCTGCTCAAGGTTCGGGAGCCGGTGGGGGGAAATGCCCCCCAGGCTCCCGTGTCCGTGCAGGAGAGGGCGAAAGCGGCGGTGGCCGTCATCGACAAGGTGGCCACCAAATCCGTGAACCTTAAGGGCTCGTTTGTGAGGGCCCTTAAGGACTCCTCCTCCGCTTTGTCGGAGGTCGTGGAGGGCCTAGCGGGCGACGTCTCTCGCCTGCAGGTGGCCAACGAGAAGCTGACGGAGCGGGTGAACGAGCTGAGCGCTCAGTTCGCCCGCTTCCAGGCGAACCTCCCCGAGCGGGAAGCCCCGTCCGCGTCCCAGCCTGCCCCTACCACCAACTCAGGGGCATTTGACTCCCAACTGCGAGAAATCCTCATCGCAGTTGGGAATATGCTGGACGGACGCCTGGCTGGCCTGGAGGCGAGACTGCCCCCTGCGCCGATTATGCGCCCCCCGCTCGCGTCGGCACAGCGGCCTAAGGCCGCCGCTCCGACCGCGCTCCCCGTAGTGGGAGGCCGCGTCTCCTACGCGGCGGCGGCGTCTGCCCCGACTCCATCGGCTCCCCAAAAGCCGAGGAGGGGGGCCAAGGCACCGGCCCAGGCGCCGGCCAAGGCACCGGCTAAGGCGCCGGCCAAGGCACATCCCCAGGCGCCGGCCAAGACGGGGCCTAAAACGGCGCCGAGGAGCGGAGTGGCATTCCCTCCGCTCCCCACTCCGACACACCTGCCGGGCCCCTCCGCACCTGCCCCCTCCAACGAGGGTTGGCAGGAGGCGAGGGGCTCCAAGAAGTCCCGAAGGCGGGCCAAAAGGGCTGCCAAAAAAGCAGCCCAAGCCACGCCTTCGCCACCGGTGGCAACGGCCTCCACAAAGAGGCCGCGGAAGCTGCAGCCGCCCAAAACCGCGGCTGTAGTTGTGACCGTGTCCCCGGAGGCGGCTGACGGCGGGCTGTCCTACGCGGCCGTTTTTAAAAAGGCCCGGGACAGCCTCGCCAACGACTTTGGGACGGTGGGGGTCAGGATGCGCCTCGCCCAGACGGGAGCTCGAGTCCTCGAGTTCCCTGGGGCTGAAGGCGCTAAGACGGCGGACACATTTGCCGAGAAGCTGCGGGGACTCTTTACAGCCACGGATGGTGTAAAGATCGCCAGGCCTACTAAGTGCGCAGAGCTGCGCATCTCGGGCCTGGACGACTCTGTGACGGCCGAAGATGTCCGCGCTGTAATCCGGGAGAAGACGGGGTGCAGCGCGGACAACGTCAGGGTCGGCACCATCCGCCCCGGTCCAGGAGGGCTTGGCGCCGTGTGGGTCAGCTGTCCCGTAGCGTCGGCCAAAGTATTGGCCGACGCCGGCAGGCTGCTCATCGGTTTCGTGAGCGCCAGGATCACAGTCCTGGCGGCGAGACCGATGAGGTGCTACAAATGCCTAGCATCGGGACACACGCGCGTCAAGTGCGACAGCTGTTTCGACTGCGGCGGACTGTGCTTCCGCTGCGGTCAACCGTGGCATAAGGCGGCAGAATGCTCTGCCGCCCCTCACTGCCCAGCGTGTGCGGCGGGCAATAAGCCCGCCAATCACCAGATGGGGCAGAGAGGCTGCAAGCCTCCCCGCAGTTCTCGGCAGACGTCAGGGGCTAGCCAGTCGACCCAGGCTGCCTCTGATATAGTACGTGCGTCGTCGTCGTCGCCCATGGAGGAGGTTGTAGAGACGATCCAGTAATGGATCAAGTCTCCAACCTCCTGGTCCAGACGAACCTGAACCACTGTGCCGCGGCGCAGGATCTCTTCCTGCAAACCATGGCACAGTGGTCGATAGGTGTTGCCGTAGTCGCGGAGCCCTATTCTGTCCCTCCCCGTCCAAACTGGATGGGTGACTGGGACGGCTCCGTGGCAGTCGTCGGTTCCACGACGGCTCATTCCCCGCCCTTGTCGCTAAGAGACAAGGGCACTGGATATGTTGCCGTCGAGTGGGGGGGGATCACCATATATGGTGTCTATTTCTCCCCCAACCGGAGTTTGAACGACTTCGAGGTTTTCCTAACCAGCTTGGAGACCTCGATACGGCGACTAGCGTCTGGGCACGTCCTTGTGCTGGGGGACTTCAACGCAAAGTCCATTGCGTGGGGTTCCCCCAGGACGGACGCCAGGGGCGAGGCCGTAGAGGAGTGGGCGGCCTCGGTGGGCCTCTGTCTTCTAAACAGAGGCTCCACCAACACGTGCATGCGACAGCAGGGGGGGTCGATAGTGGACCTCTCGTTCGCTACCCCTGCCCTCGCCGCACGAGTAAGGAACTGGCGTGTCCTGGAAGAGGTTGAGACGCTCTCGGATCACCTGTATATCCGATTTGAGCTCTCCCGGACCCAGGACTCCAGTAGGGGTCACGTGGCGCGGCGTTTATCCCGCTTTCCGCGGTGGGCTGTTGCCAGGCTGAACCGGGACCTACTAGAGGAGGCAGCCATAATTCACTCGTGGCTGTCTCCTCAGGCTCCGACTGAGGAGGTCGACGTGGGGGCTGGCCGCTTTCGCGATGCGATTACGCATGTATGCGATGCGGCCATGCCCCGCGTTCGAGGTCGTCGGCCTCCAAGGAAGGAGGTCTACTGGTGGTCCCAGGAGCTGGCGGACCTCCGTGCGGCCTGTACACGTGCCCGGAGGTCCTACACGCGCAGTCGGCGGCGTCACCGTGGAGACGGTGAGGAGGACCGGCTTCATGAGGAGTACCGACGGGCGCGGAAAACTCTGAAGCTGGCCATTAGCCGCGCCAAAGAAGAAAAAAGACAGGAGATGCTGGAGGGTCTTAATCGTGACCCCTGGGGTCGCCCTTACCGCGCGGTGCGACAAAAGCTCCGCGCGTCGGGCCCCCCCCTTACGGAGACTCTCCAGAACAGCTTCCAGCGAGAAGTGGTTGAGGGCCTTTTCCCACAACGGGCGGAACACACTCCCCCGTCGATGGCCTCCCTGGCCGGATACGACGGGGAGCACGGGGAGGATAATGTTCCGCCCGTCCGGGATTCGGAGGTAGGGGCGGCTGTTCTACGGATCCGTTCCAAGAACACCGCCCCTGGGCCAGACGGGGTATCGGCCCGAGTGCTGGCCCTGGCCCTCAACCACATGGCAGACCGCCTCGGGGAGGTGTTCGACGCTAGCTTGGCGTCGGGACGCTTCCCTGAGTGCTGGAAAAGCGGGAAGCTGGTCCTATTGAGGAAGCCGGGACGGCCAGCCGATTCGGTCGCGGCCTATAGGCCCATCGTGCTGCTGGACGAGGCGGGCAAATTGTTTGAGAGGGTTCTTTCTGCCCGCATCGTCCGGCACCTCTGCGAGGTGGGCCCCGATCTGTCGGACGCCCAATTTGGTTTTCGGGCGGGGCGTTCGACGGTCGACGCCGTGTTGCGCCTGAGGGCCGTGACCGAAGAGGCCGTGAGCTGTGGCGGCGTGCTGTTGGCGGTGTCATTGGACATCGCCAACGCATTCAATAGTCTGCCATTCAGCTGCATCAGGGAAGCACTCCACTATCATGGGGTGCCAAAGTACCTGAGGCGGCTGGTGGCAGACTATTTAGAGGAGCGTACCGTCGTGTACGAGGACCGAGAAGGTTATTTGAGGTGTCGGCCCATGTCGTGCGGTGTTCCACAGGGGTCTGTTCTTGGACCCCTCTTGTGGAACATAGGGTACGACTGGGCCCTTCGCGCCGATTTCCCCCCCGGGCTGGGTGTAATCTGTTACGCAGACGATACCCTGGTGACAGCCCGGGGGGCAAACTTCCAAGAGGCGGCGCGCCTGGCCACAGGGGGAGTCTCCCTGGTGGTCGGGCGCATTGAGGCGCTGGGCTTACGGGTGGCCCTAGATAAGACGGAGGCCCTGTTATTTCATGGGCCCCGTCGTGGTCCACCCCCTGGCGCCTCCATCGTGGTCAACTCGGTCCTCGTACCGGTTCGGGCCCAGATGAAATATCTGGGCCTGATCCTCGACGGGAGGTGGCTCTTCGACGAGCACTTCCGACAGCTTGCTCCAAAGCTGGTCGGCGCTGCGTCTGCCCAATATGGGTGGACCCAGCGTCGCGACAAGACGGCTGTACACGGGGGTTGTCCGGTCAATGGCACTGTACGGTGCACCGGTGTGGGCGGCGGCTCTGACCGCCCAGAATAGGGTACGCCTCTGGCGCCCTCAGAGGGTAATGGCGGTCAGAGTCATACGCGGTTACCGCACCGTTTCGACGGAGGTGGCGTGCGCGTTGGCCGGAACTCCCCCGTGGGATTTGGAGGCGGAAGTGCTCGCCGAAGTTTATCGGCGAGTGGCTGACTACCGGGCGGAGAGCGGATTTCGCCCTCCGCCCGAGGATGTGCGCGAGTGGCGCGAAGCCGCTCGCCGAGCCACGATGGCTCGTTGGTCGTTCCGGCTGGAGACTCCACGCGCTGGCTTCGCCGCCGTGGAGGCTCTCCAGCCGGTCATCGCCGAGTGGGCAGGGCGGCAGCACGGGACCCTTTCCTTCCGGCTGACGCAGGTGCTTTCCGGGCACGGTTGCTTCGGGAAGTACCTGCACACGGTCGCTAGGAGGGAACTGAGTCCCGCCTGCCACCACTGCGACTGCAGTGAGGACTCGGCCCAGCACACGCTGGCGGTCTGCCCCGCATGGGCGGCGCAGCGCCGGGCCCTCACTGCAGTCATCGGAGTGGATCTCTCGCTACCGGCCGTAGTACGCTCCATGGCCGGTAGCGACAGTTGTTTTACCGCGGTCGCAACCTTCTGCGAGGTAGTAATCTCGCGGAAGGAGGCGGCGGAGAGGGCCCGGGAGGACGACCTCCACTCGGACCCGATCCGCCGCCGGCGAACCGGGCGGCGGAGGCCCGCCTACCACAGCCTCATGCCGCCCTGAGTGTGGCCGCGGGTGGACGGGGTGGGTTTCCCCTCCACCCGCATCAGTTTGGCCAGCCGCGAGGGGGCGGCGTCCGCGTGTGCCGGACGTCGCCTAAAGAGAGGAAAATATATTGAGACGGAGCCCGCACCAGGAGCGGGCTGGCGCTAGGAGGGGTCCGGATGTCTTAACAACAGCTGTTCCCGGATCCCTCCTGTTACAGGCGCAGAGTGGCACACCGTGTGGTTTTAGTCGGTCCGAGTCCGAGGGGTGACGGTCCGAGGGGATTTCCACACGTTAAAAAAAAAAAAAAAAAAAAGGGTTTGTGTCAAGTTTTCCTTCACTTCGCAGTGCTGTTGTCCTGCGTAGTTTGCTCCCTTAGTCGGTTTTTATGATGATAACAAACAATACACAATGCAAATTAAATTATAGTAACATTAGTTTACGACGTTCCATAAAGCCTATATATTAATCTTTTACTTTTTACTAAAATTGTACAATATTCTTTATTAGGACCGAGTGCTGTTACTACTTACATCTTTAATATAAAAAATGTGTTAAAGGAGAGGGATCAAATCGACAGTACCTTATGCGTGTGATTTGAACCCTCAACCAGTCAATCGCAACTCCAAAATTCTGGTATTTTTTAGGTAGTTACAATAAAACTTTCATAAAGTTTTGTCTTTATTGTTGTTTATCATGAGTTTATACCATCACGAGTTTATAGCGTATATACCTACTATATGTATTAAAAATAATAGGTACAAGTAGACCCAACACTGCTAACTTTACAAAATTTAACTTTTAATAGGTACTTAGGTACTTATTATAATCATAATCGAAGTTAGAAAAATTGAGCTATATTTTTTTTTTACCTTTTTATTACTAATTATTTTAAATATACTTTATATTATATTATTTTATAATACATTCTATAACTAATAAAAAAAAAACAAAATTGTACGATAAAAATGTTTATAAATTTATAAATTGAAAAGAAAGTGATGCTACAAAACGCGAAACTGTCAAAAAATGTAGCATCTGTAACAATATTAACTTTACAACAGAGGGAAAAAATGAAAGAAAAGAGTTTTTACAATGCATAGTCTTACCTAATAATATCAAAACATTTCGCACTTTATCAGATAAGACGGTCTCAGATACAAATAGGCACAATATTAGTACGTAACCACAGCCGGGTGGTCTTGCCATGTTGTCTTGCCGATAACAAACTGAAGTACCTAGCAAAGCGACTTGATTTGACGTGTCGCTCTGTCGGAGTGAAGTGTTGGCACTGTGCGGCTACTGCCGGTGTCCCATTTATCGACCGGTTGCGCTTTGGCTCCAAAATTCAAATTATTTTCTGTGCTCAATCCAATATCACCAATCGTTAAGACAATGGCCTCTCGGAAGACTATTTTATACCTTTTCGACGTTGATGGTACCCTGACGAAGCCGCGCCAGGTGATTACAGAGGAGTTGAAAAAGTTCTTACTAGAAAAAGTGCAACGCAAGGTCAGCGTCGGCCTCGTCAGTGGATCAGACTATGCAAAAATTACAGAACAAATGGGCGGAGATGATGTCGCCGAGAAGTTTGATTATGTGTTCTGTGAAAACGGTGTGATGCACTTTAGAGAGGGCAAATTGATAAGTTCAGAAAGTATCCTCAGTCTTCTAGGAGAACAGTTGACACAGCGCATTATCAATTTTAGTTTGGGTTATATGTCAAAGATTGAATTACCTGCGAAAAGAGGTAACTTTGTTGAGTTTAGATCAAGTATGATCAATATATGTCCTGTGGGACGATCTTGCAGTCAGGATGTGCGAGATGCGTTCGTTAAATACGACACAGAGCATAAAATTCGCCAAAAATTCGTTGATGCTCTTAAAAAAGAATTTGCAGGCAAGGGAGTAGTATTTGCACTTGGAGGGCAAATTAGTGTAGATGTTTTTCCTGAAGGGTGGGACAAAAGATACTGCCTCAAGCATATAGAAGACCAGAAGTTTGAAGAGATTCACTTTTTTGGAGACAAAACCACACCAGGCGGTAATGACTATGAGATATACAATGACTCCCGGACAGTTGGCCATGCAGTCACATCACCTGATGACACCAAAGAACAGGTCAAAAAGTGCCTTAATATTGAATAACTCTTGTAAATATGCTATTATTGTAAATAATAATTTTATACAATGATTTTTGTATTACTTCATTGAAAACAACCCTACTGAACACTCATAAATCATAATTATTAGCTTGGCTTACTAGAGGAGAAAAGTTAATGTAAGCACAACACTAACTGAAGTGTGAACAAAGTTTACTTTGTACAAAGTATGTGTATTGTGTGTACAAAATGTGTTCTTAAAATCAACTAATTATTTTTATTTTTAGAATTCATAGGCACTACACTGTAAAAATTTGCATCCAATTTAAAAAAAAAATTGTTCAGTGGTTTAGATTTGAGTCTTTTTATTTTTATTTACATCACAATGTAACACCATGAGTAGTCTGGCGATTTTATCTATTTTCTTCATAATAGGTATTAATTTAAGTCCAGACCAATGAGATCAATAATGTGGCAATAAAATCTGCAAATTTATAGGGTAAGGGATGACTATTAGCTTTTATTTCTTTTGCGTATTTTGTTAAAATATAAACAAAGTCAAATACAGATAGTAATTTAATAAATAATAATATAATTTAAAAAAATATACTGCGATGATTCATTAAAAACATTAAAAAATATATTGTTGGATATGTTGCATTAAATGCAGGTTCATAAGATACAAAAAAATTGAGCTGACAATCTTCCATGTCCAAGGTTATTCTTATTTCCCTTCATAGACTGGTTTTCTCTTCTCTAAGAAAGAGATCATGCCTTCCTGTCTATCTTTAGTAGGTATATTAATCTCATAGCACTTCTGCTCCACTTCATAGCCGTCCTTGATGCTCAACTGGATACCTTCATTGATAGCTTGTTTAGCACAGCGTAGAGCTATCGGAGCATTGATATTAATTTCACGTGCAATTTCCATGGCCTTTTCTAAAGCGGCATTGTTGTTGCTGTTCTGTGGTACGACATGGTTTACCAGATCTGGAAATATAATAAAGGTACAACTTCGTATTTAGGTTAATGAGCTATGAAATATTACCTAATGTAATCATCAACAGCCTTTAATAGTCCACTGCTGGACATAGGCCTCATGATGTTATGCCTTGGTATAATTGGCTTATGCAATTTCAATAGGGATGGAAGGAGTCTCCATTATTGTCAAAGATGAAGGCACGAAATGAAAAAGGCATGAAATTTTAAAATAAAGCTAATAGTAGGAAGCATTTGAGTATGATTACAGCCTACCATAAAGATTTATTACGATATTAGACTCGAGTCAAATCATTTCCTCATTATTACACATCAATGGCACATTACAAGTATAGTTTCTTAGAATCTTATGTTATACTTAAGTTCTTGGGGACTTTTAAACAATTTATTTTAACCATAAGAATCCATCAACTTGGTAACTAGGTGGTAATTAGTGCCTAAATACTGGCAACACTTGCTGTGTCACATGCAACTTTAAGCATAAATCTCTAGGGACCACCAGAAATTACAATTCTTTAAATGGAATAGGCCCTTGTCACAATAAAAAAGCATACTTTAGAATATTTTGAAATAAATAGAAGTATATTATTATAGTCATGTTTTATGTGGCTTATAATTGATTTTAATTATTACCATTTGCAATACAAAAATTTTTCAACCACATAGAACATTACCTACAAGCCTCTCCTTAAGGGCTGGAATTACATTAGTAGGGTAGTATTTAGACTGTTTCTTTTACAAAAAATCATCACTACACTACTTATGTTGTATAATCACACATCTACCATTGAGTGGGGGCTATAACATGGTCCATGTGACGTAACTAATATTCATGGCATCTCATTTTAGATGCTGAACGTTTTCTTAAACAATCAAAGGACTGAAGATGTGTTTCATAAAACAATAAAGTTAGTTAGTTAATATACTCTTCTGTGTGTCTATACTAACCTAACTCTTTTGCTTCCTTCCCACTAATAATTCTGGAAGTGAAAATCAATTCCTTGGCAATATTGAGATTAACAGCTCTGGGCAGTCTCTGAGTACCACCAGCACCGGGAATGAGCCCTCTGCTAGTCTCCACTAAGCCTAGCCTAGCGGTTTCCGATGCTATCCTGATGTCACAAGCCAGGGCGAGTTCTAGGCCCCCACCAACTGCTACTCCCTCAAGGGCTGCTATAGTTGGCATAGGCAACTCTTCCATTTCAGTTAGAGTAGTTCTCAGTATCCTTACAAACTTGCTCACTTCGTCATTTGTCATTTTAAAGCGCTCCTTTAAGTTTGCACCTGTAGGAATTTATACTTACTACTTTAATAATAATTATAAAAAACCAAAGGAGATCAAATCAGTAAATGCAAATTTAAAAAAAACATCAACATTAGGTACATACTAAATCTTTTTGTAGATATTTAAATTACTTATATTCTTTAAAAGTGACCTTGAATGTGCATCCGTGCGTACTTTAAGTAATAATCATAAAAGACAAGAAATTATACATGTTTTAAAACATGTTAAAAAGATTTAAAAAACAAGGGAACTAAAATTACCAGCACAAAATATCTTTGGTATCATACTGTGAAGTATTACAACAGAAATCTTTCTATCTTCTCTAATTATTTGGTTTACTTCTCTCATTGCCTCGATCATGCTGAAACTTAGGGAATTGCGATCCTTGTTGCTGTTGAGTCCATACAGCACGATACCCTTATCGGGCCCCGTCAGCTTTTGGAAAACTACAGGCCCCGCATTATCTGTTTGCTGGTCAGCTTGTGTGGCTAATAACCGAGCTGAACGCGGAATCAATAATAAATTTAATTTAGTGAGTCTTGGGATTAACATTTTTACTTAAAATAGTAGGAAGCTTCTTTCGGGGTAACTGTTATCTTCCGAAAGATTACTCTTGTCTGACAGTTAATAATTAACCACGTATTATCTACCAATACCAAAAATGAACTTCGAAGTTATCTTATCATATTCATAAGAGATCCAACACATCTTCGAATTTGTCAATATTTGCAGTTTGCAGACGTTTGACATATACAAAAGTGTAGCCAGGTGCGATTAGTCCGATATCGCCTTTCGCCAATTAGGTAGAAAATATTTCTTCGTTAAAACTATTTATTAATTTTTATAACAAACAATTATATAAATTAATTCTGACCAGACGTATCCATCGACGGCAACACTATGTCACTTTTTTAACAAATCCGTTTACACTTATGTGTTGTGACTGACAACTTCATTTGGTTTTAAATACACAGTCACAAGAAGCACAGTTAAGCTCACCCTGAGTATTCACCCTGAGTACCCTGAGTATCCTGAGCCTACGGTCGTGGATTCGAGTCCCATCCAGGAAATATTCTGTGATACTGATTCTGTGTATAGGTATGGTTTATCTATAAATGAAATGTTTGTATTCTGAAATAAAAAAACGTGTGAGTCTCGGGACGCCTGACAGAAGTGATAACTTAAACTAATCTAAATTTAACTATTTAATATTTAAATTGTTTAACTTGAGAAAAGCTCAGGTTATTACTGATATGTAAAGCGTCTGTCTGAAATACTGCTAGTGCTGTGGCTTAGAGTGAGAGAGGAGCATCCTGCCTACCGCTGCCGTATGCGTGAGAGAAAGGGAAGCCAGTCAGACTGAGCGGTTTACCCGCCCATAAGAAGTTTTCACTTTAATAAATAAAAGTATATTAATTTGGAAATATATTATCTGTCAGGTTGAAGGCAATATATAGGCGCTTATTACGCCTTGTCTACCCCTTCGTTGATAAAAGACATGAGTATAATAATATTTTACTGAATTTGTGTGTACACAGTGTATATTATGAACTATATTTTTAGCCTCATTTATGTAATATAAATGGCAACATTCGAAACAAAAATATCTAGCAAAACATAACCTTAACTTTTGTACATATGATATGTCACACGAACATTTAAACAATAATTTTTTATTAAATGAATGTTATAAGGTTAAAACAAACATATTTAAAAAATTGCGCATATATTGATCATTTTTTTTAACATTGCGTATGAATTAGTCACAGACTATACTGACTGTAACGTTTGAAATAGTGAATAACAAATCATTAAAACCTCACTTCTACGGCGTATTTTAAAATATAAATAATGACAGCTGAGCCTTACACCGTTCAACTAGACGCTGAAACCAAAGCCACATTAAAAATGTATTTGTTTAGGGACGTTCAAAATGTAAATTCAGTACGGAAAAACGTTGTCAACGGAACCTGGAGTTGTGCTGTTATTAAGCCTAGTTTAATACTGGACCCTTTCCAAGTTGCCGTAGCAGCTAACAAGGCTGCAGTAGCTGAGAAATTGAATACTATGGTGACAAGGACGGTTTTTGCAGAACTTTTGTACAATTTATCAATCACAAAGAATATAACACAGAGTTTAAGCATGTTTGGTATTGACAAAAATAAAAACTTACTAGTGTGCTTTATAGCTACAGAGGAGAAGGATCCCAGCAGTGAGATAGTGCCACAAATACGAGGTAAACTTTGTCTCATGAGTGAACTGAAAGACTTAACTAATATGGAGAATTTGAAAAGTGCCTACCAACTAGAGGGTTTAGCAACTGATGATGATTTACTTAATGTAATTGTAAGCAGAATGGTTACCAAACAATTTATATCATATTAAATCTTAAAAAAAATTTGTGTTGTTTTTAGGGTTCCATACCTCAAAAGGTAAAAAAGGAACCCTTGTAAGATTACTCTCTTGTCCATCTGTTTGACCGTGTGTCAGCACCGATTTTCTCAGGAACGGGTGGACCTAGCACGTTGAAATTTATACCACTTACAGAGGTCTGTAGTCAATATTAGGTGTATAAAAATCAAGGTCCTGAGTCAACACGATAAAAGATATGTGCAATTTTTTTTAATAAAAATTTACGCAAAAACTTGTAAGTATCAAAACTGACAATTCTAGGTCAACCAGAAGTAACCTTTAGGTTTTGAGTCGAAAACCTATATGGTAGTTCCCATTGACCTAGAATCACGAAATTTGGCAATAAGCAAACCCTTACATACCTCCTCCTTCCACCGGATCCCATAATTTGATAAAACAATGTTTTTTTTTGTCGAAATGTTTCTATGTATTTATTGAGGAATAAAGACTTAGAAACATTGCCCTGTGATCTATTTCATAACACGGGACAGTCATTCTTTGATGCTTCGTTTTCCACTTGTGCAGTATCCCCTGAAGCCCAACGCCTACCACCATTGCGAGGGTCCACAGCACGGTCCAACAGTCCAACAATACTTTGAATAAAATGTTTTTGTTTCTTATATTTGAAATAAAGTTTTTATTTTGAAAAAAGAACCGCGAGAACTTGTTCAAGGTCCTTTGTATGAAGAACCTTTAAGCCGAATCCAGACATGATGAAATTATTGGGTACCTTGTCAAGGCTATGAATACCCTATTGAAACCTATACCCTATTCAGGGCCTGTTTAAGGATCAAAATAAACCTAAATAATAAATAAGAAAAAAATTCAGAATTCCATCATGTTTTATTTTAACAACAACAATTATTATTATTATGTAAAATGTACATTTAAATTACATAATACGTAAAAGCAAAAATAAATCACTTGATGTATCCAATGCAAGTTCCAATATACGCAACAACCAACATGGCGACATGCCCATTTGTTCGTCGTACTAACTGATGTAGCCGAGGCTCTCCCAGCCCCGTGTAAGTAACTATAGGTTTCTATGGCCACGCGTTTCATAAGTGAACTGTTACATATCCATACATTAACAGGTATTTGTTCATTTCTAATCAAAATTATCATAATCATTACAAACTATTATCATTACAATTAAATGCTCATTAAATCACTTAATGCTATAGCTACCGGTTTCCCTCATTTAATTGCTTTACAAATAATTAATTAATTAAAAAAAAAACGTTCAGAAACATTGACATAATTTGTTTCGTGCAATCTAAACTATACATGAACACAAAGTCTATAACTTATAACGTAATAAACAAAAACTTACATAATTTTACAAAATGGCAGCTAGTAATTATTGAGTCTTAGGAACTTTCTGTAAATTACAAGACAAAAATCATTTGGAACGAAAAAATAAACCATACAACTAAGTCGCGTCTCAGCAGTGAATACGCATAACAATATGTACAAGGACGACGTAGGCGATGTACAGTACGTGTGTATATGTTACAACTTATATATAATTTGTATGACAACATTTTGTGAGTAGCACCTCTTGAACACAGGGATGAGATGTGCTACCTCTGCCAGAGGCCGTCGATACCGCGGGTCACCGCACACCTCTAGCGACTGCGATGCTCTCTACTATTTAAATAAACTTCAGTTCATTATTGTATTCACCATAGTCCAAGTCACATTATTTGGTAACTTTTTACTATAATCGAGAGAGTTAGGTGCTAATCGAGCAAGTGACGCGTGTACGTGTGAGGTTCGATGCGCGGGCGCATGCGTACGCGACAACATATCTAGAAATGCCTAAATTAATAAATAAATGATATTGCATTAATGGTACACTATATACCTATTCTAATCTAAGAGCTTAGGCTGGGTGGCTCGACCTACTTGACTTGGTGTACTGCATGCCCAATATGGTCAGGTCCAATATGTGTATGGTGCTTACTGATACTGGTGACGTTGGTACTAACTACTTAAAGCGTTATATTTGCCTCCTAATACTATGTATATTGGTGTTAGCCAATTTGTGGCGAGCATGCGTCGCTCTTCACATCCCATTAAATTTATAACTATTTAATTTAGACTGGATAATGCTTTACCATATGTTTATATAAATAAATAATAGGTATGTTGACACATCACAAAATTTTTCATTGTAATAAATTCATTGGAGGGGTTAAAACAGTAATTATTATCACGTGACTGCAAACGTGAACCGGTTCCAACACGTCACTAACCTGTAAACAAGCTGACAGCTGTCAATTTCTTGAAAACGTTTTTTATTATTATCTGTGGGTAAATGTCAGTCAGTTAAATGGTTAGTGACGTATTCAAATGAAGTGTTTTAGGGGCCAGTTCGTTTATTTTTCCAATAGGGTCTTATGTGTTCGAAAAATTTGCCAACATTCATATTACAGAATATATATTACAGAGTGGGTGAGCGGTGCTAGGTCCTGGCTCGTATTGTGTGTCACAAGGGGTACCATTTTTAACAGTTCCGATATCAGACTACACTTACGGTTGGCCTCAACTAACACAATATCGACATATATTTTACGTTAATGCCTTTCGCTGCAACTAACGGTAATGTTTTCCAATACAAAATTACAAAAGTATAATTATAAATACACAACTCCAGTTATCGCTACGCATTTTTAATGCTAACAATTTACTTCAAACGAGAACTAACGACGATTTGTTCTAAAATAATTAGTCTAGATTTAGATTTGGCTAACTCCGCCCTCACTGGTGCCTTCCGCTTTCACTGGTATAGACGTGAGCGAGGAAATGTACACGCATATGTAGTGGAGAGGACAGTAGCATAATCTGAGAGATCTCGCTCGTGTTCCACCGGATGTACTTCCACGCCACGTTTGGCCAAGGGTCACGCCACGTGTGGCGCCACAGTCGCGACAATCTCACGCTTGTATTACATACCAATAAATTAATATTATAATATCGGTATAATGTAGCACCAAATCTTTTTACTAGGAGCGTCCGAGTTCACACACGACATAGTAAAATAAATTATTTTTTATTTAAAGTAATTTTTACCGCATTTTTTTTTTTTTAATTATTTTATTGTGGTGTGAGTATTTTCTCTGGTAACTTTTAGTAATCTGTCGTGTGAGCTCGAGCGCGTTAGATCTACATATATCTCGCGGGTAACACGCTAAGGTTCACCGAACCAACGCGCGCGACTCCTCGCCTAAGGCACCGACCACGTTGCCTCGGTGGACTACCTCGTATATACACTAAATAAGTATTCATTGACATATCGCTTAATTAAATAAAATAAAAATAAAAATATAATTTTAATTTAGTCGATCTGAGAGTCTCATCATAGTAAGTGGATCGCTCTGAGACTAGATAAAGCGTTTATGTATATATGTTGCATGATTCCGTTTATAGCAAGGACTACTGGCATGTCAGTGAATAGATACTTGTATATAGCTATGTACATTTCTATATATAGAGCGCAAGCGCAGGTTTGACCGCAGGCTGCGCCGGGGCCGTTCCGCTGTGACGTCACATCTGCAACACACGTTTAATTTAGTACGGTGGGTCCTTCGAGCCGAGGCCGGCGAGTGAGAGGTGAGCAGGTGGATACTTGCCCTACAGGAGGTGGCGGTGTTCACTGCGAGAAGGGCAGCGGCAGCGCGCGGCACAACGACGGTCACCGGCGCGCCTCGGACACGTACACCGACACCGACGAATCCTTCGAGCCCACGCCCATCGCACACCTGATAAAATTAACACTCTTGTTAGCGATACACTTACGAACCCGTTCCTATCGTCTTTAACGATTTACATATACGTAGAATTTAAATTATTTTATTCAAATCTGCTCATATCTTTTATGAGTCCTGATTTATGTTTCTTTTTTCTCTTTTACAAACAAGTTACCAACTTTTTATATTTATTACTAGCTGAGACCCGCGGTGTTACCCGCGTTTATTGTTATAACCGCGGGCAACGCCGCGGGACGAAGCTAGACTAAAAAAAGTATCCTAAGTTACTCCTTATGTCATCAGCTATCTGACAGTGAAAGTCCCGTCGAAATCGGTCCAGCCATTTCAGAGATTACCCGGCACAAACAGACAGACAGACAGATAAAAATTGTAAAAAAATACATTTTGCCATATGTACCGTGTAAACATACATATGCATTGAGTAAAAAGCGGTTATTTTAATATTACAAACAGACACTCCAATTTTATTTATTTGTATAGATGACCACCTTGTTTATTGGCAAATTCGTTATTCTACATTAAATAAGAAATTTGTGTTAAAGTTTATAATAATAGAGGATTTAAATGGACGACGAAGTAATCCTTTAACATTAGGGTTTAACTTCTCCTACTCAGGCCCGGAATTCTTAAAATCTAGTGTTACGGTTGATACAATCGTGACTGTAATTACCTGAGTGGATGAAAAGTGAGACAGGAGACGGGTCCGATGCGCGCGCCCATGAACCCTTCGTGGAACTTGATCGTATTGAGTAGTGTACCCTTCAGGTCGTAGATGCTGATGGACTGGTTCACCGACCCGCTGTGTTACACAAATATGAGCTAACGGTATGGTCGGTAATAGTAAATAGGACTGTTTGTTGCATGTTTTTTTAATCTTATTTTAATTAATTTCTTTTTTATAAGATATCGTTATTTGTTTATTATTATTTTTTGTTCACAATGTGAGTACCACAAAATGGTAAAGTTATGAAAGGAGAAGAGTTGTGTAGAATGAAATTGTATTGTATATTTAATGTGTTGATGGGAACATCGGATATGTATGTGTGTAGGGGGGAGTGGGGGGTTGTTGAGGGGTGTTGGTACGTACCACGCTATGAGGTTACAGAGCGGGTGCACGTCGATGGCGGCGAGCGGCGCGGGCGCACGCACCGTGTCCGACACTTGCGACATCTTGCGCGAGTCGTACATGCGCACCTCGCCGTTAATGCTGCGAACAACGCATCACTTGTTTTATGACATATCATTTACCACTCCTATATAACGGTACACTTCGCTCAATTTCTCTCTTTTTCAATAGTAAAGTAGTTAATTTCAACATATTTTCTGGACGGGACGGAGGGGTGTAACAGGGCGCCGCGTAAATATGTACTAATTCATTTTACCGAGGAGTATATATGGCGCCAGATCCAAGTTCTTACATATAATACCTTGATTTTTAAAATATAATAATAATATAAAACATCAGTAAACGGTTGTTCGCTCACCAGCCGGTGATCATGGTGTAGAGGTCGGGGCGGTGCACGGCGGCCAGTACGGGCGCGTGGTGGTCGTGCAGGCGGAACACGGTGCGGGGCGAGTCGCGCTCGTCCCAGGCGCGCACGGAGCCGTCGCTGAAGCCGCACACGAGCTGCTGCGCGACGCCCCCCCCCGACCCGTCGTGCCCGCCCCCGCGCCACAGGGACGTGGCCGCCGCTTCGCATTCTGTATACCACACGGAAAGATATAAGAATATATTTCTTATTAATGATATAGAAGGTAAACGATCAGAAGGGTGTCATAGACGCCTGATACGAGGGTCAATATAAGAGAGTATGTTTTCTTTTATTGTTTGAAATTTGGAAAGGAAACACGTTTTCTTTTTATAAACTAATTGTGGTATAAAAGAAGATGACCATTTTTAGTATGGACGTTGGTTTTTTTCTGAATAAAATACGTTATGTTTCAAATTATACTGATTTATAGCAATTAAAATTAGGAAATAGATGATAATTTTCACATTTAAAATAAAAATAAAGTTTAATTATATTTGTAGATACTTTTATTGGAGGTCGGTAATACTAATTATATATGTAACTGTTTTTTATATTGTGGAAATTCATCCATATGTCACGTGTGACGCATCAGACACAATGTCAAACTTGTCATTTTATTTTTTATTGGGCATCGGTATCGAGAGTTTTGTTTACATTCGGCCTAAAAGTTGTCAAAGTAAAAATTTTGAACTTTGTCAAAATGCAGCAATTAAAAATTTCATTCGATTAATTTTATTTTAGTTTTAAGTAGCCAGTTTAAAAAAAAATATAGATTTATCGCTACTGGAATTTTTCAAGAACAAAAATTCATAGTGGACAAGCGGTGGGGATGTAAGTTTGGTAATGCTCACCCGTGTCGATGTCGGCGAGCAGCAGCTCGGTGTGCGCGTCCCAGAGGCGCACGAGCGGCGCGCGGCCGGCCAGCGCCAGCGTGCGGCGCCGCGCGCACCAGCGCACCAGCGTCGGCGGCGGCTGCGGGCTGTAGCCGCCACCAGCGCCCCCCGCGCCGCCCCCGCCCGCCGGGTGAGCTGCGGGCATCACACGACCTCACGTCTACGCTAATATTCTCAACCCGTAGCTAATCAATACTACAACTGATTATTATCTAAATTACAAAGCGATATAATAATAAATACTTAGATATCCACACGTTACCATCTATTACTCTTTACGTGCTGAGCTATTTTTTTGCGTGTAAAGTATTTTTTTTTCTGTGCGATGATACCACCGGTGGCTATATCGAACTCGAACCGACTATAAACCACCAGTAGCCAGACGACCAGGTGTACCCTAAAAAGGAAATCCCTGATACCCCGACATACCTCGGGCCATCTACGGCGGGTAGATGACCCCCCTCCTGTGTAGAAACGCCCCATGTTCCCTTGGTGCCCCAGGTGCCCTTGGTACCTTTCGTTATCCTAATGGAATTAAAATTACGAAAAACTAAAAGAGCGTACGCAGAGCTAGAATTAACTGTCAAATGATAAGTAACACGTCAGACGTTACACATACCCGAGTACTATGCTCACTAGTATTTTAAATTTGTACTTTCACAACCAATTATTATCTGCTTACCCCCTTCCTCCTTCCTTCCTTTCGGTATGTATTATTCTTCCGTTCTATTCTATCATTCGTCATTACATCATTTACTCCCTCCCTAACCTTTTCCTCTCGCACAGTCCATCCACCTTTTCTTTGATCATCATCTCTTGTACCTTTCCTCGCCACATTTTTCTGATTCCCCCGCATGACATATCCATACCAAGATAACCCATTTTCTTAACTTTTCATTCAGTGGCGCTACTTTCAGACCGCCTAATATATACTCATTCCTGACTTTGCCCATTCAAGTCACAACACACTTTACACTTTTACAATCAACATACACAAGAAATTGGTACGATGTCAGTTATCAAATAGACTCAATAAACAAATCTATACAAATAAATAAAATTATATTATTGTGTAATATCAAAATTAAAGATTTTTTCATGCTCACACGATACCTATGACTAAAAACCAGTTTTTTTTTGTCTGACTGTTTGTTCCGGGTAATCTTGTGAACGGCTGGACTGATTTCGACTATATTTTACTACCAGATCGCTGTCTACATAAGGAATAACTTAGGCTATTTTTCCTCTCAGAAAAAAACTAGTCCAGGCATTGAACCCACTAAGGCAGCGCTCTTCAAATTCGTCGTGGGTACCAGCTAGTAGTTTATAAAATAAAAAATAAACTACAAACGTAATTTGAAATTCTTGTTACTTTAATAAACCATAAAAAATTAACTATATTTCTAATAGTTTCATACATATATAATAAATACCAAATACATGCACTACTGCGAATGATAGTTGATGGTTATCGAATGCTGATGCGATGAGTACACTACGAGAAGCAGACCAGGTTATATATTGGACATGGAACTCACGGTTGGCGTCTGAATGTTTGTTCTTAGCGGCGGCCTGCTTGTCCTCCGCAGACGAGAACTGGTCCGACACCAGCTGGGCCAGACCTGCACCGCCGCCACACACACACATACATACAATGGATGATACGACAATCGCAATTTAGACAAAACACCTGTCCCAGTATCGTTTTAAGTCTATAAAATATTATTTAATTTAATACAAAACATTATCGATAATTGGCCCTATCGTAGGCCAGGACTACCCGTGACCACGGAAGGTACAATTCGGTTGAAACGTTTAATAAACAAAAACGTATCTAAAAATGTGAATTTTTAAGTTAAAAAATAATAAAACAAGCACATAAGTTTTACCATAGACAAAAAAATATTTGTTTGTTTGTAAATAGTAGAAATAAAATACTACAGTCAAATTACAATTGTCTATATATTAGGTGGAATGAGAATTTAAACTGTGTAAACACATGGGACCAATGATTTATGAGTTTTATGACAATGTATTCGGTTAAATGGTGATAAACAGCGGGACATGGACTCAGCTTTCTGTCGAGAGAGCGTTCATTTAGTGGTAATTGTTTTATAAAAATCTTGGAAATTCCTGTCTATTTGTGAATGATAAATTTTAAGAGATAACTCAGCAGCAACTGAGTCCACATTACTTATTTTTATTTATCTTGTAAAGGTATTCATCGTTTAGTTGTTAAGCCATTCATATGATAAGTTAAAACACCAAACACAACCAATGAAATGCGTTAATTTTACATGTACTGTGTACGTTTTTATGCTTGCCGTCTTTAATTTTAGTATGACATAGGGAAATATTTTAAATTATGTTTGCTTTTTTTTTAATTTACAGTCGGAATACAGATATGGACACATTTCTGTCATAACGTGTTATCGAAGCAATGGGGAAATTTTGAAATGTTACCTTAGAGTAACCGGAAAGCGAGGCCGTGGTGAAGGAAGGTTTAGAAATAGTGGGGCTAGTGTGTGGTCTGTAGGGGACGGTACTCACCGTACACGGGCCAGGGGCGGCGGTCGTAGCGGCCGTAGCGGTACTCGGGCGACAGAAGGCTAGAGTTAGAGCTAAGTAAGCGAGGGGTACTGACTGTAGACGGCCTGCGCGGGCGGCGGGCGGTAGTCGGCGTGCGGCCGCACGGGCAGCGCGCGCCAGGCGGCGAGCAGCGCGGGCTCGAGCGCGGCGCGCGCGGGGCGGTAGAGCGCGAGGTTGCCGGTGTGCGAGGCCACGGCCAGCAGCGCGTGCTCGTGCGCGTTGAGGTAGGCCAGCGCCGTGATGCGGCCCCAGGCGCGCCGCCACGACCCCACGCACAGCTTGGCCGCCGTGCCCCAGTCCCAGATGCTGTGGACGAGCGCGTTTATTGCATGCCTTGTGTGCTCATCCCTACTCATTTCTCGTTTTTTTCTATTAACGTTTTACATAAAAGGTTCTTTAAAATACATTATTTATGGATTTTTGCAAAAAATGTTACATTATTTGTTTTTTTTTTTTCCAGTATTAATGCCAAAGTTACACGTTTAATAACTCCAGATCGTTGTGCTCGTCTTTCTAGACTGAGCAAAGTAAAAAACGCTTGTATAACCTAATTTTATGCGTATCGCTAATGTTGTATTGAAAACAAAAGTGGACCTAAGGTTGCACCTTGGGGCACACCATATGTGACAAAATTAGAAGTGCTTTGATTTTCTTATATTTTAGGTAAATACCTTAAATTAACGATAAATCGTCAATTACTTAAATCTGATATAAATATTCTGTGTGCTTAGCCCAGAATACCCAAATTTTTCTATATTTGTAGTTAAATTTTTTTAAATGACAGTATCAAATGCTTTTTGTACGTCGATAAGTACTACCAAAACTTTTGTGTTTTTGCAATGCCTAAATACCATGTTTTTTAATTTGTCAGACCATATCAAATAAATTACTGTGTTATTTGTACTTTACCAATTTTTTTGGAACAGCTTTGCTTAATACGATGGACGTTAAGTTTTCTTCCAGCTTTGTAATTGGGATACTTTGGCAATCTTAAAATTATCTGGAAATACTCCTATCTTTGGGCAAACGTCGATAGGGTGTTTAAAACCTGATAGATCTATCTAGTGTTTAAGTTTTGATTTTGCTATTTATTCTATGCAGTCTGTCTACACACGCAAATAAACAAGATTTTTAAAGTTAATAGCCTTATAAAAGGTACAAGATAGTGTCAGGTAGACGGGAGTGTAGGCAGGAATAGAAAGCGATTACAAACCCGAAATTGTCCTTGGAGGCGACGGCGGCGTGTTGCTCGTAGGGGTGGAACATGACCACGGCCGGCGGCAGCGGGCAGCGCGAGTGGAAGGCCTGCGACTCCAGCCGCGACACGCGCCCCGCCCGCAGCCCTGCGCACACGCACACTATCGACTACACCGACACACCCCCGTTACAAATCCTCGCCCACGATGTTGTGTCATGTGTCATCATCATCATCAGCCTTTAACAGTCCACTGCTGGACATAGGCCTCTCTTTAGAAAGGAGGTACATGTGTAATGAATTACTAATTGTGTATATTTTAATAAATTCTTCGAACTTAAGGTATCATATAGCAAAACAAAGTGAATTTTAATTAAATAATAAAAATATGTGTAAGTGTAGTGTGACAGGGTACGAACCGGCGGCTTCTGCCCTGAGGCTGCGGTTGCGCGCGTAGCGCCACACCCGCTCGTGGTGCAGGCGGCTCTCGCAGTCGTCGCGCCACCAGTCGCCCCCCCCTCCGCCGCTGCTGGCCTCCGGGCCCTCGGCGCGAGCGAACATCGACGACGCCCACTCCACAAATGATGAGTTCACTATCGGTTTCTTTACCTGTTGACCTGAAAATAAACTTACTATATATGTGTCACATTACAAGACACTTATAATTGAAGAAAACTTAAACACAGCAGCCGTGACGTTTTACTGACTGACGGTTCACTGTTATCACAACCTTCTGTGAGAAAGACAAGCAACGAAACGGGTCTCAAAACTAAAGGTGGATTCAGACACCTGGCGATCGACATAATAAGTAGTTTTATTTCTTACTGTCATATGATTATTAAATAAAACACTTGACTTGACTGCACGGATGGTGTAGTGGTTTATTACTACGCTAAGTGTTGTGGGTCCGATCCCCACATGGGACTACACTTTGTGTGATCCACAAATTGTTGTTCTCAGTCTGGGTATTGTTTGTGTCCGTTTCATGTATGTTTGGAAAGTGCCCCGTGACACAGGATATACTTGACTATTAATAATTGGGAAAAAAAAACACTAACTAGAATTGGATGAGGTAGAATCTCGTTCCCGATCACGGAGTGCCACGGAATCTTCAGAAATCGTATGCGGTAGTCCCTTAGCTCGCCGATTACCTGCAAAAGAAATTACCGATTTTCGTACCAGAGAAGATATGTTACTTCAATATACCTACCCTACTACATTTTTTTTTAATTAATCTCAATAAAAACAATAACTTGTTTATTGGCTGTATCGCGAAACTAGATATTAGATTAGATTGGATAGCTATCTTCTTCTATTATAGTCCTGGTTTGTATCATAGAAAGTTCCAGAAGATATTTCACAAATCAACAAAACACTTTCCAAAAACTAATCCGACTGATTTAAAACGTTTCTGGAAAATAGTGGAGCAGTCTGAAATATCCAACTAAGGATTGAAGATTGCCCAGAAATATCTAAATAAAAATGAAACATTCTATATGAAATGCTCATTTTAGCGTATTTTCTAGGTCTATCGACCGTTCCTAGGTTGTCCATAACGTTGAAGGCGCACTAACATTACCGCAATAGCGTCCCCCAGTAATATCCCACCTTTTCTGGAACATTCGATTAGGTCCGCTAGTCCATAACAGATAGCGCCACGTGTTTCAATTTACAACGTTTTATATTATCATTGACTTTTTCCCTACTTTAACTTTGTTCACAGACTAAAAAAAAGACACTTCTGTGGTTTGTTTCGGTGTTTCTTCCTAGAGTGAGTAAAATCCAACTTTTAAAAATTTCTGAAAATATTTATTTACGGAAATAAATATCATTTATCACTACCGGAGAGCCGCCCCATTCGTGCCGGCTCTGCCACTGGTATGAGGGTGATGTCCGGCTGGCTATTCCTATTTTATTAAAGTAGGCTCACGACCCCCTATTCATCCCGTAGGTGTCGTAAGAGCCGACTAAGGGAGTAAACTACGCAGAACATCAGCACTGCAAAGACAAGGAAAACTTGAACCAAACCCTATACCAACCCGTCTGGCCAGCGTGGTATAGTAGGCCAAAACCTCCTTTCTAAGGAGAGGCCTATGTCCAGCAGTGGACTGGTAAAGGCTGTTGATGAGGCTCACAACGTAAGTCATACCTGACGGTAACGTCCTCGTGTGTTCGTGGTGCGCGTTGATGGGCGAGTTGCGCGTGTTCGGCGAGGGCGGCAGCGACGACGAGTTGCTTCGAATCAGCTCCAACTCACGACCCACGCTGTCGACCTGAATATATATTACAGTGTTGTATGTTTGTGTATCTCACATTGACATACGGTAACAGAATCTCACATACTTTAATCTATTACGGATCAAAGTAAGGTAAAGAAGCCCACGGGTAAACATCCCTGCGACTCAGGTGTCACCACTGCGTTGTCAGTCTTTTGTTTTCAGAAATCTTTATTCTCATAAGAATTTGTACAATGTAATGTAATGTAAGGGACATGAGAACTTATACACTAATATAAAATATTCCAACGAGCATGCCTTTGACTTGGGGAATCGTCTCAACTTAAAGGTCCCTAAACCTCTAAGTCTCCAAATCGATATGACCTCCAGGCTGGAGGATTACCACAGGCGACAATTTCTACAACAGATTGGTAAAAAGTTCCGTAAAAACGTGAAAGAAAAAAAGTTGCAGTCTTATTGAAATTTCCAAACTTCAATATTATGCCAGGAATCAGATGGCCTATTTAGCCATAGTCTGGGCTATGTATGATGGCATAGTATAAAGCTAAAAAAGTGTAACTATACTAAGCATTATTCCCCGAAGTGTCTTACTGCAAGAGGCCTCAAATCAAATTTTGAGAGTCCCATCGAACAGATTGTCGACAATACACCACAGTACCACGCAAAGGATGTCGAAAACCACTGGAACATATTCAAGAAGTTAGTTAGTCTCGCCTAATCTCACGAATTACAACAAGGGATTCCCAGAAGAAGAAGTGGATTAAAGAGGATACATGGAAGATTATAACAGAAAGAAAGGCACTGTTCGAGACTGACATTGATTGAAACGATACTGAAGGCCTCTTAAACAGAAACATTAGGCGACATGTTTTAAATCTCAAGAGATTTCTTGATAAAAGTTAAAAATGACGCTTCTCGTGAGTTCAAGCCCAGAACGTGGCCAATCTGGTACTGGTATGGTACTGTAAAACCCTGTACAAAAGAGGATAAAACTACACTTGCAAACGTCTGCTGAGGAAAAATTTCCATATCCAGAGATAACACAACCCGAGATGAGAAAACTAAAAATAAAAAAGAAGCGCCTTGGAGAGAAAGACACGCAAATACCGCGCAGCTTGTGCAACCAGATGTTGGAAAAAGGTCCAAAGATCCAGGACTGCCTAAAAAAGCTTCTGCTGATTCCGATTTACGTGAAGGGACTCCCACGTCTGCGCAGAAACTACCGAACAGTCGCTCTCATGTCCGATGATATCAAAGTATTGGCGCATGTAATCCATAAAAGCAGCTGGAATACCGCAATGACCGAATAAACAAGCCGGTTTTATAAAGAACGAGGTAACACAACACATTGTAAAAGTTTTATTAATTATCGAAAAGCCCAAAGAATTCAAAATTCCCTGCTTTCCCTGTTTAGTAGATTACTTTGAGATTTACCGTGGGAGAGCCATGCTTCGGCACGAATGGGCGGGCTCGACCGGAGTGATACCACGGCCTCACAAAAAACCGGTGTTAAGCAATTCAATCGTTGCCTTTCACCGAGTGAGTGAGGTTACTGGAGCCCAAACCCCCCAAGAAGCAGGCACTCCAAGGGCAGCAACGTACTTGTGACTTTTGAGTTGCAGGTGTCCATGGGCGGCGGGAGTTGCTTAACATCAGGTGAAACGTCTGCTCGTTTGCTCCTTTATAACATGAAAAAAAAGAGGTGGTTATGTAGACAGAGCAGGTCAACTTGTTCTAACTGGAAAACTTGACGACTTGGAACAAGTGTAAGAGTTCGTTTACCTCGGATCTGTACGGAGGGAGGAAGCGAGGGCTCAATTAAGAGAAGCACACAAATGGCCAAAATTGCAATGAGCAAATTGCAAAAAATATGTCACGAACCAAATAATCATGGATAAATACGCCTATCGGAAAGAAAAAAAATAGAACCCTTTGAAACAAGGTGTTGGCACCTCGAGCTGTGAATTTATGGACTGCTAACAGATCTTTTTATATGGGACTAATCCCACGCACACGCCCACCACTGTAACTCCTGTACACCAGGATCCACAGCAGTGACCCACGAACACACCGAGTTATGACACTCGGGAAGTCCCAGGAAGAAATTAAACTGTCTTGGAACCCGCAACGAAATTAATCAGAAGAAAATTGGAGGAGTTGGAAATACAGTCCACTTCCCTTCTTAGCAAAGCGGGAGACAAAATGAAGTAAAATGGGCATACACCCTTTTAAACAGGGACAGCACCACGGCCACGAAATATTACGGGTCCTACGTGAGCTATATTTGATTTCTATAATATGTATGGCAGAATCGCCTAAACGCACGGAAATTCACCCTAGTTGACACAAGATCCCCATAGTATACCGCCCCAGATGTCACCTGCAAGGTATTCAGAATTATATTACGTTCATTATACCAAAGACTACATTCCCAGAGGATATGATGAGCAGACTGTTCATAGTGAGAGTTAGGTGTTGAGCATTGACACAATGGTGACTCGACTAATTTAAATGAATAAAGCTTGCTCTTAAAGTTACCATGACCCGTAAGAAATTGAGCGACACAGTGATCCACCTCAAGCCATGTCCTCGACAACCGTTCGCGAACAGATGGAAAGAATTGGTAAAGATGGCGCCCCTTGGATGATTCATCCCAGCGTTGTTGCCATTTGTCTATGAGGTCATTATAGACATCGGACTGCTGTTGAAGCAATCTTGTAATTTTACCGCGAATAGTACATGGCTGCACGTCTCTGCACTTCGAGATCGACCGGAAGCACACCCGCCAACACCGGCAAAGCCTCAGTGCTAACCGTCCTATATGCCTTGCACAAGAATATCAAACTAACAGATGCTAACAGATCTAGAGAATCACAACCGACTAAAGAATTCCGAGTTACTTTGGACATAAAGCACTAAAGGGTCTAGAAAACCTCTAGAACACCACCTCACCACGGGTAGGATCAAATCAAATTGACCTTGGATTTTTCAATCACAACTGTTATCCGACAGGCTGAACATAGAGTGAGAAGGAGGAACCTAGTGGAAACATCCATCAAATCAGACACGACTTTCAGTAATTGAAGAAACGATCAGTAAGGAGGAGTATCTCCAGTTCATTTATAAACAAAACTCAGTAGAAATGAGAACCTTTATTTTTGACATCGATTAACAAGCTGTGACAGTCGAGTGCTGAACATTTCTAGCCATAGGCTTGTGTCCACTATTAAAAATTGCTTGGTTTATAGTTTCAAATTATAAATAAAGAGACATAGATAAAGATTATTAATATTTTTAAAAAATAAATTCGAACAAAATAGGCATCAAGTCCCGTGACAGCGAACACCAATCAGAAAGTGTTACGTCACGCCACGCAAAACATCATTGTTGTTGTTGACGTTTTCATACAACAGAGCAGGTTACTCCTTATTGTTTTTCGTTTTTAGCATATTTATACAGTTTTGTTTCGCAGACTGTGAAGTCATTCAAGACGCCATGACACTATTCAGCGTTTTCAACGGAAATTTAAATTGTTTTTTTTAAATACAAAATACGTAATGCAAATATTGCTTTTTCTTTAAAATTTAGGTTTTTTGGGATAAAATGATATCTATACAAATATTATAAAGCTGAAGAGTTTGTTTGTTTGTTTGAACACGCTAATCTCAGGAACTACTGGTCCGATTTGAAAAATTCTTTCAGTGTTAGATAGCCCATTTATCGAGGAAGGCTATAGGCTATATATCATCACGCTAAGATCAATAGGAGCGGAGCACCAATAAAGAATGTTTCAAAGACGGAGAAAATTTATTACTATTGAGAGACGCAGACGAAGTTGCGCGGGTCAGCTAGTTAAAGTATATAATTAACCGAGTTTTCCAATTGGGTCAACAATTATCACCAATTTTTATTCCTTAAAGAAATAAGTTTCCAATATGTCTAGTGAAAGTTGATTTAAATGGTACATACTTGGTTGGAGATATAGTTGATGATGTCATTGGCCATTTGTGATATTTGTGGGTGCGGCTCCCGCGCCATCGTCGTCAGTGTGTTCCACAGCTTCATGTATACCGAGCCGAAACCTGTAAGAAATTTAATTGGTTTGGAATATAACATCATTATCATCGAGGACCGGATTTGGTGGTTTGTGTAACGGACTGCTATTCCAAAGGTCGCGGTTTCGATTCCCGCTCATGTCCACCATCTGTGTGCATGAACGTTTGATTTGGTCTGGGTGTTTCAATGTATAATATGTATGTATTTACACAAAAAAAAAAGTATAAATGTGTGGCGACTCCCACATACAAATAAACAGAAACATACTACAGCGCCATCTAACGAAGACACACCGAACTACGAAGTAACTTCTAATCCTGTATCGCGATATGAAGAATTCTCTCGCCAATTAGCATATATACAACTGCCCAACATCAACCGTTGGGCCGCGGCCTGCCAGGCATGATCACCTCGCCTGGTCGGAGGATCCTCCCTATGTGCTGGAGGGACATGACACCCGTTCCTCAGCAAATGTATTTATATCAGCTTAGTTTGAGACTAGATGGCGATGTGTGAAAGTGATAGATTATTGATAGAATATCATCAACATTACCATCATCATCATCATCATGATACTCAATATCTTGACTCTATTCTTAACTTTAAAACTTATAAATATCATTGGTTTTAAATACACGGATGGCGCAGTGGTTTAAGATGTCGCCACGCCGCTTTCTACTACGCCGAGTGTTGTGAGTTCAAACCCCACATGGGACGACACTTTGTATGATCCACAAATTGTTGTTCTGAGTCTGGGTGTTCTTTGTGTCCATTTCATGTATGTTTGCAAAGTCCCCCGCGACACAGGATTTATTCCTAATGCAAAAGTTGTCTATTTAAAAAAAAAAAAAATTAATAAAATGAAAAAAAGCCGTGGGGTGCCTTTTACTATTGACAACAGGCATTTTTTAGTTTGGTTTTCTATAAAAAGCGTGTGTTTTAATTTTTTTTTTTAAATTAGTGTATTGTCATCGGTCCTCGATATATCTACAAAGTTTGAACGAATTCCGACCGTTTAAAGTCGGACCGTTTAAAAAAAAAATACACAAATAAAGCAAAATTTATAAAATAGAAAATATCAAAAGGTTTAGATGTTATAAGATCGCACGTACCAATGGTGGGCAAGGAGAGCGCAGCGGCGTTCCTGACGAGCGCGTGCGAGTGTGAGTGCGAGTTGTTGGGCACCGGCCGAGCGTCCGACAGCGGGTCCCAGCCCTGGTCCACGTCCCCGCCCCGCCCCACGGGCTGCCTGCGCACACGCACGATACACACGGATAATACAGATATGATATTGTCACTTCTTTAAATTAACAACGTCACTCACCTATCGCTTTTGCGCACTCTTTCTTGAATGTATACAGCGATGAAATGTTGCTCGAAAATCATCACCAGCCATTGGAGTGCTGCAAATATTTAAACCATAAAATGAAATTTTAAATAACGTAGAACTGGGAGCCTAGTGTGAGATCATTTCACATCAATTAAGCGAGCTAAGCTAGCGAGCGATATGAAAATTTAACGAGTGGATCAATAGTAAGTCAAACGCGGTCACCGTGACTATCGAGTTGATGTCAAATAAAATCACAATAGGCTTTCTACAAACATGTTACGCTACATTAATATTTCAATTTGTACATAACAGTTTAAAACGAATCGGCTTAACCTCGCTGAGTCATCATCATCATCAACAGCTTTTAATAGTCAACTGCTAGACATAGGCCTCTCCTTAGAAAGGAGGGTTTGGCTTACTGTACCACGCTGGCCAGACGGGTCGGTATACAGTTTGCTTCAAGTTTTCCTTCTCTCTGCAGTGCCGTTGTCCTGCGTAGTTTGCTTCTTTATTCGGCTCCTACGACACCCACGGGATGAATAGAGATGGTGAAACTTCGTATTCTCAATCCGTCACCACACGGACTATATAAGAGTGAATTATTTAGTAGTAGTTTATTCGAAAGGAAAGCAGTGTGTACTGTACCGGCGAGTATCTCGTGTCGCACGAGCGGCGAGGCGTCGAGCGCTAACCTGGCGGCGAGCTGCACGCCGACCTGCTGGTCGAGCGCGTTGGCGTGCTCCGTGCGCGAGCCGCCGCCGCCCCACGCGATGAACGTGCCCAGCGCGAACGTGCACGCCGCGCGCACCTGGACACCAAACACCAAAGCGTCCACATTATATTCCTAAATATTTAATCTCCTTCCTTCTAATTACATTCTTCAGCATTAAAAGGGTATTTAGATTGCCTTATTTAATCTTTCCAATCATAATTACCTCTGACACACCCTAAACAAACGCAACTAAATTGTTTTAGAATATTTTTAACTGCACAACACTTATGCACGTATTTTGAAAGGTGTCTCGGTCGTGAATCTAGTCTTAAAACTAATTTTAAGCAGAGATTTTATTATTGAACGTCACTTAAAACGAGATTCATCGATCCATACTTAAGTGAGTGATAGTTTATTTTAGAACGATGTTTATGTCGAAATCTTTACTAAGGTATAGATTTTAACAGCTGTAATCTTTGTTTACGTGAGACAAGCTGAAACAAGTCTCGAGCAGTGATTTCTAGTGCATTTTAGGGGAAATGTATGTGTATTATGATAGTTTGTTTTTGAATAATTACAAAAGATTTATTTACTTTATTCACGAAAGAATTACTTGTCATACTAAAATCAAAGAATTACTTGACGAGCGAATGGCGTAGTGGTTTGTGTAACGGACTGCTATTCCAAAGGTCGCGGGTTCGATTCCCGCTCAAGTCAAACATTTGTGTGCATGAACATTTAATGTTTGATTTGGTCTGGGTGTTTCTATGTATAATAAATACGTATTTACAAAAAAAAAAGTATATATGTATTTATATTAGTTGCCTAGTAGCCATAGTACAAGCTCTGCTTAGTTTGGGACTAGATGGCGTTGTGTGAATGTGGTACAATATTATTTATTTATTTAATCAATTTACTTTCATTTACCATAATTGATATTATTCTAGTAATATACATATTATTCTAGTAATATAAATTTTTGAAATATAAAATAAAAATATTGTTTGACATTTCAACATGACAAGTGTTGATAAATAATTTGGACGTTCCGCCTAGTTCTCGCTTTGAAAGAAACCTATATCTAGTCATTTTAATTTAATATTTATTATTTTTAATTTTGGACAAACAACAAGCTTGTTAATTTATTAACATTGCTACACTAGCCAATAGTATATACAAAACCACAGAAATTATGTCAATATTGCGGCAACGTAATTGAGAACAGACTGTAAGTTCAAATCAATACTTGAAACTAGTTTCAACTGAGTAAAACTTAAAACGCGTTCTATAATAAGATTCGATACCTAAGTTTTGATCTGCACTTAAAACTAGTTTCAGGCAATCTGAGTTCAACCGATACTTGATACGCCTTACTTCTCACTATATTGTGACAGATTGCAGTATTTCTTAGTAATTTTATTATTACCACATTATATTATCACTAAAAGAAAAATTCAATTATAAAAATTATATTCTTAATAACACCTGTTAAAGATTCTTTCACACTAACCTCAGGATGTGGATGATTCAGAAGAGGATAAAGCTTTTCGTGAGCCAAATCTCGAACCCCTGACCAGCGCGCTGCGTCATACCCTCGCCATAGCTGTCCCAAAGCGATACACGCCCACTGAGCCAAACGGTCACTCCCATCGTTGAGCTGCTCCAAGCATATCGAGATCATTGAACCCTGGACAGATAGACAAAGAATATAGAAGACACCATTTATAACTGCCATGGACTGGCCTCTTGGTCTAGTGGTTAGTGACCCTGACTGCTACGCCAAAGGTCATGGGTTCGATTCCTACCCAGGACAAATAATTGTGTGATGAGCACAGACATTTTTTTCTGTGTCTGGGTGTACTTTATCTATAATATGTATCACATCACATCACATCACTTTAACAGTCCACTGCTGGACATAAGCCTCTCCTTAGAAAGGAGGTTTTGGCCTACTATAATATGTATGTATTTAGTAATATGTAAGTATGTTTATCAGCAGTCTGGTTACCATAGTACAGGGTCTGTCTAGTTTGGGATCAGACGGCCGTGACATATCTCACACGGGTTTTTTTTTTTAAAGACAACTACCGCACTAGGAATAAATCCTGTGTCGCGGGGGACTTTAAAAAACTTACATGAAACGGACACAAAGTATACCCAGACTCAGAACAACAATTTTGTGGATCACACAAAATGTCGTCCCATGTGGGGTGTGAACCCACAACACGGAGTAATAGGAAGCGGCGTGGCGACCGCTTAAACCACTGCGCCATCCGTACAGTCAGTTGTGTGCCCTTGGCCGTCTGATCCTAATCTAGGCTCTAGAGGCCGTTTGTCTTCTATGGGAATTGAATCTGTGGCTTAGCAGCCAGCATCGCTTATCACTAAACCTATAGGATACTCACTTGTAATGCTGCTTCTTGTCCTGCTGGATAACTGTCCACAATTCCGGCCAACACATATGCTGCTAACGTTCTGTGTTCACTCTGTAACATTTACATAAACTTGATAATAATACTAATAATTTATTTAGATAAAGAGTACAATAATTTATAATACACTGATGATGATGATGTGATGGTGATGGCCACTTATTACATGTTTAAGGAGTAGCCTCAAATAGTTCTAAACAGTTACACCTAATCATTGCCGAGCTAATTCTAAGACAATGAGCCCTTCCACTTCTGCTGGATTTTATTTTTGGAATTTAAAATCTTATTGTGAAAGTCCTGAAAAACCATAATTCTTCCATTGATGGTCATGTTATCCATCCGTCGTTGCTTTTATATTTCTTGACTAAACCGCCTGCTTTTGAGCAGAAGTCGATGAATAAAAGATTAACTTCTAATAAACAGCTGTTTACTCCATTGCTCAGGGGTATATAGCTAGATTATTAAACCCAAGACTTCCAAATTTTATTAATCTAACAAGATTGTTATAAATGTTATGATATAGCAATTTTTTTGTTAATATTGAATTTATCCAATATGTCTAGAGGATATCTTATATATTGAAAAATAAATAAATGAAACTCATCTCACACCTGTCTGTTCTTATATAATATATTAACATCGACAGCCTTTAGTAGTCCACTGCTGGACATAGGGCTCACTAAAAAAAGGTTTTGGCCTACTATACCACGCTGGCCAGACGGGTTGGTATAGGGTTTATTTCAAGTTTTCCTTCTCTCTGCAGTGCTGTTGTCCTGCGTAGTTTGCTGCCTTAGTCGCCTCTTACGACACCCACGAGATGAATAGGGGTGGTGACACTCTGTATTTTTAATCTGTTACTACACGGAAGGATATTATATTTTATTTAATAGTAATTAAATACTTACATCGACCGAGGGATCTTGTAGTACTGACAAGAAATATTTGTGTCCTTTTGCATTTACCAAATCCACTTGACAACTCTGAAATCAAAATATATTGTTAATTTTTTAAGGAATAGGAGGCAAACGAGCAGTCGTATCACCTGATAGTAAATGACAAAAGTCATCCATGGACACTTGCAACTTAAGACACAAGGGTTGGACCTCCGATAATCTTATTTACTCCGGTCCTAAACACCGGTTTTATGTGAGGCCAGGGTATGCCTCCGGTCGACTCATTTGTACAGAAGCATGGCTTTCTCAAAGTTATAATGTAGTAAGTGTAGTGTATAAATCAAATCTGAATATACTAATTGACACAAAAAAACGATCTTTAGAATTCTGAACAGTTAGATAGAGATGCAACATAAATTTATATTTTGTTAATTAAGAAGGTTTTTGATTTTGTGACTTAGATATTAGAACATTGAGCGTCAACATGAGCATTAACTAATGCTATGTGGGTACGGTAAAGAATATTTTGTTATAACTAGTAATTTAGGTTAGATACAAATTCAAAAATGTAACATAGGCAACTGACCGGATCGACGGCGATAATTTTGGCCCAGATGTAGACCATGGAGGCGCGTAGGTCGGGCGCGGAGGCCTGCAGCAGCTTCAGCATGTAGGGGAAGATGCCCACGGCTAGCACCGCGCGCGTGGCCCAGGCGCCCAGCGCCAGGAAGCGGCACAGCAGGCGCAGCGCGCGCACGCGGTGCAGCGTGCTCAGCAACACCTGCAGCACCATCGGCAGCTGCTCCGGCGGCGCCCGCCACGCGCACCCTGCACACGCCACACGTCACGCGCTGTCACTCACCCTACCCGATAGGCTCCACCGCACCTATACCTACATTTGCCCAGGTCGAGCCACACTTGGAACGCAGTCAGCTGGTCGCGGAAGAAAGGCGAATGCGTGTACTCGAGAGGATCCGGTCGCAGCAAGTTAGGCAGCTGAGCCAACGCCAGGTCCAAGGTGTGTTCCCATGCCGCCCACAGAGGATGCGAGGCTAACGACGGTAGGGCCGGCGAGCACACCGGGGTGCAATTGTACGACCTAAAAGAAAGTTAAGCATGTTAATCATTTGATAAAAATATAGTAGGTCCCAGAACACTGCCTTGAAGTACGCCTAGAGCTATAAAGTTGATTTTCGACGATTCGCTGTAACAAATCAACTTTTCATATTGATTGCACCGTGTGGATAACAACATTATTTTACTAAATAAACCTAAATTATTATCTACCTAATAATCATTAAAATATTTAAAGTAATGTTTAAACACATGCAATCAAATGGCATTTAAACATCACTGCAATCTAGATAAAGACATTACGAGAACATTAGTAACTAATTTTAATAGAAAGTATTTTTTTTGTAAAAAAAGGCAACTCTATTTTATTAACTCTCTTCAAGGCGCTTTCCCCTTTCTGAAGGTAGATTACTTACCTCATAATCCTGTCGGCTAACAGAAAATTTCTGCACAAAGAAGCGGTGAGCAGATCGGCGCGAAACAACTGTTGGAACAGCTCGGGCGGCAAGGAACTCCAAGCAATTGTGTCCGTGATGGCTGTAAATATCCAGTTCAGTTCTCCAAGCATGGTGCGACGGTCTGTCACTTGGCCTGGGATCCTAGACAATAACGATAAACTCACCAATATGTTTAGGATATGTTAATGAGTAAATATATTTAAATATCTTATGTTATATGTATAGGCAATTTACGCGGTTCTGGATAGCCTTCATGTTATTTTTATTTCTAAAACTGTTACAGGTAATATTCAGTGATAGGTATTTGACTCTGAGCTGCTCGAGTTATTTGAGAGCGTAATCCATAGTTCTTACATTTCCAGATCGTTCCGTATAAGCAATTTCCCTTTTCTATCTTGCCACTGTCCATTGCCTTCCCCTCTTACTTACTTTTTACCTTACCTCTTAATTATTTTTCCATCAACCTAAGCCCTACAGTGGCCAGTGGAACAAAATCAAAGTTGACAAAATGCAGGTATACCATACGCCCTTTCAGGGATATAAAAGTAAATATATTTGTGTATATTTTATTTCTAAAGCTAAATAATATAATTAAATTATTTGACAGCGGGTTGTGACGTCACAGTATCATTTTTATGTTAATTTTCTTCTTTTAATTTGCCTTTTATGAAGAAAAACTAAACGGACTTGACAGTATACAACCATTTGTAATAATATCTACCGAAAAGTTGACAATTTAATCCTGTTTTTAAATCCAATAGATATAATTGCTTAGGAACTATCCTTCTTCCCGTTTGGTAAAGCAGGATTGTAAGAATTTGTTGGCGGGACAAATTTGGGCACATAATTGACGTGTGCTCTAAAGAATTACTAATTATAAATTGTCGTGCAGGTGCGTGTCGTTGCTCGTGTGAAAAGGAAAGACGACAAGGCTGTTGTATCGTTTATCGTTACTGCATAATCGTATCGTTATCGTTGTCTGAAAACAACCTTATGGTGCATCATATTTTAGATATGACATTAAAACATGGAAGAGGTCTATTTCCAGCAGAGGACTGCGATAGGCTGATGATGATTAAAACATTTAGGGGGTCGTGGCCCCAGGGACTTCCTTTCTAGGGTATACCTGGTTCCCCGGCTATTAGTACCCGAGACGGCGTGCGGTTTTAGTCGGTTCGAGTCCGACATGCCACCGACAGGTGGTATCCGAGGGGATTTCCGCACGGAAAAAAAAAAATAAAAAAAGGGGGTCGTGGCTAAGTGGTAACCGAGTAGGTTAGCACATTGCATCAAATCACATCATCACATCAACAGCCTTTAATAGTCCACTGCTGGACATAGGCCACTCCTTAGAAAGAAGGTTTTAGCCTACTATACCACGCTGGCCAGGCGGGTTGGTATAGGGTTTGTGTCAAGTTTTCCGTCTTTTTGCAGTGCTGGTGTCCTGCGTTGTTTTGCGCCCTTACTCGGCTCTTACGACACCCACGGGATGAATTGGGGTAGCGACATTCCGTATTCTTAATCCGTCACGGACGCACATTGCAAAGCTAAGTAATCCTAGTCAGGTCAGTCTTTGGATGGGTGACCATTTTTAACACATTGAGATCCCTCCGTGCCTCGGCATGAGATGCGTGGCAATCATTACGGGTAGTTGGAGCCCTAAAATGTCCGACAACAGTCTATCTACAGCACTTCGATATCGTTTAGTAAAATGTATAGGTAAAAAGTAATTTACTTGTCAATAAGATCATTCACATCGAGTGGCGCAACCCTGGTCCGCGAGCGCAGCACAAACCATTTCATGGCCATCTTGACTGGCGTGGTGAGGCACGCCGTGAACAGGTCTGCAGGCAGCTCCGGGTTCATCGGCAGGCTCTGACCCTCTGCGCACGCCGCCAGCTGGATGCAGTTCTTGAATGACACGTTGGGTACGGGGGCACTTGTAGCGGTGCCCTCGGTTTTCGAGTTCATTTGTGCCTAACAAAGAATATACTCAGGTGAATTTTTTCACAGTTAAAAATCCATTTTTGGAATCTAATTATGTATGTGTATTCACTTACCTCGTACTCTTTCTCGTGCTGCTCAGCGAACGATTTGAAGTTATCGACGATGACACCAGCGTTGGAGCAGTCGTAGACGTAAAGCGACGGCGCGCCCATCCACGTTTGCAAGTCGTACATCGACAGAGGTATGTATTGCGTGTAAGCCTGCATAATCAAACGATCTATCAATTAAACCAGCATTACGAGAACGCCAAAAACATCATCATCAACAGCCCTTAATAGTCCACTGCTGGACATAGGCCTCTCCTTAGAAATAAAATTTTGGCCTACTATACCACTCTGGCCAGACGGGTTAGTATAGAGTTTGTGTCAAATTTTCCTTCTCTTTGGAGTTTTGTTGTCCTGCATAGTTTGCTCCCTTAGTCGGCTTTTACGACACCCACGGGATGAATGGGGGTGGTGACAATCCGTCACCACACCAAAAACACACCACCACCCCAAAAACAACGTATCATAAAATAGAACCGAAAGGCTTAATGCTACCATTACTCTGCGGGCGGTTCCTTCGGTATGGGCTGGTCTCCTATGTAGGAGCATATCACATTGTGGTCTAATATAGTGTGATGAATGCCTTTTATGTCAATGTTAGGTAGAGTTATGCACCATATCGATTGCTAATAATTAAAACTTACCCTGTTAAAGACCCATATTTCGCCTTGGGTGGTGGGCTTTGGCACGCCATGGCCATTATAGTGGAACAACACGCGTTCGTCTTTTGCGTTGCGGCGTAGTGAACAGCAAAGCTTCTTCACCTGATAGTAGAAGCAGAAAAGAGATTTTGATATTTGTAATAAAATATTAAGATTTCAGGAGATCGAAGATCATAGCTCAGTAGAACCACCCGACGCCCGATCAGCACCTTAGAAGTTACAAATGGCGAGAATATCCCCATAGCTTCAACAAAAATAAATCAATGGAATTCAGAACCTTTAAAATCAGATTACTTACTTCCTTAGAAATTGTGTGATAATATAAACTTCGCCACGCATTGTTGCATACGACTTCTACATAATTGAAGGTACCACATCTATACTGATATTATAAAGCTGAACAGTTTGTTTGTTTGTTTGTTTGCTTGAAAGCGCTAGTCTCAGGAACTACTGGTCCGATTTGAAAAATTCTTTCAGTGTTAGATAGCCCATTTCTGGTGGAAGGCTATAGGCTATATATCATCAGGCTAAGACTAATAGGGGCGGAGCACCAATGAAAAATGTTTCAAAATCGGGGTTTTCTTTTCCTTTTGAGAGCTTACGCTGCGTGCGCTGCGTTAACGGAAATAGCTCCTTAATGTACGTATTATTTAAAAAATATTTTCACCTTCTACGTAAACGAAGTCGCGGGTTAAAGTTAGCTTTAGCCCAAAGTAACTATTCCACGCAGACGAAGTCGCGGGCAGAAGCTAGTATAATGATAAAACAACGTATACATATATAAATAATAAAAGTGTGATTAGCTAGGCGTGTAAGGCTGGCTACCGTACGCATCGTGTTTGGCGACAATTATCACAAGGTCGCGCCGCCACCGGCGTCACCGACCCGCCCTCAAATAATTACTGTGTTCATTTATTTCCACGCTATTTCATTCTCGAACCATAGCTCGTCGAAATTGAGAGTTACATTTTGTCTAGCTTCTATTCCTCAATCTTTCTTTTATGTTAGACTTTCTTAAAGCATAAATTTAATATTTCTTTATTTTGGAATCTAATAACTTAAATTACAATTTTTTTTTTATTCAAGTCAGATCATATATCCCGCCCCGCGTCGCTCCCGGTGCAAAGGTGCCCATGAGGTGACATCCTTTTGCACCTGAAACGAGCCGAAGCGGGAGTCACCACTTTTATCCCTAACTCGGCGACCAATTTCCGCAATTAACTCTTTAGCTTCCGACCCCCAACTGCCCAAAGTCTCCACCGCAATAGGCACAAAATAATAATAAGCATAAATTAAACGAGAAATGCCATTTTAAGGCGTTGAAAGGGGATTTTTCGTTTAATTTTTCGGTAGTCTTTACCTATCGCAATAATTTAATACTCTTATCACAATGTTAAATGGCCACACGGATGGCGTAGCGGTTTAAGCGGTCACTTTGCCGCTTCCTACTGCGCTGAGTGTTGTAGGCTTGATCACCACATGGGACAACACTTTGTGTGATCCACAAATTATTCTGAGGACTTCTTTATGTATAAAATCTTATCTTGACCAGTCAAAATGTTGTCTGTCGTGATAATTGAGAAGCTTACCTCATCGCTGGTAGGATCCAGACTCTGCTTGTAGCGGGCACGCGGCTGCCACCGCTCGTACTGAGACTGAAGCGCATGGCCGATGCTCTCTAAGGCTTTGGTCGGAGACAGTGATTGTGGATCTGCGGAAAAACTAAATGGTAATATTCCAAGGACAACAGGTCGTTCATTTTAAACTAGCAATCTGTCCCGGCTTCGCACAAATAAAACAAAAATATCAACTAATAAATTCAGTTATCCGACTGCTGCCAAACATGACACGATCATCTGCTGCTAATCTGAACATTGCCCGAGAACATCATCAAAATTGGTCCTGCCGTTTAGGGATAGATATAAACATATAGATTTTGTAAATTTCGACTTGTTATGTCATCTTATTTAACTGTCATTTTGTTCGAGAGATCAATATGAATAAAACGCCTTAGTACTAAATATTTTATGCGTAACTGCGGTAACTGATATACCTCAGGCGCATTACCTGGGCGGGACTATGTGCTTACAAGGTCCCATCCCGGGCACTTTGACTTTGACACTTTAATTGGGTATAGGGCAGTATGATGAAGACGACATCATTGCATTAAATGTATTATTTAAAAAAATGAGATACTTAATACATTTTCAAGTTCAAACCGTCTTGAAATGTAATCTGCTCTTGGTACCATGTCAAACTTATTTATCAGTAAACACTCACTTAATCAAGTTTAGGTTATCAAGTGTAATGTAGGCCACGTACGCGCTGGAGAATATATTTATTATCTAAGTATTTAAACATATCTTCTTATGCATAATTATATAAATATCAATGTTTTATGCGCTACCGTTCTTCATGAAGTAATTTTAGCTTACATTATAGCTTTCCGTGGTGACGGATTAAGAATACTGAGTGTCACCACCCCTATTCATCTACGGCAGCAAACTACGCTGGACAACAGCACTGCAAAGAAAAGGAAAACTTGAAACAAACCCCTTACCAACCCGTCTGGGCAGCGAGTATAGTAGACCAAAATCTCCTTTCTAAGGAGAGGCCTATGTCCAGCAGTGGACTACCAAAGGCTGTTGGTGATTGATGATCGCTGCAAAAAACTTATTTTTGATCCAGAATCTAACAAATTCCGGGAGATAAAATTTGTAATGGTGTGTAACACTTTTCTTTCACTTTCGCGTGCAGATAAGGAAGTGTTTAAAGGAAGCCAGGGAGTAGCCCCATACCGCTCCATACGTCCCCTAAGCTTGTAGGTAAATCCATTGGTGTATACTGTACTTCCCCTTTATACGTTTACATATATAACGATTGCGCCATACTATGTTATTTTTTAAATGTTTTATAATGTATACTGGTATACATTATTTGGAATATTTATATATATGTTGACATGTAGAGGAAGTGCCTAAAGCTAAAATGTTTAATCAATACGGGCTATAAAGTTGAATCTATACAAATAAATAAAATTGGAGTATCTGTTTGTAATATTAAAATAACCGCTTTTTACTAAATGCATATGTATGTTTACACGATACATATGCCAAAATATCATTTTTTACAATTTTTGACTGTCTGTCTGTCTGTTTGTTCCGGGTAATCTCTGGAACGGCTGGACCGATTTCGACGGGACTTTCACTGGCAGATAGCTAATGACATAAGGAGTAACTTAGTAACTTTTTTTAGACTAGCTTCGCCCCGCGGCGTTGCCCGCGGTTATAACAACAAACGCGGGTGACACCGCGGGTCTCAGCTAGTCTTGTATAAAAACAGCTTTACAGAACCGTATAGGTCCAGTATATGTGTGAACCTGTTATGGTATAAAAGTGTATAAAATGACAGTTCAAGCTAAAGTGGTAAATGAAAACGGTCGAAATTCGGTGTGTCAATCTATACCTACTGGATGCATGTTTGTAACTCAATCACGCCAGAACGGATTGGATTAACGGAATTGGATGAAATATGGTACAGAAATAGATTAATTATATTCTAGATTAGGACAAATCGAATGTCAAGGGTTTTTTTACGCAAGGAAGCCGTGGGCGAAATATGGTAATAAATAAAAAGGTACTGATGGGATATCTTGTTTAAAGAGCTCATAAAGAGTTAAACACTGAGAGAGCTGTGTCTCGACAACAAATGCATGTTATTCTCAGCGCTGCAATAAAAATATAAGAAGTCATACACTGAGTGTCACCGAGCTCGGGCAATGTCATCAAAAATCACGCGCAATATCTGGTGAATATCACATAGTTGTTTTTTTTACTACTGTATTATCTGCGCTTTATAATAATGCGTGTGCAAAACTTTACACGATCGGGAGACAGCGTTAATAAAAACAAACTTGTCTCTGACTTGTAAAAATATCCGAAAACATTTACGTGCAGAAATAAATATCATTTATCTAAAAGTCCGATGCATAGTTACAAGAGCAAATATAAAGTGGCAAAATAAAATATTATTAAAGATCGATTGGCGGTCGAATTTCGACCGTTTTCAATGTCTTGTTTTATTCCATTTACCATTATAGCTTGAACTGTCATTTTATACACTTTTATACCATAACAGGTTCACACATATACTGGACCTATACGGTTTTATATAGCTGTTTTATACAAGATTCAACTTTATTGGCCGTATTTTTTAAACATTTTAGCTTTATGCACTTCCTCTACATGTAAACATTAAGTATTCCAAATATTACATCCGTGTGGTGACTGGTTAAGGTGGTGACCACCCCTTTTCATCCAGTGTGTGTCGTAAGAGCCGACTAAGGAAGCAAACTACGCAGTAAAACAGTGCTGCAAAGAGAAGGAAAACTTGACACAAACCCTATACCAACCCGTCTGGACAGCGTGGTATAGTAGGCCAAAAGACTTTTATATAAAATTCTCGTGTCACAATGTTAGTTACCATACTCCTCCGAAATGGCTGTACCGATTTTTATGAAATTTTGTGTGCACATCGGTTAGGTCTGAGAATCGGCTAACATCTATTTTTCATACCCCTAAATGGCAAGGGTGACCCACCCCTAATTTTTTTTCAATATTTCCTAGAAATAATGTATATTGCAAAACAACGTTTGCCGGGTCAGCTAGTATATATATAGATAATCCATGTTACATTTAGACGTTGAGAATTTAAACTTATTGAACATCGTTTTCTGCGAAACATTTCACATGACACAACTAGGACTGAACCAGTTTAAATATTTTTTGTCTGTTTATTCCGGGTAATCTTCAAAACGGCTAATCCGATTTAGATAATATTTTACTACCAGGTAACTGTCTATATAACCTAGGCTACTTTTCCCATTTTTAATTTTTGTGGATCACACAAAGTATCGTCCCATGTGTGGATCGGACCTACAACACTCAGCGTAGTAGTAAGCGGCGTGGCGACCGCTTAAACCATGCAGTATTTGTATAGTAAATGGGGGATAACGAGCGGAAGGGTCACCTGAGTAAGGAACTAGCGCCGCCCGTGAACACCTGGAACTCAAGATTAACAAGTGCGTTGCCGCCTTTTGAGCGTCCCCTCCCCCAAGAACCAGGGGGTCTCCGGTTACCGCACTCACTCGGTGAAAACCAACGAAAAAATTGCTCTACAGTGGTTTACTGTGAGGCCGTGGTATCACTATATTCCAGCCAGCCAGCCAACTCTCCTACGGTAAAATCTACACTCAGACTTCATATTCTCGATAATATCTATGTTCAAGTCTAAAATATAAATATTATCGACCATTTTACTCATAACTAATGTGCGTGTATAGTACACGTAACAAGGATAATTTCGCATGACTACTGTCAACACAATCAGCTGTTTGTATTCTGTCTGGTAATTGACCTCTAAATGATTACACAGCGCTGACTCATCGCTTAACGGGTAGGCAGACGCTTTAGACATCAGCTATATATAGACGATAATTATAGGGTTGGAATAAAATATTAATCACGGGCCCGGTTCTCTTAATTTTTTTAAGGTTTATACTGTTATTTATTTTTTCAAGGATCTTCAACAAGAATCTTCATTCACAAAGAATTGTCCGTGTGGTGACAGATTAAAAATACAGAGTGTCACCGCCCCTATTCATCCCGTGGGTGTCGTAAGAGCCGACTAAGGGAGAAAACTACGCAAAACAACAGCACTGCGATAGAAAGAAAATATGACACAAACCCTATACCAACACCCGTCTGGCCAGTGTGGTATAGTAGGCCAAAACCTCCTTTCTAAGGAGAGGCCTATGTCCAGCAGTGGACTAGTAAAGTAAATAAATCATTTCCGGTAGTCTAATCTATCTAAACAACAACAAAAACAGCAACGATAATTCTATTAATTACGGTGTAGCTTTTAGATGGATGTGGAATCTATTGCAGCCGAGGTCATTTATACATAGTACATTAAATTATTGCCTAAATGAGTACTGTTTCCGTAGCGCGTCAAGATCCTTCGATGTGTGGAGGGAAAACAGTGTTATCGCCGACTTCCAAAATACCGCCAAGTAGATCTATACACGTTTTGCCAATACGCTGGCCCTGGACCTTTCCCAATGTGTACAGCGGCCTTATAGTCACGTGACGCGTGCATGCCCAGAGTCAAGAAGTGCGTAGTTTCCGATGAGGTCACTTTGTGATGTCAGCGTGTCATTGCATATTCAATGTGGCTTATTTATATCATATAGTACGAGATCCGCAGCAGAGTAAGTGCACTCATCGAGTGTTTGCTAAAAACCAATTTTTTACGCATATTTATGATCATAACTCTGACATTTGGCAAGTAACGTCGTCTTATACTACAAGTACAGGGAAAAATCTGAGTCCACCTGGTTCCCCGACTACTGGTACCTGAGACGGCGTGCGGTTTTAGTCGGTTCGAGTCCGACATTGCCACCGGTAAGTGGTATCCGAGGGGATTTACGCACAGAAAAAAAAAGGGAAAAATCTGAAAACTATACATTTGTAAATAAATCATAAAAAAAATATAGTCTTTCATTAGATTCAATTCCTGAACTATTTATAATATGTACCTACAAATGTGTACGGTACTCTCGGTGGGTGACTTGGCGGGTTTTTTAAATTGTGTCTGCAGTACGCGATATCAATCACTGACATGTTTAATGACATAGGGGGCGAATGAGCAGTAGTGTCACTTGGTGGACTACCACCGTCTATGGACCGCAGCAACATAGGCAGTTTTAAGGGAGTACGCTCTTTTCTTAAAAGTTTTAGAGATCGTATCGGACATACCACAGCGCCATTTTTTAGCGCATAGTAAAATTCATAATAATTATAATAAAATTAGTCCTAAGAGACGATTTATTACGAAAAAACCGCTCATGTAAAATAAATAACGTTAACCTAATAACTTACCGCTTTGTTTTGCGTGAGATTATAAAGTCATGGCCACACAAATATACATGGAATCCGAAAGCCTCTTTCTCAACTGTTAATGCGCCAATTTTGTTCTTATAAACTTACCTCTAAGGGAGGTTACATTTTAGAAAAGCCTAACTCGAAATACTATGGAATAAAATACTTACCGATCCAGCATTCGTGTCTGGCGCACGGCTGTGTCTTCACCACGTCTGGGGGGTCCACTCCAACATTGAGGCAGAGAACGAGAGCCACGCAATGAGTCTTGTACTGTATTCAGAAAAAAAGAATAATTTACTGATGTGAATCATATAATTTTGGCGTAATTACGATTTAAAAAAGTTCACTTGTTGTCGCGTCGCGCAACAGCCACTTGTGGTCTATGGTCGACAGAAATTATATTCAGTGGCCGCTACTATTTTTGTTTTATTTCTACACAAGTTTGCGCCGCTGTTGGTAAACAAGCGTCGTACTTGATGACTATGACGAGTTGTTTTGGAGTATGGTGTTTTCAGTACCTACTCTGTGTCAAAGTTTAGTATCGCGACCACCAGTGTATAAGTGTACAAAGCCGCAGCAGTACTGTGGCTGTCGCTTATGACTTCTCCCGGTCCCTCTAGTATACTAACCAGTATCAAAATTATAGGAACAGTTTTACTCAAGTGTATAGCTGGGAAATAAAGGCCACTGTTTAATCTCTATTCTGTTTATATTTTTCTGTCATTTTAGTTTTTACGCATAGATGGTAATAAAAAATTAAACCTTAGAGTGGCAGAGTGAGTCAATATTGTATTGCCAATAATCTTACAAACATCACATTAGTTTTGACGGCGAAACCTTTTCTCCATAGATGTGAAAAATTATTAAAAGAATGGTAGCTTCTTCATAAGAGAACATAAGCTAAGAATTGGAGTGCTCATCAAGCATATTCCAGCAGAGCCGTAACGGGAGCCAGCGGTGCCCAGACACAAGGCGCAGATCCTGGGAGGGCAGAATTATTTTAACCAAACTGGTTATGCAAACCAGCGTTGAATGGTTGTAGACGCATTTTCATCATCATCACCTTAGAAGAAAGACGTCCACTGCTCTCACTAGACAATGTCGGTTTTTGGTTCGTCTGCAGATCTCCTCATTGATGATTTGATCACTCCCAACATTGCCCCCTCTATTGCTCTTTGGGTGACTGTGAGCCTTGGTATAAGACCCATTGTGAGCGATCACGTCTGACCACGGGACAAGCGGCTTGAAGCTGCTGAAGAGCCCGCAAGGGCTCACGATGTCCTCACTAGTGACGCGTTATCCCGAGGCGAAGACGAAAGTCTAGCCATGGCATAGACAGGGCAAACGAGAGGGAAGAGCAAAACAAGCAAACGGAGGAAACCTTTGCCGAAATCCAACTCCGTCGGCTACTCCGACGCGCTAAAGGCGAAAGACTTGGTCATGCAGGAGCCATACCACGACCTCACCAAGGAGCAGACGGAGGCCAGCTGCAGGGCGTGCTGGATGAGAAAACCTTATTAGCAGGCAGTCGGAGATCCCGAAAAGGATCAAGGCTGGACTCCTGGTGCCACAAATTGGGCAAGATGACACACTGGTCAGAATACAAACCAGGCTGAGGTACCAGAAGAACCAATACAACGTGGCCAACTGGGCCCTCTACCATGCCGAAGCACAGGAAAAGAAGTAATGCCTCTTCCTGGTGCTCGGCATCTCAGAGGAGGATGTCCTGAAACTACAACTAAAGGCAAGCGAACGTAGAGCTTACTTTAAATTAGGCTACCTCCACTTTCGCTTCCTTCACGAACGTCCCGACCAACCAACAAACCCGGACAAAGTGCCAGAAATGTCCCTACACCACCCCAAGGATGGCAGTGGAGGTGATCCACCAAAGCCCGTCGAGGAACCAGCCCCACAGGGTCCACCTCCTAAGAGTTGAATAACCTATCTGAGGGCGAGAGTGATCTCGACGACGACATAGAGGACATGCTGAGCAGCGATAATGTCGATGTCAGTACCTCCTAACCTCCCCCAATAACCCCCTCGAAGCCATCCAAACCAACCTCCAGCACAGTCAGACAGCAATGTCTAACCTATGCAGGGTGCTGGAGGCAAACACCAAAACCGTAGCCCTAATCCAGGAGCCGTGGTTTGGGAAGGGCAGTATCTGTGGACTTAACAACATTGGAGGTAAGATACTTCTCAACACTAACATCGATAACCCGCGCTCTTGTATTTATACACCGAAACACGCGCGTAGCACCTTAATGATCGAGTGCTGTTCTAGAGACCTCAACACTATTAGGTTAAAGGAACCCTCATCCGACCTGCCTGACGTGGTGATAGCATCGGCCTAAATGCCGCGCGACGCTGACATCCCTACTCCGGAGCTGGCTGCGCTGGCACACTACTGCGAGCGTGAGCGTCGTCTCTGCTGACACCAACGGGCATCATGCACTGTGGGGTAGCAACAACCATAAAGGTGAGGATTTTTTTTTTTTTAAGTTTCGAAGACAATTTATTTTAATCAAAGAACTTATTGAGTATGTAGCAACACTAAGCATTATAAAATAATAATAATAATATTTTTATTGACATAGAAAAGAAGTACAATGCTTACATACATACATATTATCACAACAGCATCAGTGAAAACTTAAGCAGTCGAGCTCTGGCACCCATTGTAAGATTTAACTTGAGTCATGGGTACCAGTTCTTCTCACAGTTGTAGACTTATGATAAGACGCGTATGCGCGTGCGTGTGTCATTGACAATCATTTTGTCAACCTTACACAAACACTAACCGGTTGCTTAAACAAACATATCTACTTTCTGCACCCAGAACTGGACCACAGAGCAAACACCAGTGGTAGGAACCGAAACTGGAAAGACTACGTCGTAAGGTGAGAAAATTGTACAATAAAGCAAAAAAACTCCCGACTAGACCAACCCTGGGATGCTTATACGCAGGCCCGGCAACAATACAAGAAGTGAATCAGAACCAGGAAAATTTAGTGCTGGAGAAGATTCTGTACCAACATAGAAAATAACAATCAGGCCAACGGAATTTGTGTAGCAGAGGGGGTGTTGGCTCACTGACAAGGCCTGATGATAAGTTTACCAATACAGACTCAGAAGCCTCAGAGTTGTTATTAAAAACACCCTTCCCAGGATGTCGCATGACAGATGTGATGGAAACATAGGAAGACAGGTGGGAAAAAACACCAGACGATACAGACCGGGTCACGGCCTGAGAAATAAACCATGAATAAATTAAATGGGCAATTGACAGCTTCCTCCCTTTGAAAGCACCAGGACTGGATGGTATCTTCCCAGGCCTGCTGAGATGGTATGGCACGCTTCTAGATCACCTGGTGAAAATTTACAGAGGCTGCTTGGCACACCATTACAACCCCTTGTAATGGAGAGAAGTCAAAGTCTTCATGCCCAAACCTTGCAAAGGTGATCACACACAACCAAAATCCCACCGACCTATCAGTCTCACGTCCTTTCTATTATGAGTTCTTAAGAGGTTCTTAATAGACAGGGAAATTAGGAACACTGCGCTAGTCAGTTCCCCCTTGCATCACACATACAATGCCACAAAAACATACTTCAGTGCCATCTAGAGAAGACACACTGAACTACGGAGTAACTACTAATCCTGTATCGCAATACGAAGTTTTTACGTCGAGCAGCATCTATACAACTTCCCAACATCAACCGTAATGACGACATGACATCCGCTTATGACATGACATGACATGGTTCGACCATTAGGTTTAGGTTCCTTACAATTAGTAAGGAAGATGGGTGATATTTCTTTAGGTTTCTTTCTTGACGGACTTTATCGGTAAAATTGTAGCGTAAATTTCGCTCGGTCGCTCAAGTCGCTCAAGGTACAGTAACTGGATGATACTTGGCGATTTAAAAGAGATCGCGCGAAATAAATTGGAACCAGGGCAGGTAGATGATGACTTTTTTTATCGTGTGGAAACCCCACGGGTCATCATATCATTGTGCCAAAATATAACTAAATAAACTAGGAATGAAGCCCCCGAGAACTCCGGCAGACCTTGGCCGCCTCAGGCAGCCACGTCATTGAGTGCAATTGGTCTTCCAGTTTAGGGGAGTGCGCGCGGAACACGTCGCGCCACCGTCTCAAGCCTGCTAGGGTTACGGTCAGCCCCGGGCACGCCGTTATTGCGGAGGTAAAACCCGTTGATCACCGGGCAAGGATGATTCGGAGATCACCTGTCTGATCTGCAAGGAGCCAACGCCTGAGTGCCACTTTTGCGATGGCCGAACCGTCTACACGACGCTCCATACCCCCATGATTGCGGCCATGGTACGGAGTGAGAGCGCTTTGAACTTTCTGCGAGTAAGTTATACGAGACGCGTAATCGCAGCGTAGTTGCGTCCACGCCGAGCACTGCACTAGAGCGTGAAGTGCAGTATCCTCGCGGCAGCCGTGCAGTGATGGCACGTAGACGTTGGCATCCGGCCTATTCGATACAGCCTCTCCAGCCAATCCTTCAAGATGAGCCAGAGCGCAGATTCCGTAGCAATTTCTGTAGATGCCATGAGAGAGCCAGTGTTAAGCATTGCTTTCAGTGCTTTTCACCGAGTGAATGAGGTTACCGGCGACCAAACCTTCTGAGTACCCTCCCCCAGAATCAGGGTGGGACTCAAAAGGCTGGCGACAAACTTGTGACTCTTGAGTTGCAGGTGACCTAGGGCGGTGCTTGTCACTTACCATCAGGTGAACCGTCTGCTCGTTTGTCCCATTTGCCATAGAAAAAGGTGCACTTTGAGGGAATTTTATCATTAACTTCAACCAAATTGGTTATTAACGGACTCCTGTAAAAGGAGTATACAATGTTGCATAAATCACCTCTTTTTTTTATATGCGATGAGCGTGCGACAATGGAACACATACAGTAGATTAGTTACCAAACATGGGTCCAAAATGAAGAACTAGTAATATTTGCTTAATATAGTTATAAATAATGCAGATTCCACCAGCATTGGCAAAATTAATGTGAAAAGCCTTTACTAACAATAGATTACCCAAAGATTGAAGACATGCTATGTACACCTGTGTACAAAAATGGTGATGAGACTGACCCAGCTATGTTCAGACCTCTGAAGATTTTATCAAACCATATTAAGGTCATTCTTCAACAGACAAAACATTATTTCTGTAAAACAGCATGCATGCATAACAGATTTACTGAAATGCTTGGTTTTGTGTTATGTAATTAAACACATGGTCAAAGGAAGTTAATGAAAAAGAGATGTGGAAAAGAAGTCGTTTATCTGGATTTCCAAAATGCCTTTGAAAAAGTTTCTCACAACAGACTATTGTTGAAACTTAAGCACTTTGGTATACATAGAAATCTTCTAAAATGGTTTGATAACCACTTTTTATATAGAATACAAGCTGTTTCCCAGGGCTCCAACCGCGTAAATATCTGTTATCGCGGTAAAAAGTAGCCTATGCCTTTCCTGAAGAATCAAAGTATCTTCATACCAAACTAGCTGACCTGCGCAACTTCGTCTGCGTCTCTCAATAGTAATAAATTTTCTCCGTTTTTGAAACATTCTTCATTGGTGCTCCGCTCCTATTGGTCTTAGCGTGATGATATATAGCCTATAGCCTTCCTCGATAAATGGGCTATCTAACACTGAAAGAATTTTTCAAATTGGACCAGTAGTTCCTGAGATTAGCGCGTTCAAACAAACAAACAAACATTACATCTAAATTGTTTCAGAGGTTATTGATTCTCCATACAAACTTCCACCCCCCTTTTCACGCTCTTAAAGGATTTTCCTGGGACTTGGACGATCTTTGTACCAATTTTTTTCTAAGTCAGTTCAGCGGTTTAGGCGTCAAGAGGTAACAGAAAGACAGACACACTTTCGCATTTTAATTTTAGTATGGATACCAAGTCAGAGTGGGTAGCACACTATTTGGCCTAATGAGAATTTCGAGTGGTACCACCTAGGGCTCTGTTCTCACACCTATCATACTATCTTTCCTACTATTACACACACTACTTCACTATCTTTACTACAGATTTGATAGCATAATTTGAGTGTGAGTCACGTTTTTTCACTGATAAGGGCAATTTCTTTGGTGGTCCTTTAATTCGATCAATAGTTTGGACACTACAAGACTGGACCAAGGAGTGGATTGCAAAACCCAATGCAACCAAATGCACAGTTCTGCATCCCTAAGAACTTTTTGTTCTTGCTTTGACACTGGTGACACAACAGTTGCATCTGTGAAGATGCAAAAGTTCTTGGAGTAACAATGACCAACAAACACTATACAAAGTGTATTCCAACACATGACACCTTCAGTTTTAGTCAAAAAATTTAACGGCCTCTGTTAGAATATTATGGTATATGGTTTTCAAGGTTGGAATTCATGTGAAGGATTATTGACCTGCTAGAAAGTGGGCAAAGGAGGGCAGCTAAGATACTGTATCGTCGAGTATAAAAATAAGAAAAAAAAAGAATATGGAAAAAGAGTATGGAAACTAATACATCACAGAATGAGAGGTGATCTTTTTGGAACCTCTTAAACATTCATGATATAGGCAATGAATGAGAAAAATGACAAAAAAAAAATCATATCATTGACGGCCTCACACTCAATTGCAAAAAAACTTGTTACTATATAGAACAAGCGTGTAAGAAATAATAATAGTGAGTCAAGTCCTTTGATAGACCGCTAAATACCTACAAGATTATCTCTCTGTGTACCAAAAAGTGCAAGGGTTGTCACAAAAAGGATTATGATCACACGTAGCTAGGTAAAAGTAACACTTGCCTAATTTAACTATATTAAACCCATATATCAGTATCTCGGGTTTCTATTCCGTTTCATATATTGGATAAAAGGTTGAACAAATTATCTTATATATAAAATTCTCGTGTCACAATGTTCATGCCCGTACTCCTCCGAAATGGCTTGACCGATTCTCATGAATTTTTGTGTGCACATCGGGCAGCTCTGAGAATCGGCCAACATCTATTTTTCATACCCCTAAATGGTAAGGGTGACCCATCCCTAATTTCTTTTTGTTTTGCAATACAACGTTTGCCGGGTCAGCTAGTAAAGTATAAATTAGAGAATATTTTATTTTGTTTCTTTTGTATCACTGTTGGAAATGTTGGCAAAAGGTTTTGGTAAAATTTAATTCTAACAACCATGTGATTGCTGCAGCTTTCTATCACCACATTCATGTGAATTGTTTTTAACATAAAATGAAAATAGTAAGTATTTCTGTAATTAAATGTGTATGAAACCACCAAATACAGCTGAAGTTTTATTATTCGATCTTTTACTTATATTTTATTACTAGTAAAGAGAAAAGAGTACTTTGTGAGTTAAAAAATAAGCACCAAACACGTGTAACAGATGTACGTGATACTCTTAAACAGGTATACCGCTCAGCAAGCGAAACAGGCCAGTACTATCACAGACATCAAAGATAGGAGGGGAAGCCGCTCTGCTTCATAATACGGCATCACAGTTTTGCTCCTCTAAGTAGCTGAGTTGACTTACTATTAGTATTTATTACACATATGGAAGCTTTGTGACTGCGAAATCACTGAACAGTTTTAAGTGCCAACTTGATAAATAGTTGGAAAAATATGACCCACTGTACAGAACAACCGTTTTAGCATACACACATGAACTTTTACACAACAGACTACTACTCCATAGCAGTGCCATGGACATATCGGCAAATTTGCTACTCATCCATAACACAATATCTATAAACTGTGGGAGAGCCATAGGCACAAACCCCCTCCCCCATCTAAATCGAGGAGGGAGGAGGCAGAGGTTTATACAGAGCTTCAACACACTTTTGTCTCTTGATTTGCAGGGGTTCATAGGTGACGGTAGCCACTTACCATCTGGGGACTCTTCTCATCCTATAACATAAAAATAAAAGAAATGGAGATGTTGGACATATGGATTTTTATTCATGCATTTAAAGTATTTCTGTGCCTCAAAATACTTTTGTCATGCTGATCCACTTGAAATTGAATGCCAACACCTGCCCTACTAACAAAATAAATCTAAAAATAAAATCCATCTCATTATTGATAACATTGAGTAAAACAAAAATTATGAGTTTTGTATATCATTGAAATAATATATTTTAAGTTAGGACTATTTTCCTCATCATCTGTACGAAAATAAACGGAAAATTCCGTAAAACATTCAATGTACCTTCAGTTACATATAATAATCAAAGTAATCAGTAATGGCAGCAAATCATATATGAATGACATTTAAATAAAATCATGACTTATGTTGGTAAACAAACTTACGATACAGATTGTCAAACTTATTTTTGTTAACATTGTAAGTCATAAAACAGTGCAATCGATTTTTTATGTAATATTATCTTAAGCGAAAGAAAAAAGTACGAAAAACATAAGGAAAACATGCAATAACTACAAGCTTCATTCAGTAATTACGTGCAAATTTACTACAAAAACAAAGTAGTATTTTTTTTTGTAAATCGACCCAGACGCTGGTAACGGCGGAGTCAGTCAATCAACCATGTGCGTTTGTTTTCATCGCAGTATCGTTTTATTGCTACGCAATAACTCACGATTCGTCTCTCAACTGAAAGAAGTACACCTACCTTCTCTTTGACTCGCCATGTATGCTCGACTCGCTCGGCACCTTTAATAGGCTCAAGGTGCCTAGGTTTATTAAAACTCAAAGGTAAATCCCAGTCGTCGACGTCTGAAGAAATATCACTATCAGCCTGACCACTGTTTTTCTCCTCATCTTTGACCGCGAGATAAGGAGGCATTTCTGTCATTTTTACACAGCACTTTTTTTTTCACAAACTCGTCACTTTAATTGCTCAACGTACACGAACATTAAAGCAAAACATTTTCAAAACCTCACAGAATCATGTGCGCGTCCATTTTTCCACCACATGGGAATAAACAATAAATTCCTATTCCGTTTTACGGTTTACATTCCCCATATTTGAACGTTTTTCAATTTTCGGTGGTTTTTAGAAGTTATATTGGATTTTGTATTTTAAATGCTAGTGTACGATTATTTCTTTTTAAAATAATATTTGTGTTTAAGTTTATTGTACTATTTAGTAAATTTAATTTCACCAAATAAAACAATTTGGCTTCCAATTAAAAAAAAAGTAATTCTTCTTAACTGAAGAAAGGAACGTAAATAAGATGCGTTCGCTTTTACCGTTTTTCTATTAATGAAAGACATGTTATCCCGCTGATGTTTTAATCCGTAAAATGTTTTTGAACGGTTAATAAAATAAATCGTTTTGGATTTCGGCTTAGCCGATTTTTTGTTGATAAATCATGTACTTTACCCCCGTATTTAGAAACAAACAAAATCGTACACTGCATTAAGACGGTATTTAGTACAATCCACTGATATAAAGTTAATTCAAATATTAAGGTAATAAATAATAACATAATTATTAACAGGATTTTAACCATGAACTAAAAAAAAATACACACAAGCATCAAAAAATTCCTTCTGTGGAGGAACGGGTGTCATGTCTCTCCAAAATTTGGTGTCCCATGTTGTGGCCGTGGTTGCTGGCTGGCTTAAACTTGATTACGACTCATCGTTGTTTGAGTGTACACGATAGTAGTGATGATGCTGCTGCGGATCTTCTTTAAAGGTTGCTTCCAATGGTTAATGTTGGGAAGTTGTACGCTAATCGGCGAAAGAATTCTTCATATCGGATTAGATTAGATTAGAATTCGCGTTCATAAGTTACTCCATAGTACGGTGTGTCTTCGTTAGATGGCGCTGTAGTATGTTTATGTTTCTTTATATGTGGGAGTCGCCACACTCCGCATCATCGCCTACTGGTAGTTTACCCTGGCAGCATGGCTACGTTAAATGGCAATGCTAATTCTCTGTGCTAGAAAAAGGCCGGTCTTCTGATCACGAGAAGTGTCGATCAGTTGCTTAGCTAGTTCTATAAACTTTGACCACGTGACTCTAGCATCTTGATTTCAAATGGTTCAAAAATGTAATTCCCTACTAAGTTTTCGTTGTGAGGCTTTCTGCGGATGCACTATGCTTGGAACATGTGAGAGCGCCAGGGTGTCGACGCAAGTTGCATCCCACACCAAAGGCTTACTCATATTCCATGGCAGTCACGACATATCATTCGGTCTCTTCCCATCGTCTCGTACCAGACCAATGGGTTCTCGTACTGCTGGAACGCCGGCAGTAGTATTAGCATGTCCAGATATACGGCCAGCGCTTGTGCTACAAGAAAGGCCATGATGTCCAAGATTGTCAACAGCATCTCCACGGTGACAAAGATGCGGCGAAAGAAAGCGCACCTAAACGAAGACAAGTGGCAAGGCACGCCGCTTAGTACTACAGTGACTTTTGTGGGTCCAATCCCCACATGGGACGACACTTTGTGTGATCCACAAGTTGCTGTTCTGAGTCTGGGTCCGTTTTATGACTTTTATGTATGTTTGAAACCACCCAAACTCCGAAACAAATATTTACAGAGCATTCAAACATTTGGTCCAACCCGGGAATCGAACCCGACACCTCAGAACAGCAGTCGCATACGCTGCCACTGCGCCACCGAGGCAGTCGTTTTTATTTAACTGCCTTTGCCATAAAAAAATATCATACCCTAGTCCCTTGACTCTATCTATTTTCCTTACCTCAATGTACTTGATACAAATAACACATCAAATTTTATTTATTTCTTTCTCTCTTATTTACATATCACGTTTGAAATAAGAGAAAGGGACATACGATAATCTTCGTTCCTTTCCCTCCTAATCCACGCGAGCTCGTTCGTTACTTTATGGTTTTTCGTATTTTCTTTTCTTTGAGCCCCAGGCTTTCACTCAAGCAACCATAGTCACCATATTACCCATATTGCTATTATGCCTTGATCAATTGATTTAAGAGTATTATTCTGGTTTGGGATTGACCTAAATCTACATTAAATAATTCCACGTATTTGAATATGATATTCTATGTATTATTGGTTTATTGGTACCCGGTTTATCTAATTACAGGAAAAATATTACAAGCCACTTCATTATAAAAGCACCAAACATTGATAACATTCGAAATAATTGGTTGATTAACTATTATACAGTTCGTAATGGAAAATTATTGTTTAATATATACAATATCTAACTAGAAGATTGAGCTTTCACATGCCGGTCACATTTTCACGGCACTACACACGGCACAGTTCTGGTACTCGTCACTGTCAGGAATGCACTTTTTGTGAAAAGAATGCCGGCAGTTGTATACCATTAGATCGAACGCATTCGACAAGTCTCTAATAATAATCCGGCCTTGGCACACACAACACAAGAAGTCATCGGTGACCGATATCCCTCGCTGCTGACTCATTATCAACTTCTCGTGCAGATCGAAATAGTTTCGTAACGTGATCTCTTTGCATGCTTCCTGCACCGAGAGCTGAAGGTGATAATCGCACATCATCTTCGCTAAAGAATCCTTCAAGTCCTTTATTTCGCAACCAGATTGTATGTTCTGTATTAACATACGAGGGTCCACATAGTTTCCTATTCTCTTAAGGAGTAACGTTACGTATTCTGGTCTGTCGACAGTTCGTTTGATCAGATCTGTCCAGAGCTCTTTATCATTGTGTTCTTGACAGAAATTGATGGCTTGGTTTATGTCGTTCAGTTGTTTTATTATTATTTGAAGGGCTTCCCTAGTATTGCCAATACGGCCGAGCAGGAATACCATTTCTGGATAAAACTCGTTACTTTGGCAAACATCCAGCGCTTCCTGTATTGGATAATTATCGCTACACTTCAAAAAAGGAAGAAGTTTTTCTCTCGCGTACTTTGCGTATAATCTAACCAATTTGCCATGGTATTTACCGTTAGGCTCTACTTTGCTGTAAGCGTCTAAATACTTAAAGAGGAACACATCGTTATTGGCAAGTTGTTCTTCGACTACCTCTACTGGTATTTTTGTTTTGTCGAGAAGTACCGCTAGAGCTTTATCACAGTCGAGAGTCATCAAATCAAGTATTTTGTCATGAATCACGTTATACATTTTGTGTTTGGTGATCAATGTAAATACGTCTTTATGCTGCAGCTTCAAGTATGCTGACAGTGCTTTGTCATATTTTTTCTGGTGGCAATAAAGCAGTGCTAATGCCTCTAAATAAATATTATTGTTAGCTTGTTTCGAATCAGCATCTGGAGCAGCGAGTAAATTGTCAGCCGATGTTAACAAATATTCCAAAACTGCTTTAATAACTACGCCAATCTTGTACAACGCAGGATTCCATTCCTGAACTAGTTTCAAAAAAGCCTGTGGGTCAGATTTTAGATACTCATATAATATTGATTCGTATATGTGTGAGTTTAGTGCTTGTTCTGGAGTTTTAGGCACGTATGGACATATAGTTCGTAGCTGTTGCATTGCTTGGAATTTCATGATTTGAGTTTCCCATAACATTTTGTCATTTTTGCAAATCCTGGCACAAAGTATCGCTGCCTCCTGATACAGGTGTTCTGAAAGCAAGTGATCTAAATATTGCACCCCTACTGTCACCACTGAGTGTTTATTCGTCTTTCCACCGACTTCTTCAAGAACAGTTATTGCTTTTTCGAAGCGACCGTGCTCTGTGAGCCAGTAGACCCTGTCATCGATATCGTATGGACAAGCAACCACAATATCTTTGGGTGATACGATAAAAAACCTATTTTCTTCAATGAGCATTTCTAAATAGTAATCATTACAAGAATATTCTTCGTAACCACGAATATTGAGGGTATCTGAGGATATTTCACAGAATTCGCAGTCTTTGTAGTCAGCGACAACGAGTACGGGCCGCTGCGCTTTGCCAGTTTCTGGATCACATTCCTTGGGCACTCCCAGTAACACTAACTGGTCATCTAAAGGTCCTAAACCACTAATAAAGTAGTCAGTCTGAAAAGTGTAGATAGGATCCACTAAATATTCCGTCACATCTCTCGTTTGAAGTTCGATTTGACTACGCTTTCGGATAACACATATTCTAATAGTATCCACCCAGCCAATCATGAGGGTTTTGGAGGCGGACCAGAGGAGATTGCACCGGTAATCCTCTATGGATCTATTGGGACTTTTCTCCCATTGGATGAGCCCCAGGGAACACCGTGCGACAAGGTCGTAGACGCGTACGCCCACCTCACTGGCCCAGGCCACGAAGCGATCGTGCCATGACATCGATTGAACGTAGCCTTCGCATTCACACAGTACAGTGCTGCGAAGGCGGTTAAGAAATGTCTTCTCATATAACACTAACTTGTTGTCACCTGAAACATAAACAAAAACACAAATTAAAGTATACAATTCTACAATTTTTTCTGTCTTGGCACCTGCCAAACTACGACTACTATTAAACTAAACCTTTACGGGTTAGGACATATGCAGGCTTTTGAACGTTTCTTATTTACTGCTCCAAAAGATAACAAAATCACGAAGGGGTGCTATAGTAGACGCGCCGCAGAGCACGCGCGCTTTTCGGGGTCAGAAAGGGAACCTGGTGCTTCCCTCACAGGAGGGGGTCATCTACTGGTCGCAGATGGCCCAAGGTACGTCGGGGTACCAAGGACTTACTTTATATGGTTCTTATATACTCCTGGTTCTCCAGCTCTTGGTACCCGTGACGGCGGGCGTGCAGTTTTTGGTCGGTTCAAGTCCGACATAGCCCCACCGGTGGATGGTATCAGAAGGGATTTCCGCACAGAAAAAAAATGGGATGCAAAAATGACATTGCATGAATATAATTTCATATGTGTGACATATCCGCTACAGTAAGAAAATACATATCAAAATTACTATAGATGGTTAAAAAGACCACCTGAATTTGAAGCATTCCAATCATATTTTAATATTAAATTAAACAGAATGTTTACTTCTTGTGTGGATTGAATCCATACTACTCAATGTATTGGCAGGTTAAGTAAACATATATTATAATAAAATATTTTAACTGTGCAATCGAATAATATATGACTTTTCAGTAGTACAAGAACCTTAACTAAGGAAATGTCTTATATATGTCAGCATAACAATGAAATTGTCTGAAACTCCTGTGCCAATAAATTATATTGTTTTAATGAGGATATACAGTAGACAGACTGTACATGGTATTGTTCTGCTTTACTGACACTACCAACATTGGCTTCATTTGGGTAAAATTCATTTTTTTGACAGCCAGGAACATTTTTTTTTTCTATATGCATAATACCCTACACCTTTTTTACACACATTAGTTAATTATGATCACTACTACCACTATAGAGTACTATTGGTTTTGCTACTGTACAATTTCACCAGAACACCAGAGATAAGATTGACACGCCCAAGTCATTATTGGTAATGCAAGTGTCTATGGGCATCATATAATAGTTGCTATCCTCACATCAGGATCATCATCAGCCTATCGAAGTCCACTGCTTGACAAGAGCCTCTCCCATTGCACAACACTTCGATCGATTTTCGTCTTCTTGCATTCTCAACTCCTGCCAGCCATCTAGCACAAATCATCACTTCACTTGGCCTGTGGGCGTCTACGTTTGCCTACTTGAAAGATATTATAATAATATATGCTAGGGGTGCTAGTACATACTTACAGTCCACAAACTAACAGCAGTATAGTTAGTAATTAGAGATAAAACTTGTTTAAACTCTAATTAAACTTGTTACATGTAAATAATTATATTTTCAGATTTAAAATAACCAAAATTTCGTTAGTGAATTTTAAATTAACAATTATTAAAATATATGAAAGTGTTACAAGGATTTCTACCTCACTAGAACATTGATGAAACTTCTACAGAAGCAAATGATTTTAAATACCAACTTTAAATTCAATTTCTTAGCAAATTATATAATGTTTTATATATACCAACAGTTTCTTCTTATGTTTATAGACAGAGGCATATTTTGCTACTGCATACTTTCACATTTTGCAACTATTAGTCCTACTAAGATAATAGGTGGCAAGCCTATTATATATTACATAATATCTATTTCCTATTTCTATCTGTGTTGTGATGGATTAAGAATACGGAGTATCATTACCCCTATTCATCCTATGTGTCGTAAGAGCCGACTAAGTGAACAAACTACTCATGAAAACAACACTGCCAAGAGAAGAAAAACTTGACACAAACCCCATACCAACCCACCTGACCAGCGTGGTATTATAAGCCAAAAAATCCTGTCTAATGAGAGGGCTATGTCTAGGCAGTGGGCTACTAAAGGCTGATAGGGATGATGATGAATATCTATTTAGAAATAAATAAACATGTTGTGCACAATAAAGTATTGAGTATTGAGTACATATTTTTATTTTATTTTTTTTAAAAGACAACTCAAAACAAACATACATGAAACGGACACAAAGAACACCCAGACTCAGAACAACAATTTGTTGATCACACAAAGTGTCGTCCCATGTGGGGTTTGAACCCACAACACTCGGCGCAGTACTAAGCGGCGTGGCGACCGCTTAAACCACTACGCCATTTGTATTATATTATAGTATACAGTATTATAAATATACTTTGTATAATGTAACGTTTGCTTAAACCAATTGTTTGCAACTGTTACATGCAGATAAGTTTCCTGTTCTATGACTATTAAAACCCATATCTATACTAATGTTATAATTAGGAAGGTCATTAGAATTGATAAATGTAATAATAATAATACTCTTATACACTTTAGGGGTTTGAAGGGGTTCGAGTCCAACATGCCACCGATAGGTGGTATCCGAGGGGATTTCCACACGGAAAAAAAAAAAAAAAGGTAAGGTAAGGATGTGATAGTTTATGGTTTAGATAGAACATACAGAATATCTTTCACTATGGTAAATATGGGTGAACAAAGCTAGTTTTTTTACATGTATCATTGAACATGTATGTCAGAGAACCTACAATACTGATTTTTATTGTGAGGATTTCTACAAACTGTCACTCATTTTTTTTTTAAATAAATCCATCTTATTAATACATATTTTTTTACTGCACGGATAACATAGCGGTTAAGCGGTAACCTCACCGCTTCACATTGCACTAAGTGTTGTTGTTTTGATCCTCATGAATTTTTGTAAAGTCTCCTGAGACACAGGTTATATTCCTAGTGCAGGAGTTGTCTTACAATATATAAAAAGAAAGCCAGCCATGTAATTAAATTACTGCTGCAATTAAATTAATATAACAAAATATGTTAAACCTAGCTCTGGTTCACTAGGACATCTTTATGAGATTGATTGTCTTATGGCTGGTGGTTTTTAGTGATGGAATAAAATTACAATCACCTGTAAAAAAGGTCTAAACTTAAAAAAAAGGTCTTAGTCTTTGATAAAAAGTTTAGTTTAGTTTTGCTTATGATTTGATAGCATTTATCTTTTTCTATTACCAAATCCCAGGAGTGATTTATCACAGGTGAAAACGCAGAGACTAGAAACCATCACGTCATATGATTATGATTTAATAGTAGCAATAATTTCCATCATAGGTTTTAATTGATTTGATTCCCGCATACCAGTGCACGGTGAGCCCCAGTGAAGTGATATCCCCATAGGGTTATGTAGCTCTAGATTACATTAAGCATAATTAGCAGCTTCACTAATGCTACACTAGACAAATGATTATTTAAGTACATGAGTCATATAAACTGTGTTATTATAAGCTACTGTATGTGTGATGGTATAAAGTCCCGTTTTGAATGACAAGATGAATAATTTTTAATATTTTTTTGTTAGAAGCTGTTGATACTATATGAAGTATCTTTTATAAATGGAATTTGACTAAATTCTATCTAAAACTATTCCATAGACTACAGACATACTACTATGGTTGACAATAAAGGTCCTAGAAAATAAATGTACATTCCTTATTTAAATAAGTTTCCTATTTTATTGTTGTCTTTACTTTGGCTAGATTTCAATGTTTTAACAAATGACAGAAGCTGAGAATAAAATGCACTATGGAGTTGGATGTGCTCCAGCTCAATAATTATGATGTTAAAAATAATAAAGTATGTTTTGAAAATATAATACCTGTTAAAAAACGTCTCCCTGACCCCGACTTGAAGTAACAAGGATCTAAAGCGATAGACTTGACAACTCTGCCCAAAGAAAGCTCATGAGTATTCTCGTCTGTGTACAGGCCGTACACCAACACCTTTCCATCGTCCGAGCAGCTTGCGATATAGTCCCCATTCAAGTCTACCGAGATCCTGTTTACAGCGATGGCATGAGCTTGTAGTTCCTTGTTCTTGCCGTCCTGCGACATAGGCACCGTGTTCCCTTCGTGGTCCAACAAATGTATCACTCCCCATTGCGTTCCCAAACAAATAAACTTGGTGTGCACACAAATACAACTCACTGCGTCTTTCAATAAAATATCTTGTACATCGTTAGCGAGTCTGTCGTATTTTAACTTAGGTTCAACATCAGGAGGTAAGCTGTCGCAGCTTTCTAAATTCACTGCCATGTTTAAGTTTACATGTCACAAGAAACTCTCATTAGTTATTAAATTTAAGAATAACTACAATTACAGAATTTTCCTTCCTTTACAATATGTGGTCTGAAATTATCATTTATCATGACTTTATTGTGAGTATTGTGACATTTATGGTACAGTGTTACCAATGTTAAAGAAAATTTCACATATTTTGTAAGAACACACCTGAACCTCATGCAGTGTGCCAACCTCAAAAAACTAAAAAACAGTAACTCACCTATAAAAAAACAGTAGAAAACAGTAGGTAAAGTGAAAAAAGGCAAATTTCATACTTTCCTGATACAATTAAAACAATTAACTAATTTTATTAGGTAGTAATAACATAACAAAAAACAAAAATCAAAGTAAAATTATTTTCCATTTTCATCCTCAATTTCCTCATCTTCAGTATTTTCACTCATTGTTTTTAAAATTATACACATTTGTGTTAAATTTCTTCATATGCCTTTCTGTGGTTGCAAATGAATAGCAATCAGTTACTTCGGATTTAGTGTGTAATGCTCCTTTAATAGTTGTAGTCGATATTCTGTTGCGTAATTTGGTTTTGACGAATTTTCGTTAATTTGTAACTACATTACATCGCTAAAGTAACCGAATGGAATAATCTAAATGTTTCCACGGAACCCCGCTGGGTGGAAGTATTCAAACACTTTCAAGCCAACAATCTTCAGCATGAAAACTTTTCTGTTTTAATTGAATATATTTTATGTTTACCTGCTACAAATGCTCCAGTAGAAAGAGTATTTTCTATGATGAACAAATTGTGGCCATCTGAGAAAACCCAGTTACAAATTTCAGTTCTAAAGGCGATGTTGCTAATTAAAGTGAATATAAAAGAAACATGCCAAGACTTTTATTCTTACTTAAAATCATCACCATCTATATTAAAGCAAATTTGTTCCTCTGATAAACATAAATATAACTAAACGTTTCGGGTATATATAGTTTTTAATTTGTAACTTTTAAGCTAACTGACTTTTTCTGAAGAAATAACATTAAAAAAGTGTTTTGTTTTCATTAACTAAAACTTCGGTGCATGTGTGTTTTGTTACTTTGCCATATTCAAAGTAAAGATGTGGTATTTTATTATTAATAATATTTGTTTATTATCTGTGTGTATGAATAATACTAAAAAAATTTTTTACCGTCTGTGTGTCATTAGACAGTTTTCGAAAATTTCACAAAGTGTTTCTGCTGCTACTATAACAACATATACTTACCACTAAAAACTGGTTTTATTTTCTCGGTATTAACAACAACAGCTAGAGCTAGGTTGTGATTTTAAAACATTCGTAGTCAGCTGTTCAGCTTTTTAATAATTAATTAATTGGTGACCAAAGAATTTTTGTTTTGAGTTGTTGCGAGTTGTAGGTAGGTACCTAATTTATAGAGACGTTAATAAGCTGAGATAAAAAGTTACTTACTCGTCAGCTGTTTCTTGCATTCTAGTTGAGTAGGTAGGTGTTGGAGTTTCTAAGGATTGTAGTTTTGTAACGCGTAAGGAGAAAGCACATTTATTTTATTTTATAGAAGGATTTTTTTCGGTCGCAAATTTATAAGCCCGATTTGTTTTTCAAACAAAAACATGTTTTTTTAATTAAATCTACCAATCAAAAAACAACACGCATTTTTATTGAACACTTCCTATTCAATTTACAAAGTATTTCATTTATTTATATAAAAAGGATATTTACAATCACAAATCTAAATAGAAACAGAAAGACGTCAAAATAATTAAAATGCTGGAGACGGGCAGCCCTAACGCATGTTTACGTACCGCGCGGCTGTAGGCATTTATTTCTATCATGCGGCCGAGTTACACTACTGTATTATAATTGTACCGTGCCTGTAGCTATCATTCTATATATACAATGGGAATTCCCGTGTATAAAATATGACTGTCAATCACATAGATTGTGGTCGGGGAATTCCCTCAAATGCCGACAAGTGTAGATACTGTCATCTAGTGTCACTGCATTATATTTGATAACTAGACATTTAAGTATTTATAAAAAAATATTTGCGTAATATAATAGGTGGCGCTGAACGCTAATTGAGAAACAGTGAAAATTAGGAATGAAACAGAAAACAGGGGCATCAACGTAAAAACAGTAAATCTACTGTTAAAACAGTAGGGTTGGTAACACTGACCTCATGATACGTTAACACACTTGCCGAGACTTGACAAACGTCCACGAGCTCCAAGCCTTTACAAACGTTTGGAACAGGCAACCATAGGAAACGTTGAACTTGTGTCGACTATTGACATATTTTTTTCAAAATAAAAAAGAGAGATTCAAAATATACCTTTTTCTTGCGTAAATTGCAGTCATTTTAAAGGAACAGAATTCAAAAAATATACATTCTGTTACGAAAACAAAAATACCCAAAAGTCAACAGGCCAAACACACGCTTATGTTTGTGTACACTTGACGAGACGTGCCGAGCGTGTAAACATATCATCAGAGTGAACATTAATGAAATTTTTAATGCTTCATTTTACCATGTCACCGTTCTACTGCAGAAATATAATATTCATCGTTGTTAATTGTTCTCAATCAATGCAGAATGTAATAATTTTCATATAAAAATAAAAGTCTACAAAAAACCAGCTCATTCTCGATCTAAGAATCATCTTTCGTATAAGTACTCGTTATTTCATATTTAAAAGGTTTCAGAAGAAAAATATTTTAAAATTTCAAAGCGTCCATAACAACAATTTTTAACCTGAGACAAATTAGCTATACACCAAACAATATTAGGTGAAAAAGTTCAAGATAAATGTTTTACACATAGAGAAAAGTATGGAGAGATCACGGGGTACAGCTGCCTGAAAGTGGAAGTGATACAGACAACGAGAGAGATGGATGCCCGATAGTTTCCTATGTCGCTGTTCAGCTAAGTTGCGATTGGCTACTTATTAACAGCCCATACTCCCCAGCCTACTACAGAGCTCGACTAGAAAGAGATAGAGGCATCTTTCTATTACCCATCTCTCTCGTTGCCTATATTGCAAGATTAGTGCTCTTGTTCACTCTATGCTTATACTCTATGGTCTTGCACCTATTTAATGGCGCGCATTTCAAATTTCAATTGGTACACGATCATCATGGAAGACAATAGATATTTTTACATAAACCCTCAAAAATGTGAACGGCTTTTATCAACTTTTGGCAAAAAAGTATTATGCGAGCTTATGAAATGGCACGATAAAGGTAATCAGGAAATTTTAAACTGCAACTAAAAAAAAAACAGTATCATGGCTACTTAATCCATAGAATACTTGTAGGTATATGTTTTAACGGTTTTCTGACTTAACAAAGTTAACCAAAGCCTCACACAAGTATTATTTAAGAAATAAAATATTTTCATATATTAGATAGGTCATAATTATAAAAGTTAAGCACACAAAAGACTGTGATATTTTTGCATATTTTTTGACGCAATACTTATGAGGCCCGGACCTAAATGATCACTGGTCTTTCATATTATTCTAAATTAATTTTTAGTACCTACAGAAGGCACGACAACGAAAAGTTTTTGTTGCTAACTACGCACTTCAATTATATCCTGTAACTTCCAGAATTCAATGCTACTTTTTAACTAAATACTCATTTTTAGAACGAAATAAAACAAATGTCTGCAGCAAAAGACGTCATTGCTCGCCTACGAAAAAGTTCTTGAAGTAAGAATATTCTCTTTTATTTCTAATTAGAACAAAACGACAAGTTTTTCGTTTCTGCTTCAATGATTAAAAGAATTCATCCATACTGATATTATTATTGTGACTGTGAGTTTGTTTGTTTGTTTGCTTTCACGCCTGAATCGCTAAACCGATTTAAAAAAAACCTCTCACCAAATCTCGCCTATGTTACTCGCTAATAGTGTAGCTTACACTATTAGCGAGTAACATAGGCTACTTTTACAATTAATAAAATAATTTTAAATTAGTAGAATCAGTATGTCGAATTCGCTGTTTATGTTATAGATTGATCAGCGTTCTGATTCTAAGAAAAAAAAAAATAAGATTTTTTTATGTCTATACGGGGTAAACGAGCAAATGGGTCACCCGATGGTAACTGTCTACCGCCGCCCATGAATACCTGGCATTCAAGAGTCCCAAGTGCGTTGCCACCTTTTGAGTGGGAGGTTAAGGCTCCGTTACCCTCACTCACTCGGTGAAAAAGCAACGAAATACTTAATTGCTGAACACCGGTTTTCTGTGAGGCAGTGTGAGCCGTATCAGTCTGATTGAGCCGGTCCATTTTGTACCGAAGCGTGGTTCTCCCACGGTTGTAAACTCCTTGTATTGTACCGGGACGAAGAACAAAAATAGGGAACACTGCATAGCAGGGACTAGCTGCAATTCCCACCAGTCTGTTTTGATTGCGAAGTTTCAAATTTTTATAGCGACTAGTTTTTAAAAGCACACGAATAAAATGAATCATAATAATACAGATTACATTCTAATTTGTTTTGATTTTATTAATTTGTGTAGATTAATTTAAAAAAAATCGATTTGTTTAAGCTTTAACAATGATTCTCTACGCGATTCCCCATCAATGCCTTCTACATTGCCACCGCCGATAGAAATTTACAACACGGAATTACCCGTAAATTTAAATCTAATAGAAGAAACTGTATTTGATAAACCGACATCTGTAGAATTAAAAAACACATTAAACGTACCTGATGATGATGATAAGTTTGTACATCCAACTATTGTTAGTAGAAATGTTGTGTGTGAAGCGTTAGATTACGTTGATTCACTACAAAATACATCATCAAAAGAATTAAATACGATAACTTACAACGCTATTGGTACGGAAACCAATGATGTGAATTGGGATAATATGTTTGATTCGGAGTTATTTGGTGATGTAGAAGGAAACGGTATTGATAGAGAAGTTTATGGTGAGCCCAATACGCTTGATGCTATATTTCAAAAAGAACATACCAATCAAATCACCAAAACCGTTTGTAATGAAAAGAGTTATCAAAAATGTGATAAAAAGCGTAAGTTGTTTGGTGATGTAACAGAAAATGCTATTAATAAAGAAGTTAATGGTGAGGCCAATATGTCTGATGCTATAATTCTTAAACAAAATAACAAGGACATCACTAAAACAGATTTTAATAAAAACTGTAATAAAAAGCGTAGGACCACTGATGCGGTCTCAACTAGAAATATAAAAAAAACCAAGCATCAAAATCTTAACCTAATTGACCCAATTGAAAAATCTAATAAAACTAATGAAGTTACCCCAAAAAATAATTTCCGTAAGCAAAAATATACGCAAACAGTAAAAAAATGGCTTAACGATGTCGAGTTACATAATCCTATTAATGAAGATATTGTAATAGTAAATTGTGAAAATATCAAAATAAATGAAACAGACAGTAATAAACAAGAAGCTGATCGTAAAGCAGCCGTTAATAATAATAAACCTAAGCTTATAATTGATAAATCCTTAAAGACGAATAAAAAAGTGGTACAAGCACAGTTAGCTAACAAAGACGGTATTATGAAATATGCTAAACCGAAAACTGAAGCTGTGGAAACTGGAATAGAACTAGCCGATCCTAAAGTACTTAATAATAAGAAAATGAAAGTGCCAAAGAAATTCGTCCCGCCAATAAAATCGCAGATCCCTGTAAAAGATATTGCGTACGAAATAATAACTATTGATGATAGTAATATCCAGGACTACAATAAAGAAATTAATTTCATTGAGGCATGTGAACTAATTGCAGTTTTGATCTACAGGTAAATTATTTAACAGTTTTGCTGAGCCTTAGTTAATTTTATTTTAATTGGTTATTAAAACTTTCTGCAATTTAAATTGCACGAGGCCTTAAAGCCACAGCCATTTTCTTCCAGTCAACATTTGGGTGTTGCAAAGCTGTGTGGCAGGTGTATATTTAGAATTAGTAAGATATGAGACTAAATTAGAGCTTGTTTAACATAAAATTTATGGATGAAAGTAATTACCGAAATACTCCTCTCCCTAGGGAATATCGTAGTACAGCAAGCATGAATTAACTAAGCTGACCAGATCAATAGCAATATTAAAGCTATTTGAATAGAGTTACACATACATAATTATGTACATATGCTTTATTATATATGGAGGCATATTGAATAGCCGCTGTCATGCGAACAGCCTTGCTGGTACGGGTGGTTTGGGCAATGTAAGCAATATTATAGCTAGAGCACGTCTGGGTAGAGCATACCTCTAACTTGTACTGGAACTGGTTGGTCCTCAAACCAGTGAATAGAGTTACTTAATACAAATATTTCTGTCCTATTAGAATTTTAGGCATAGTGATTAGATTTAGCTTAGGTAGGCTCTTTGTTAGGATTCCAGGAGAGAATACATAAACGGCTAGACGAATTTTGATAAAATTTGTTATGGATGTAGCGGATACCTTGGATTAACATATAGGCAACAAATTCAACAAAAAACAAAAGTAAGAAGAAATTTAACCCCATATCTTTTCCATTCCCAATTCTTGCATACTGATGCAGTAATGGATTCTGTCAGCTGAATTGTCAGTTTACTGACGGCACGTGCGTCGCTGACGGACTCCTCCTTGGTACTGGAGATGTGTTCTACTGGTTCAAAGGCTCTAATCAGAGTATCAAGTAAGTTACAAACATGCAATTATTACAACCAGAGCCTTAAAACTATACATACAAAGTAGGTTTTGCCTTTCTATACCATATTGTTATTTTTTTTAGCTTTCGTGCTTATTTTTCTCTATATCTATTCTCTACATAAATTTAACTAAAAATATTTTAAATTGCATACAAAATGTTAACTTGTCTTCAAAAAGTTGTTGTTTACTTGTCTTCAAATTCCACCACCAATATTAGATGATACTCTGCCTATCTGTTCACCAAAAGACACGTCTTGCCAACAGCGTTATACTAAAGCCATACGGTCGGCTATATCTTAAAAGTCATCATCATCAACAGCCTTATAGTCCACTGCTGGACTCACCCTCTCCTCAGACAGGAGATTTGCCTACTATACTGGCCAGACGGATTAGTATAGGGTTTGTTTCAAGTTTTCCTTCTCTTCGCAATGCTGTTTTCCTGCATAGTTTGTTCCTTTAGTCGACTCTTACCACATCCACGGGATGAACAGGGGTGATGACACTCCGTATTCTTAATCCGTCACCATGTGGAATGTGGTACTGGTAGAATTTTGGAGTGATGAAAACTGGAGAGCAATAATACCATTATTAACGAGAGTCTTCTTTTTCTTCCTTACATCAATTCGGAAAAGATGGATTACTATACATTATACAGCGTCGATTACTAGAGTGTTAGGAGCCGTGTAACAGTAATAATATATTAATAAGATAGAATATAGTAGGCCAAAACCTCCTTCCTAAGGAGAGGCTTATGTCCAGCAGTGGACTGTTATAGGATGTTGATGATGTCATGATGTGAAGATAGAATACTCTTTTGTTGATGTTTTGACTGAATTAATCTGACCGTGTTCACGGGGCGGTCGAATTCTATGGCGCGGCTGTAGGGTATTCGTCAAGCTTATTAAGATCGCGAGATGGAATCCGTGTAAGTGTATTTAATGGAAGCATGAATATCTCCTTACTTTTATTTATTTCAGAAAAGCATTAGTACGTATATTCACCAAAAACACAGTTGTAAGTTATGAAGCCCGAAGTGTCCTCATCTACTTTGCATCCCATTTACAAATTGACATTTATAACATTAACATGTATGATGCTAAGGTGAGCAATGATATTTGCATTTGGGTATATAGATCTAGATATCGTTCTCTTTCTCTCTCTTGATTAAAGGACTCACTCACTCTTGGAACATTTGTAAAAGCCTGAACCCAATCTAACCGACTGTCTCTATGAGAATCTGACTCTCTCTAGGTGATTTATTTATTTATTTATTTATTTATTTATTTAATCTTAGGTTTGCCTACAATTGTTACACCTTTCTTAAAAATAATACATGCATGTTTTATAGAATATAGGTGTACAACATTAATTGGCAAACACAACATTTATGAGAAAAAAAAACGGATATTAGGGTAACACATGATAGATAACTTGTACTCGTATTATTTTTACAATTTAATTATTGCACTTGCACTTACTGTGACAATTGTTGGTTTAGAGAAAAAAATGATACAAGAGAAAAAAAAAACAGACAAAAAATAAAAACAAGTAATCGACAAAAGGGTTATAAAATAAATACAGAGCTAACAAACATATTATATACATACATATTTGTAAAACTTATAGTTGACAGTCTGATTCACTCTGGCTACTAAAACTGATTAGTTCTGCCGCGAACTTGGCTCTTAAATCTATTAAGACTGGTGTTAAGCATGTCTATTTTTTTTACCGAACTTATTATAAAGTCTAGTCAGTCTGGGTATGGGAGAGTGAAAGCCGAGGACCGTTTTACGTGATGGTGGGTATAGTAGATTGACAGGATTTCGGGGATACTTACGAGGGACATTAAAATTTATTTTAGATAATAATTGGGGGCAATCAATATAATTATTTACTAGTTTATATAAAAAAATTAGGTCGAGTGATTCTCGTCGTGTATCAAGCGATATTATATTAAAGGTTTGTAGTCGCTTAGCGTAACTTCGCGTCCTTTTTGAGATACCAGCGGAATAAGCTAGATGATGCAAAAACCTTTTTTGAATGCGTTCTATTCTAAGACTATGCGTAGCATAGTGCGGTGATCTTAAATACCAGGACGAGGGTACTTTTTTTTTTTGCTATGAATCTTTATTGTTGTAAATAATAATAAAAGAATAGAAGTTAGATTAAATGCGAATAAAGACTTGTTCACACAAGAAAGAAACGCGTGGTAGAGTCCTTGTGGCCTGGCAAACCGAAGACCATCATGGATATGTTTAGTTTCGTTAAAGGATCATTTAAAAAAATTACAAATCGATTGAATTACAGTATCTCTATCACGAGTATACAGCAATACGTCTTACAAATTGCAATGTGTAACATTGAGGAGGATTTTAGCTGGTTTCTTTTCATTTCAATTGGCTTATTTTAATATTAAGGAGTTAGGTTAGGGCTTATTTATTAGGAAGTCAGATTCTAAACTTCCAGACTACAGAATAATTGACTTAGTACTAGTACTTCATACAGATCGGCGCCAGCTTGCTAGATCCAGACAACCCTCCCGAAAACTTCAGCGATTTCCAGAAGCTGCTGTCTTTCACTGCACCGTACACGATCGCAACTGAATGTGCCCAACAGAAGGCTTCGTGGTATGCGTCACTATTGAGGGAGTGCTGGGTTAAGCTGAAAGAGATGCTCGTGGATAATCAGCTGTGGCACGTCTTTGTGGAGATTGAGATGAAGTTATTGCCGATTATTTCAGGTATTTACTTACAAAATGGGAGTCACTCCAGAATCATGTGAAGAGACTTGGTTCCTACTGTTAATTTTGGAAAAAATGCTTTGATGTCCGAAATTAACTGGCTTGGGCGTAAATTTACTACAAGCTGTTTTTTAATGAATGCAGACTTTCTGTGTCTATCCAGATTAGAGTAGAGCACCAACACAACAAATAGATTGTTAACAATTATAGTAAGATAATATAAAATAACATAAATAAGGGATTTTAAAACATACTAATATTACACGTGTGGTGACGGTTTTAGATTACGGTGTGTCACCATCCCTATGCGTCCCGTGGGGGTCGTAAGAGCCGACTAAGGGAGCAAACTACGCAGGACAACAGCACTGCAAGGACAAAGAAAACTTGACACCGACCCTATACCAATCCGTCTGGCTAGCGTGGTATAGTAGGCCAAAATCTTCTGTCTAAGGAGAAGCCTATGTCCAGCCAGTCAACTACTATAGTAGATTTAGTGAATTTAGTGTACAATAAAGAGGGGAATAAAGAGAATTTTCATAATGGGGTCCCTAGAAATGGAGTGTCGTGGAGTATCAATAGACTTGTCCAAACTGAAGTCCTTGGAGGCACTTCTCATGGCTAGAATGCAACATATAGAACAAAAGTGTTATAAGGCGGCTGGCAAAGTATTCCAGATCAACTCTACTGTGCAAGTCAGGAGTATATTGTACGATGAACTGAAATTAGACTCCAAGTGTAATGTTAAGATAAGGGAAACTTTGTCTGGAGGGCTCAAGTCCACTTCGGAAACCATGGTGAGTTTCTCTGATGAGTATTTTAACAATAAAACTTCACACACACACGGCCGTCTGATCCTAAGCTCGGCAGAGCCTGTGCTTTGGTGACCAGACTGCTGATGAACATACTTATATATTTCTAAATACATACATATCATAGATAAATTACAGAGATAATAATTATTATTTAATTTTTTTTTATGTTAGAGGGGGCAGACGAGCAGACGGGTCACCTGATGGAAAGTGACTATCGTCGAAGGGAGTCACAAACGCGTTGACAACCTTTTAGGAGGGAGTACGCTCTTTTAGGGAGAGACCTATGTCCAGCAGTGGACTGCTATAGGCTGATGATGATGATGATGACGACGCTCTTTTCTTGAATTAGAGTTTTGTAATGTAAGCGTAATTTATTTAGTTTTGATTGAGTATCGTCATGTTTAGGTAAAAACTTATTTTATGAACTTGACTTTGACGAGCTTGTCGATCTTGTGGTTGACGGTGACCTTGACTGCCGGGGGTCGTGGGTTCGATTTTTACTCTGTAAAAATAATTGTGTGATGAGCACGATCATTTTGTTCTGTTTTTGGGTGTTATTTATCAATACTGTTATTGTTCCCTCCTCGATTATGGGTGGGTAGGTAGAAATGTGAAAAAATACTTGCCGTAATTGACTGACTAATACATCAACGCAGAGCTTTGCTGTAAAATTTTGGCAGCTGATGTTTTTAAACGGTTTGGTTTAAGCGGTCGTCACGCCGCTCCCTACCACGCCGACTGTTGTGGGTTCAAACCACACATGGGACGATACTTTGTGTGATCTACAAATTGTTGTTCTGAGTCTGGGTGTTCTTTATGTTTGTTTCATGTATGTTTGTAAAAGTCCCCCGCGACACAGGATATATTCCTAATGCGGGAGTTGTCTTTAAAAAAGAAAGAATATTGTAAGTATTCACAAAGTTAAGGATTTTTGGAAATTAAACCCCTAAATAAGTAATGAATGGTTTGTATGGGAGTTCGTCCTTTTCAAAGTTAGAAACAAGAAAAAGAAATAGTCACGCGAGTGCAGCCGTGGGCAATAGCTAGTTAATAATAATAGGTAATAATATAGCTCACACATCCCACAAACGGCCGTCTGATCCCAAACTAGGCAAAGCCTGTGCTATATTAACCAGACTGCTGATAAATCTTAATATATATAAATCTCCTGTCACGATGTTTGTCCGCGATGGACTCCTAAAATACTTAACCGATTTTAAATTAAATTGGCACACCGTGAGCAGTCTGGTCCAACTTAAGAGATAGGATAGCTTAGATCTTTAATTATAGTCGCAATTTTATTTTATTGCAAATTATTGGTCTATAATTAATTGACAGTCACAATTATCTGTTAACTCCAAAAGATTCTAACAGATGTCGATACTTTTCGACTGGATTGAGTAAGTAATCAATAGATGGCACTGCTATGGTAAACCGACATAATGTATATGGCAAAACAACGTTTGCGGGGTCAGCTAGTATACTTATATTTTTCTAAATACATACATACCATAGATAAATTACATCTAGACACAGAACAAATGACCGTACTCATCACACAATATTTGTCCTGGGTGGGAATCGAACCCACGACCTCCGGCTTAGCAGTCAGGTTCACTAACCACTAGACCCGTCAATAGTTATTTATATACCTCATGGTAAACAACCACAGTTACGCAGTCTGATGTCAGTTCACGAATTACCGAAGCTGATATTGGAGTACCGCCACCTTCACAAGGCCCACGCCACATTCCTGGCTGGTATCGCGCAACATGTCAACGACAATGTGGTTAGACCGACCTGGTAGGTATTGTATGTGTAGTTTATCGCCCTTTTGTTATTTCCAACTTTATTGTACTTAACTTGTGGGTATGCTACGGCAAGTCCACGGAGTCTTAAGCAATTCTGTCGTCGTTTTTCACCAAATAAGTCAGGTTACCCTTTTTTTTTTTCCGTGCGGAAATCCCCTCGGATACCACCTGTCGGTGGCATGTCGGACTCGAACCGACTAAAACCGCACGCCGTCTCGGGTACTAATAGCCGGGGAACCAGGTATACCCTAGAAAGGAAGTCCCTGGTGCCCCGACATACCTCGGGTCATCTACAGACGAGTAGACGACCCCCCCCTCCCCCGTGTGGGAACCCCATGTTCCCTGTGCTCCCTGGAAGCGAGCGCGCTCGTCGCCACCCCGGCCTGCTTCTGCTAGGGTGACAGATGGTCTCACCTGTCACCCCCAGGCCTGTGCTTATGGAGGACGGAGGTCGAAGTCAGGTTACCCTAAATCTGTCATAGTCATATTTTTTGTTAACGGGGTGAAAAACCGCTTATAATATACGGCTCCTTGTTGAAGCAAGAGCTAGGAGCATGTCCTGTTTCAATTAAAAACCACTGCGACGGCCGTCCTCAGTTCTGGTCTCACTCGTATGGATGCCGCGCTTAACCAGGCACTTTTCCGGAGGAAGCTGGCCTGCGCCAATCAGACCAATAACGAGATTGTAACCCGATCGCCCCTTGATGCGATCAGGCTGCCACTTTATCACCTACCGCAGTTCCCCTAATTAGCTTCCGGAGGTCGGCACTCTCGGGTGGCCACCGGCTCTGGGAAGAACATGCCAAATCAGCAGCCGACATCTACTACACTCAGGATCGGCCCTCTGCCGATTCTGTTCAGGTGTCTCTTTCAGGAGTATTACAGATTCACAGAAAGAGAACAATGCACCTCAGCCCTCCTCACCCGCCAGCACGGTAATACTGATTTCTGACGTGGCGGTTGCTACTTACCATTAAATATTTCTTTTTATAGAGATACCACAAAAAAAAAAAACATTAAAACTCTCAAACAAAAGGTTTTGATATTACAAATCCAATATCAATCTCTGTGTGAGTTACGTCTACTTCCATGGTTGTCTATAACAGTAGTGGTGGTGCGCAGGTTGCAAACAGCGGCAGCAACAGGCCGTATCGCGTCCAGCAACCCGAACCTGCAGGCAATACCGAAGGTGCCTTTCAATCTTGTCATGTTCCCTGAAGCTGATGACACCGGTATGCTTAATACCACTGTTTATATACTGTTCATTATGGTCAAAACGGTTTTAGTCTATGCCAGGGCTCTTAGGTACACAAAATAGAACCTCTATTCTACGTCATCTATCTTACGTAAAAATGTTACGTCGGGAGGTGGGAAATTATGAGTCATATATGACTCATAAATGACTTTCATCTTACGTAAATTATGACGTGGTATGAAGTCATTCTGACTTCAGTTTGACATAATTGTGTTTACTGGGTAATACGGATGGATTGGGGAGTGTAGTCTCTACTAGGTCTAGAAATGTACAAAGTCAGACATGTAGCTCCCATTTCTGTAACGAGTTCCCTTTCCACAGCTAATGTGGAGTTGAAGTTTCGTTCTTTATACGTAAGTCGCGCTGGCTACTCGCTGTTGGCGGCCGACTTCAAGCACATCGAGTGTCGCGTGTTCGCTCACCTGGCGGCAGACAGCGCGCTGGGACGTGCGCTTGAGCATGATCACGACCTGTTCACTGTACTCGCTGCACTCTGGTTACCTCCTATTATTATTAAATATTATTTATTGTAATCAGGTTTCATGATGTATAAACATCTCTTCTCTCGTTTTCTTGCAAGTTGTGGGAGTAATTACTTTAAAAGGGACAGGGAGTGACCGTCAGAAAGTAAGTTAGATGCCAGAATATATGTACATATACGACTACTCAGAGAGACTATACGTAGAGTCACTAAAACTTGATTGTATGACTTATGTATTTGTTTGTTTAAACGCAATAGAGAAAAGTTTTTTTTAATATTCTCTAGAGTTTTTAATTAGGAATAATGTCGGCCATAAAACAATACGCTGTGATCGGAGCGGAGCAGTGATCACATCACAAGTTAAGCAGGTTAAACTGCGGGAAACGGTTAACCCTACCATAGAATATTTTACATAGGAAATATCGATTGTACCTAGCAAAAACCATAAAGTATTTGTACGATAACTTAGCAACAGTATGGCGTCAAAATTTAAAGAGAACTATGGCATTTCACATCGACTCAATCGCCACGATGACCGCGTTCGGACTGATATCTTCACCAATCGGAATGTCGATGTGAACTAAACTTACACTTGGGTCTCTGGTCCGTGTCCAGGTTGAACATACCTGAAGACACGGTGAGTCCAGCAGAACGGGAGCGGACGAAGCGTTTGGTGTACGCCAGTTTGTATGGAGCGGGCACTCGCAAACTGATGGAGATTCTCGACGTGACTTACGAACAAGCTCTGCAGGTCGCTGCTAGCTTCAACAGTGAGCTTACTTGTTGTCCAATTTCTTTCTATTCTACGCCTAACTCTCTTTACCTATTGTGTTTAGGTTGTATGTTAACAGACTTGATGCAGTAAAAATTAAACTTTTCGTAAGCTACTGCAAATGTAAATGGAAATTAATAAATATGCACACACGCACGAGTTCTCTCACACTTTTTTTTTATGTTAGAGGGGGCAGACGAGCAGACGGGTCAACTGAAAATTACTTTTGCAGAGTACGCTCTTTTTTTGAAGGTTTGAAGGTCGTATCGGTCCGGAAATACCGCAGACGATAACCCGTTCCACAGATTGATTGTGCGGGGCAAAAAGTGTCTCGAAAAACTATCCAGGTAATGAGGATGAAAATTTTGCCGTGTGGAACGATGGCGGAAATTTGCGGCTGGTACACATATAGATAAATACACTAAAAGTAATAATAATGTTTGAAGTGATAACTTCTTATAGAAGGGCAAGCGGCTTCGTTACGTGACGCGTTACGGCGCCAGTCTGTCTGGCTTCCCTTTCTCTCATGCATACGGCAGCGATAGGCAGGCTCCTAATCTCTCACTCTAAACCACAGCGCCAGCCGTCAGCGGGATTTTAAATGACTTATGACATTACATCTTGGGATACTGCAGTATTTCTTGAATCTAACTTAAAATAATAATTCTAATGTGCCAGGAACATTTCCATCCTTGAAGTCGTTTGGTCGCCAAGTAGTGTCGAAGTGCTGCCAGTCCGGGGCTCGGCTCTCGACGCTGTGCGGTCGAGTTCGCCACTTCACCAACATCACCAGCGCTGACTTCAACCTCAGGTCTCACTCCGAACGCCAGGCCGTCAACTTCGTCGTTCAGGGTATAAGCTAGATTTAAACCAGCCTGTACCTTAACAACTGCAAAAGCTATAGCTAACAGTGTAAGATACCTGACTTACTGCAGGGTCTGCGGCAGACTTGTGTAAACGTGCGATGATACTGACAGAAGAGCAGTTCCGGGGTTATTCCCCGCCCGTAGAAGCTCATTTGTTGCTGCAGATACACGACGAACTGGTGTGGGAGGTCAAACAAGAGCATGTACCCACTGCTGCCTGTATGTACTGTATTGTCTTCTTAAAAAAAATAGAGGTGGTTTTTGTGGCACACTTAACCGTAGAGGAGCAGTCCTTTGGCTCATGAGCGTCGGCTCGACCGGCTTGATAACACGGCTTTACAGAAAATCGCTGCTATGCAAGTCTTTCGTTGTTTTACAGTAAATAAAGTTACCAACCCTCTAAATAAAGTTACCAGGCCCAACCCTCTAAATTGTGGTGAGTAAATAAAGTCCTGCAACTCATAAGTCAATAGGCGGGGGTAGTCACTTACCACCAAGAAACGTGTCTGGTCGACTACCCCTTATATCCAAAAAGAAATAAAGTTACTGTATCTGCTTTATGCCTATGTTGCCATTCTTCAGTGGTGAAAGTTCTTGCCAGACCTGTTATATTATTACCATCTTCTGTCCTGTAACTCAGAAGTCACAAGCGCGTTGCCGGCCTTTGAGGAAAGAGTACGCTGCTTTCTTGAAGGTTAAAAGGTCGTATCAGTTCGCAAAATACCCCAAACGATAACCTGTTCCATAGGTCGCTAGTGGGGGGCAAAAAGAGCCTTGAAAAGCGAACAGTTACTTCAGGCATAGAGCTTTCAACGAAGCATTGCACTCTTTACTTCAACTTTGGGGATTGTGTGCTACTAACCCTTACAGTAGTTACCCTCCGTGTGGTGACGGATTAAGAATAAGTAATGTCACCAGCCTTATTCATCCCGTGGGTGTCGTAAAAGTCGACCTAGGGAGAAAACTACGCAAGACAACAGCACTGCAAAGAGAAGGAAAACTTGAAACGAACCCTATACCAACCCGTCTGGCCAGCGCGAGAGGCTTATGTCCAGCAGTGGACTATCAGAGGCTGTTGATGTGAACCCTTACAGTTGGCAGAGTAGATTTTTTTTTTAATGACAACTCCCGCATTAGGAATACAACCTGTATTGATTATTGGCAAATACCTAGCGCATACTTAGCGCCATCTAACGGCACTAAGACAAATTATATAGTACCAGGAAATAAAGTTGTTTTGTTTCTGTGTCCACATCCAAAATGTAGAAAACTCAACCATAGGACTTAGAACATTGAACATAATTTCAACTGTATTACTGCATTTGTATAATAATATATATCTCTTTGCCTACCCTCTTGTCAGGTATAATAAAGCGTGTGATGGAGGGGTGCGGGTCCCAATGCGGTATGACCGCGCCACTGCCCGTCGCCATCACTGTGGGGGACAATTGGGGCGACATGGGGCTCTACCACTTACCCAACTGACACCACTGTGGTGGGAGACTTCATGTCCTTGTACAATACCTTACTATCTGTACAACTTGTTTCTTCTTTTGATCTGTTTTTAGTTGATTAAATAAAGTATATCAGTCTTTTAAGTGGAATCAGAAGTTTTATTTTTACACGCTTTATATTAGCTTCACTTGTATGTTTGTAACCGTCTCCTTTGGGCGTGATTTTGACTGACTTTAAACGTTCAGAATTCGTTCAAACTTTGTAGATATATCGAGGACCGATGACAATACACTTATTTAAAAAAAAAATAATAAACAAATTATATAATAAACAAGTTTGGTGCCTGTTGTCAATAGTAAAAAGCACCCCACGCTTTTTTCAAATTTATTTTCTATTTTTTAGTTTAGTTTTCTATAGAAAGCGTGTTTTTTAGTTTATTAAAACTATATTTATTTGTTATTTTTCGTGTAATATCTGATGCCTACAGATGATAAACTGTCGCTTTAGAAATTACATCATGTTATATTCTTTAATATGCCAGTAAGTACCCACTGTACCCAAGGAGAACCGTGGATATAGATCCGTAGGTTGCAGAACCAACCAGGGTCCAAATAGTATATATCTTAATCATCTACAAACATTGTTTTTTAAATAGGTTCAGCAGTTTAGGAGGAGTTTTGTTACATACACACATACACAATAAATAAGAACAACAACAATACCTACATACTTATATAATTATAAGTGAGTATGAAAGCACATCATAGTGATTACCATATAAGGTGAATAAAAAAGGTAACAATCTGGGTGTTAAAAAGAAAAAAACCATTTGAACAAAACAAAGCGAGTTTTATTAAAATTAAAATACATTGATTAATTTAAAATATTATTGATTCAGAAAACAGTTTACAAATAACAATAAAATAAAAACTCAACAGGTAACAACAGGTTTAAAAAAAGGAATCTTTTTGGTACTCTGAAGCCAAAATAATATTTATTTTATTTTTACTTTTCTTTCACTGCACGTTTGTAGTATAAAGTTAAACAAAGAGAGCCTCCAACAGCACATTGGTCACCTGTCACATTCCTGTTACACTCTTCCGTCCCTTTTCACGATATATCTAGCACAGAATTCAGGTTTCAATATAATGAAGTTCACACGTTACACTTTTTGTGCGTTGAAACAATGAACAATTTGTATCTGTCCCCTGAATGCCTTGCTTTCATCAATGCTCGTTGTCGAGATTGAAGATTCTTTTATTGCCCAATCAGGAACCAGGTGGTGTAACCTGGTACAGTGACCCGGGCCATCTATTGCCCCCTTCTGAAGTGGTTAGACCCTAGACAATTCTCGTTTCGTTCTACACCTCATAAGACTAATACACATTAAACGAAAGGTTTGGTTAAGAGAAAAGCAAGCTAAGCTCTGCAGTTCATATAGTTTTTTTTTTCTTTTTATTAAGCTATTGCATAGCTTCTATGGCGGGCCTTGAGCGTGGAGACCGAATCCAGAAATTCCGTAACGAAAATAACCTAACACTCCGACCGGCACAGCGGTGATACTTTTTAGTTTTGCCGTCTATCGATGAATAGCAGAACTTTTAATGACTTTTTGAAATATCACGATTGTCTCTTTAGTTCAGCAACTCGCCTCTAGGTGGCATTCGTTGGATCGGCGTTGCTGCGCATGCGTAATCCCCCTCTTCGCCCCGCAATCTAATTTATATCAAAGAAAAAAACAAGGAAAAAAAACTGCATAAATAATTATAATTGCATAAGTTCATAAAAATACTATGCAATAGCTTTACCGCGTCAGTCCCCGAGTGCCACACGTCTTTTTTTTATTTATTATACACTATAGAATGTTAAAAAATACTGTTTTACTTACATATTACATTTTTATCACATCTTTATCAAATCATCATAAGCTTTTTTTAAATTTAGCCAATGCTTACTTTTATAGACTTAAGTACATATATTGAAAAGATGCAATTTCATCCAACTTCACTATACTAGTATAACATAACCATCCAAGGTAGCACAACCTCAACAATCATAAGTTAACTTGTATAAGTGTAAACATTTTATGGTTCTTGACCCTGCTGTGGTGGTAGGGCACAGCGCTGAGTCCATCTACACTAGCAATTTGTTCGTTCTCGGTAATGAGGTTGTAACGCTGGGAGTTCTTGGACTCCGGTCGATGCAACAGCATTGTGTACCGGGACATCTCACGTGGGAACCTGCAACAGTTAAGCACAGATTCTGAGTGCTATTTCCTGCGCTGAGTGTGAGTGTTGTGGGTTCTAGCCCCACATGGGACAATACTTTGTTGTGCTTAACAAACTGTAGTTCTGAGTCTGGTTGGATTGTGTCCGTTTCATGTATGATTTAAAGACCCCGGGACACTGGATATATTGCTAGTAGGCCTCTCCTGAGAAGGGAGGTTTTAGTCTACTGTACCACACAAGTTTACCCTTTTTTTTTATTTTATTTTTCCGTGCGGAAATCCCCTCGGATACAACCGAGGTGGCATGTCGGACTCGAACCGACTAAAACCGCACGCCGTCTCGGGTACTAATAGCCGGGGAACCAGGTATACCCTAGAAAGGAAGTCCCTGGTGCCCCGACATACCTCGGGCCATCTACAGAAGAGTAGACGACCTCCCCCGTGTGGGAACCCCATGTTCCCTCTGCTCCAGTGCTCAGTGATGATGTCCTATGTAGTTTACTGCCTACGGCTCCTAAAACACCCATGGGATGAATAGGGGTGATGAAACTCCGTATTCTCAATCCATCACACACGGATAGACAGATTACATAGCTTATTACTATAAGAGATTTTAGATTAGTATTTATTATATGTAGCCGTAATAATTTTGATGAGATAGGCGAAAGGAATTAACTTATTAGGAATAAAAAATGGTTAATCAGAATAATTTTCCAAGGTATTTGCATTCAGTTCCGATCAACTTTCGATCTCAGAACTGTTATAAAATGTATTTTCGTAGACGGACTATTGACAACAATTTTTTATTACGAGAATTGGCCTTCTGATATGGTCCACTGTTTACTTCCTCAAATACGTATATTGTTTTAGTGGAAATATAAAGTTAGAATATAGAGATATATATATAATAATAATAATATTCTACCACATTCACACAACGCCATCTAGGCTCAAACTAAGCAGAACTTGTACTATGGGTACTAGACAACTGATATAAATACATATATACTTTTTTGTAAATACATACTTATTAAACAAAGAAACACCCAGACCAAATCAAACATTAAATCTTCAAGCACACACATGTTTGTCTTGAGCGGGAATCAAACGAGTAACGGAATCAAACCACTACGCCATCCGGTCGTTATATATATATTCTCCGGCAGCTCAAATATTTGATGGTCAATCATCATGAGTGTTCATTAAAATGTTCCCCAGCCCTTTTAGCAACATTAGAACAGTTTTAATATCAAGAGGTGATCTTATTGAAACCTATAAAATACTAAGCTCAAGATATAATCTTCCGAATATCAAGGATATGTTCCTCCTCCAGCGGAAGGCGTACTCATCACGGGGACACAGCTTCGCAATAGATCGCTCACACTCACAGTCGCTGGTAGCCTATCACACTTTGAACAATCGTGTTGTTGCGATATGGAACAAGCTTCCGGAAAATGTTGTGACCGTAAAGTCAGTGAACAGTTTTAAGTGCCAACTAGATATATGGTTAGAAAAGCACAACCCATTGGACTAAACAACCGTTTAATCATGTACACGGGAACTCTTACATCACAAACTTACTCCAGTGCAGTGATGTGGAAACATCAGCAAGTTTGCTGCTCGTCCATAATACCCTAATAATAATAATAAGTTCAATAAAAATACTTATTACCTGACTACATTAAGATTATGTGAAGACAGCCTATATGCAAAATTATCATCCTCACCACCCCATCCTACAAACTTGCTTGAAAACCCATTGACTGCCACATACTGGTCTGCTCTAATAGCCAGCACTCCTCCAACCAAGAAGTCATAGATGAGTACATATCTGAGCTTATCAATACTAGCGCTCATGTGGCGAGGGTCATTCGTGCAAGCGTAGAGATTGCTTGCGTCTAAAGGCAGCAAGTCCACATCGTGGAGTATGAGACAGGGGAACTTGTCATTGATTGCTTGCTTCACACCGATGTTGTACAGCACACCCTTGTTGAAAGGCTTATTGTCTTGTTGTTCTATCAGGTAGATCCTGGAAAGTTAAATATTTATAAAATGTATCAGGTCCTTTCAATTGGCAGATCAATTTAAATAATTGAATTGATGTTCTGATGTTTAATTGATAAAGGAAAAGAGAAAGACAAAGAAAACGTTGGTCTGATGACATAAAAAAGAATGCGGGTTTACTGTGGCACAGAATAACTCAAACAAGAGCAGAATGAAAAGAGCTGGAGAAGGCCTTTGTGTCACAAGGACACGCCAACGCCCAATAACTGCGGCATAATAATAATATTGTATTGGTATAATTATAGTGTTAATATATTTAATTGCAAGTTAACACTTAACTATTTAATAACGAATATGTGTAACTATGTTGGCAATAAAGGCTTAATAAAAAAAATATATATATTTGGAACGAAGTTCCTTATTATTTATTTACACTTTATGCACTTAGGTACAACAGCGGGCTTAATGCCCAAGGCATTCTCTACCAGCCAAACTTTGGGGGGTGCAGAAATCTGGTAAGGTAGGTGCACTGGGGTTGCAGTTGCTAGAAAATACACACACATATAATATACCTATAACACATGCATATACATATATAGATATATATAAAATATACTCAATAATCCATTTTCATCAGAAGGTATGGAGTTCTTTTATTATTCCATCTACCCTCTCATTTTTTTGAATTCCTTGGGACTGATATTGTGAAAGAGACGGTGGCATGTAAGAATCAAGTAGAAGCATGTAGTACCATGTAGGAAAAGGGAAGAGCTCCACTTGATTTGAACAATGAGTGCTCACAGTGCTAGAGTTGGCCGTCATACGGTAAGTGAGATGTCAGATTGTGTGTATTCAAAAATACTGTTATTTAATCAATTTAAGAACACACCCAAAGGAGTTGTTTAAGCTGTAGATGTCAATGCGCAACAGTAGTTACATAGCTTCAGGTGACCTTTCTGCTTGTTTGCCCCGTTTAATAGAAAGCCACGAGGGAGCTATAGAAGTGTCGAAAAAAAGTCTTGTTACACATTTTTCAGTCTACCTCCAATTGGCTCAAAACATGTAAAACATGATAAGAAACTTCACTCCAAATAAGGTAAAGGACATGAGTCTAGTGGTAAAATTTTAGTTCTATTGCTGGTTTAGAATCATTTACAATATTATTGACTAGCCATGTACATAGCTTATAACATTCCCATTCCCATACTTTGTCACATTACAGTTTTTATTATCTGATTAAAGCACCATCCTTCTCATGGTCACTGCTGAAAATCAGCACTGTCTCCCTAAGCAGATGTCAACTGCTGGTTTCAACATTAATGCTAAGCTGTGACCAGTTTCTAGGCAAATGCGGCTGGCAATGGCAGCAAGCCAGTACTTAAAATTAGTTATAGATTTAAGATCACTTTTCTGTGCGCTCTAGAAATGAATAATTTGTGTTTATATTTCCGACATTAGCATATTTAAATGAACAAACAACAAAACAAAAAACTCTTCAGCTGTATTATATAAAAATATGCCTAGATAATCTATATTGGTTGAAAATATTAACTAGTTAAAATATATTATATGTACATATCTACATATAATTTTAGTTTGATACTCACTTGTAATGAATATTTTGTTTTCTAAGGAAATTATGCATGTATGGCAGAAATACATCCAATTGCTTCTGCCTGTTCCTGTATGTCACCAGTACAGCAACACTGAACAAGGGATTACAGTGTGCAGGCACAAAGCTCCCATTATCTACACCTTTAGCACTAAAATGTTCAATCGTCTTTGGTACTTCCCATGGGTCAACCGTTTCCTTATTGTTTAGAATCTCATCATAATTACAATCAGGTTTAGTTTTCTGTAGATGTAATTTAGGTGTTATCTGCTTATATAGTTGGCTATCTATAACCTCTGGAGCCAGATGCGAGTAGTTGTAAACGCCGTATGATATGAAGAATTGGACTAGTGCGATAAGGCATACTATTGCACACACGCATGTATTTACACGCAGTTGTAATAGCCTGCACAAAACAACATAATTTACTGATTACTATAATCGTAGGCACATACTAATAGTGTAATAGAAGAGGTTTGATTAAAAAATATATGGCTGTGAATTTCAGAGATAATCATACCGGTTTATTAGAGACCATTTGGACATTTTATAAAAATTGTAAGATACAATTTGTTAATGGCTCGATTACTAAACATTCCAATTAAATTAATAAATATTTTTAGTTTTAAAACACTTTTATCAACTTCAACTTTTGATTAATGACTTTGTGGTAGAGTTTAACCACAATTTCGCCAATGTCATGTATTGAAAAGACAAACTGTCAAAGGATTTTATGTAGAGCTGTGGTAGAGCCAAAAAAGTTTTGAGAATGAAAGAATAAGAATGAGTAAATTATGTGAATAAAACTATATATATATATAAATATACATATTTAAATGTACAACTAGTAATATATATAACATATATATACATATAATTGTTAGTAATATGTATGTATTAATTCGAGTGAGTTTTTCTATATATATAATATATATAAGAAATAACCAGTGAAACAAAAACAAATATTACACTGTAATATTGACACTATAATAATTTTTTTAAAGTTATACACTTACCTAGAATGTATACAAAAGGAGTCAAAATGCGAGATAAGAGTAATTTAAGGGACGTGGGATGAGGAATATGAGGAGGAATGAATTCATAAATAGGAAATTTGGTCCTGAGACAATTAAAAAATATATGGTTCGCGTTTCCCCTCATTAAGCCTACACTCGCACGGCTATCCCTAATTCTGAGTTTTACTAAAATACTGGAGTGCACGAGTGATTCAGTCTTAACCGACAAATTGTAGAAGTGGAGTGGTGTTTTTATTTAATTTTGTGAATTTAGCAATTAAACCAGGGCTTAAGTGGAATCTCTGGTTGTATAAGGGTAACACTCAGAACAGTCAGTTTCTGAATGGTCATGCATGACAGCCTGTATAAACAGCATTTTTCACATCACACACAACAGCAGGAATCCAGGTCAAGACAATATTTATGTTCAGTTCCTGACAGTAAAATAAAAGATGTCTAATTTTAATACAAAGGACAATAGGATTATTGGGATTTGATCAGAATGGGTTTGATAGAATAGATTGAAGTGAAATCCGATAATATTATACTATTGTTTAAAATACTATAAAAGCTTCTAAGACTGCTATAGACTCACCAGTGAAGACTGGAGAAATAGCGGGACCATTATAATTTAGAGTTAAGCTAGTAGAAGGAATCCAGAGAGCACCAACTGGGCCGTTTGATGAAATTTTGGAAGCGTCTGTAAAAATTAGGCGCCAATTATTATAATTGGCGGTAAATTTATTAGTGATTAGACTTTTCGCTTCTATTGAGCACTTGTTGATTCCCAAGTCCAGAATGACATTTGATTAGGATATTAACGCTTCATATGGCGTACAAAAAAGAGATGACGTGGAGTTTTGGAATAAAGGATTGGGGAGACGGTTGAATTGCTGGTAAGAAAGAAGAAGGAGGGGGGTAATTTTATTAGAAAGTGGATCGTGATTATTCAATAAGTTAGATAGCTGATCCAGTTTTGAAAGGAGCGGATGGTCAGTATTTTGGATAAGTTTGAAAAATAATTTGTTGGCTAGGAATTGTCTAAGAAGAAAAAGAGGAGGGTCCCGACATTCAACTTGCATAGTGTTAATAGGGGAAGATTTCATCGCTCCGAGAATAATGCGAAGATTGAATTTTGTCAAGTTTTTGTAGACCAGATTTAATTATGGGATCCAAAACAAATAAGCCGTAATCCAGATGACTGCGGACTATAGCGTTGCATAGAAGTTTTTGGGTAAAAGGATGAGAACCCCACCATACTCCAGAAATCCCTTTCTGAAGTATGGAAGAACATTAATGTTTTTTTTCACACTTCTTTACAACATAATCAGCATGAGACACATCTGTCAATCTGGAATCCAACCACACTCCAAGGAATTTAGGACTTTACCAAGGACTGAAATGTCAACTGTGGAAATCATTCGCTTTTTGGTAAAAATTTCGACCGAACTTTTTGAGGCACACAGGCAAAACACACACTTGTTTAACTAGCCGAACTAAAGAGTAGAAAAAAAGAGACAAATCATTTCATCATCATCATCATAAAAATGCGTGGGGTGCTAGATTTCATTACAAAAAAGGTCAAGAGTAAGTGTTTTTTTTGCCTGCGCGAATGAGAACTCAATGAATACACACAAAATTACATTTCACTTGGCTGCTGTCAGAACCTGAAACCCTGTTTCTCTCTATATAAATACTAAAGTATCCAAACTGATTATCCTATGTCCTATTAACAACTAAACTATTATGAGTTTAAGAGTTATCTCAGAAATAATCCACTAAGTAATCTTACAAAGCATATACTTAGTTCGAAACTCCAACGTGGTATAACAAAGTTTATATGTTATACATAACTTGTTAGGATTAACAAACTTATAGTCGGTTCTAAACCTAGGTTTAATGCAAATCAACCACTTCTTAAATGTTAAAACTTAAAGGTACCTAAAACAAAACTTATAGGCGGTTCAAAACTTAGGTTTCAACGAAACCAAACACCTACTCATAACTTCAAAACTTAGATTTCAACGAAACCAACCATCTACTCAAAACTGATTAAAGATATCTCCCGCGATAACTTCTCCTGATCAATTCGACGCTCCTCCGCTCTCTCCCCTTTTTTTGTCAGATTCAAGAAACCAAATATCACTCCATTTAATCGTAACAATTCTATTCGATTCTGCATAAAAACTCCTAAACTTTACATGAGTAAGTACAGGAAATCGCACAGTTTAAAAAACTGATAAGGTTATGGAACATTAATGTGACCTTTTTAAGTTTTAATTAGAAACGTGTGACTGGAGAGTAACAATATGTTCAAATCGGCTCTAATTAATCGGTATGTGTAACTTTGCTCTGTATGTCTGTGTACCAAATGTATAAATTAAAAATCAGTCATTACACTATAAGTAACATTATTATTATTATCATTAAATTATGTTTCTTTTTGTACAGGTTATTACAACTGCGTGTAAGTACATGTGTTGGGGCAATACTATGTGTGATCGCAGTTCTCCAATTCTTCACATCATACGGCGTCTACAACTACTCACATCTTGCTCCAGAGGTTATAGATATCCAGCTATTCAAGCAGATAACACCTAAATTACATATACACAAAACTAAACCTGATTGTAATTATGATGAGATTCTAAACAATAAGGAAACGGTTGACCCATGGGAAGTACCAAAGAAGATTGAACATTTTAGTGCTAAAGGTGTAGATAATGGGAGCTTTGTGCCTGCACACTGTAATCCCTTGTTCAGTGTTGCTGTACTGGTGACATACAGGAACAGGCAGAAACAACTGGATGTATTTCTGCCATACATGCATAATTTTCTTAGAAAACAAGGTATACATTACAAGTGAGTATTGTTTTATGAGTATGCATTAAAATAATGTCGAAAATAGTAATTTAAATGTTATAGATGATTATTTGCCCAGCTTCTGTTGTTATGCACATTTTTAAATTTCATGAGGCAAGGAGAACTTAAATAATAATTAGTGTACTAAACTGCGAATATAATCAATGAGTATAGTCAATAAATAACTTATTATAGATAATTTGTTGCCTAGCTTTTGTAATTATTACGCACATTTTTAAATGTTTCACTTATAGTTTTTAAGACCTAAAAAAAAACATTTCCTGCTGAGGCAATGTTAGCGCAGGCAGGCATTTTCTTTTTTAATTTGAATATTAAAATAAATATCCGTCCGCATTAATAGTCCGTGTGGTGACGAATTAAGAATACAGAGTGTCACCACTCCTATTCATCCCGTGGGTGTCGTAAGAGCCGACTAAGGGAGCAAAACAACAGCATTGCCAAAAGAAGGAAAACTTAAAACAAACCCTATAGCAACCCGTCTGGCCAGCGTGGTATAGTAGGCCAAAACCTCCATAGTATGAAAAGGGTTTAGTCCATCATTGAACTGTTAAGTTAAGTGGAGCTGTTGATGAAATAAATATTAATTGTTTAGACGAGGTAAATGTTGCAACCTATTTTGTATTTGTATTTTCTTCGGCTGCGAAGTAATTCGAGATCCTGCTGGAGTAACGTTTGTGGGCTTGGATTTCTTGGTTCCTTCCTTCTAAGGACTTTTATTTAATTATCTTGTTAATTATTAAATGTACTACGCTGAAATTTTATAGGTAGATAACTGAACTAACCAACTAATTATTGATATAACATTCAGTTTATATATACACACAAAGGTTTATCGGTGGTCAAATAAGTTTGCGCGTATTAAGATCGTGAACGTGGAAAGCTTCATTTCATCATAACATATTAATTACTCATAAACTTTTACACACGACGCATACCAGGGTTAAACCAAAATCGTTACCAATAAAATAATAGACGTTTTATGACATAAAAATTACTATATTGATGACTTTTTGAAGTGATGTTTTGACTTATTACTTTGAATGATTTAGTATGACGTCATTATGACATAGTACTGAACTAAAATTTGACTTTTATGTGACTTAAATATTACGTAAATATATGTCTCACCCCAATCATATATGTGACGTTACTTACTTACTGTTTTTGACACTTAATTTCGGAATAGTTCCAAACTTTTTGATTTATTACTTTTTTATTAGAATGGAGTGGAGATTTTTTACTTCAAATCCAATAAAAAAAAACTTTAAAAATAGTGAAACATTTTCTTTAACAAAATAATATAATAAATTTATATTCTTATTAAAATATTATCAAAGAAGATTTTGTAAAAGATTTACTGTTAAATAGGCTATAATTCGTTCATATTCAAACCGAATAACTAAGAGTGTTATGACAACTACTTCTCACCTCGATAGACGGCGTGCTACCATTTTTTTCAGTCGCGATATCGCGACTGAATGAGTGAGTAACGAAACCATATGGTTTCGTTACTCATGCAGGTTTATTACGGCGCTCTTATAACTAATGTAAACTCTGGTTTCCTTTCATACGTATAAAACTTTCGCCTTTTACTAAAGGTTTCCGTGGAGGGAAAGACGTGACGACCGACAAATGGTGTAAGCATTT